AGCTGATTTTTTCCTGAAGTACCAAGTCAACTGAGAGTAGGAAAGGGGTGTTTTTTTTCAATAGACGTTGCCAGGACAGCTGGAAAGAAGTTGAATCACAACTTCATATCATATAAAAAAAATTAACCCACGGTGAATGAGAAACCTAAAAGTAAGAGCAAAAATTCTGGAAGAAAACTAAATATAAAACTTTGTGATCCTGGATTAGGCAGTGGCTTCTTAGATCTAACAACAAAAATACAAGCAGGGGAGGGATATAGCTCAGTAGTAGAATCCTTGCCTATCTTGCAAGGGGCCTTGGCTTGATTTATGCAGTGACACACACATACATAAAAGGCACAAGTTAGCACTGGTATAAAATCAGATAAATTGGATTTCATTAAAATTAAACGTTGATGCTTCACAGAACACTATAAAGAAAATGAAGCCAGGCATAGTGTTGCATGCCTGTACTCCCAGCACCCTGGACCTGAGACGGGATCAAAAGTTCAGGCTCAGCCTGGGCTGCTTAGCTACTTAGCTTAGCTGATCTGAAAATAAAAGGACTAGGGATGTAGCTCAGTGCAGAAGCCCTGGGTTCAATCTCCAGTGCCGGAATTAAAAAAAAGAAGACAGCCGCAGTAAATGGAAACTGTTTGCAAATCATGTATCTTGTATGGGCCTAGTGCCTAGAGTATTACAAGGAACTCTTACAATGCAGCAAGAAAAGCAACACAACTTAGTTTGAGTAGTGATTTCTCCAAAGATGACTGATAAACATATCATTGGCCATTAGGAATACAAATCAAAACCCAGTCCTACCTCATACCAATTAGGGTGGCTTTTCTTTTCTTTAAAGGCTAACAGTAATTGACAGAGGTGTCAAAAAATTGGAACACTTCTTGCATTGTTTATGGGAATGTAAAAATGCAGCTGCTTTGGTGACCAGTTTGGTAGTTCCTTAAATGTTAGCCATAGAAACAGGCCAAAAGTCCATCAGCTGATAAAGGGATACAGAAGATGTGGTTTTATTATACAATGCAGTACTACTTAGGCATGAAGAATATCTTGAGACATTTCTAGGTATATGGATATAACTTGAGAAAATATGCCTAAGTGACACAAATCAGACCTACATATAAATGCCACATTGTTTCTCTGGTGTAAGAAACCAAAAGTATAACTAAGGACCAAAATGTGTAATAGATATTGGGAAGTAGGAAGAAAATGTTCACATGGGGTCAGGAGCTAGGGAGAAGGAAAGGAAGGAAGAGAAAAGAAAAGAGGAATTGAGAGAGGAGGGAAATGGGAGAAAAGATGTATCATGTATAGGTACAAATTCTATATGGTGAGTGTGATCATTATGTATAACCCAAAATGTACCAGTAAATTTAATTTTTTTAAAAGTTAGCCACAGAATTACCTTATGTCCTGGAGATTTCATGGCTGTCAGTAGACCCAAAAGAGCTAATAACAGGTGTTCAAACAAAAACTTGTGTGTAAAGTGTTATTCACAGTTGCCAAGAGCCATCAAGGGGTGAATCCATAAACATCCATACAATGGAATGTTATCATTCAGGCATGAACAGAAGTCGAGTACCAATGTGTGCCACAACATAGATGAACCATGACAGCATTGTGTTAAGTGGTAGAAGCTCATTACCAAAAAGTCCTATATTGCGTGATTTCATTTAGATGTCCAGCAAGTTCACAGAGGTAGAAGGGTGAACGGTGGCCAGGGGTGGGGTTGAGGGAGGAGGGGCTCTTACCGCTAAGGGATATAAGGGCTTCTTTGGGGGATATTCTGGAATTAGATGACTTTGTAATCTTGTGGATATACATTAAGAGCCACTAAATGGAGAATGAATTTCACAGTATGTGAATTAAACCTTAATTTTTTAAAGAACTATTCTGTGTATTTGGCATCAAAGGGAACATGTTAAATTAAGAGACTCAGAGTCATGTTGATTGTTTTACTGGCTTTAATGCAGTGAAATTAAGAATGTGTAACCAAAAAGTTTTAAGTAAAACTGTATACGAAAGATAACATTACTCCTAGGTTAGATGAAAACACTGTGTTTTGAAATTTTTGAGACCCAACTAAAGAAACACTTAGAAGGAAGTGCATAACTTTGAAATACCAAGAAAGAAGAAAGGTTAGAAATATGCTGTGTCAATATATATATTTCCTGGCTGGCTCTGATGCAGTGGACCCCCCATGGCATACGTAGTATTCACATACTGATTTCCATATAGTACCGTCCATAGAAGGGAGCTGAGCTGCTTGGCACAGATTGATTCCAGGGCCGAGACAGGAAAAACGCACTGGAAACCTGGTGTATGTGGTGGTTCCAGATGGTGAGAGATTGCCCAAAGAAGCTTTCCATAGCTCTGTTGTACTGAAAAGAGGAAAACTAAAAATCACTTTTCAAACAGCAGTAATAATTGTGGGCAAGATCCACTGATGGAGAGGCAAGCTAAGGTGGGGTGAAGATAAGCAAGCTATTCATCCTTAAAAATACAAAGTACCTCCCCAAGTATACTTACCTACAAAAAGAACAGTAGTGACTTACAGAATCCAACTTGGTGACACCATGTGAGCAAAATTAATATTCCGCAGTAATGAGACTTAGCACATTACAGCACGTGCCCTGTCATGACACTGAGAACAGAGCATCCCTTCTATGATGTTCTTGCCAAAAATGTGTGGTTCCATCTAAACATGAAAACATTCACCCCAGGTATGAGGCAACTGCAGAATTATTGTCCAATATTTTTCAAAAGTCATGGTCGTGAAAGTCATGCAAAGATCAAGGAAATGTCATTAATGCATTAACATGGAACGGGATCCTGTATTGGATCCCGCAAGGATAAAGGACCTCAGTGGAAGGACCAGCGGAGTTAGTGTAAGGTCTTCAGTTAATGCTATTATGGCACTGTCCATTGCCCAGCTCTGCAGTGTATGCCATCACCAAGGAAATGCAGCAGATTTGTCAGTTACCATTTTTATTTAGTATCTTTGCAGCTAGGCTGGCCTTTAGAATAAGGTCCTTAATGTATAGGGCCAGCAGTTCTACTCCTGAACTTACATGTGAATGTAGTCGCAGACATCCATGTGAGGGCAGTTATAGGGACACTCCTTGCAGCATTCTTTTTTTTTTTTTTTTTTTTTTTTTTGTCTTTTTCATTTTTTATCGGTACCAGGGATCGAACTCACGACTGCCTGCTTGCAAGGCAGGCGCTTATGCCGCTGAGCTAAATCCCCAGCCCTTTTTTTTTTTAATTTATTACTTTATTTGTTAATATTAAGAAGAAAAGGTAAAACAAATTTTCACAACAAAATAATGAAAAAGTAACAATTGTTGATAAATTACACAACATTATCTTTAGTCACTCAAGTACAAAATATGGACATAAAAATTACTTCAGTCAATATTAGCACAACCTTTCCTATTCAGTGAACTAAGTGACAGCATTCTTGCAGCATTCTTAGAAAAGCAGTGGAGAAAGTCCAGGTGTGTCATGGTGGGATAGTAGAGAGAAATTATTCTGGTTATACCATTCAGTGGCAGAGCACGTCTGATACCATTTGTGTGGGATTTTTCATGCACGTGTGTAATTCTCCAGTGGACACTATTTGAATGTCCTGTCATTTGATTCAATTCTGACACTGCCTTACTGGAAGTAGTGTTGGATCCCACTATTGGTTAAGGGCTGCCCTCTGCTTCAGATGCCAGTCACAGTAGTAGGTTGTCACCTACTCCTGACCAACCAGCTGTGAACTGAGGGTTCCCAGACCCTCTCAGATTTGACTTAATTACTAGAGCAGAACTTAGGGAAACTCTTTTAAACTTACTCACTTACTGTGAAGCATTTCAAAAGATACAGATGAATGGCCTGGTAAAACGATGAATAGGCGGGGGGTGGCTTGCACACCCTCTCTGGTTACCTCCACACCCCTCTGTGTGTTCAGCAATCTGGAAGCTCTTTGTAGCCTTGTTGGGTTTTGTAGCAGTTCGTGATTGGTGGGCATGATGGAGTGTACTGTTGGCTCTTGGTGATGAGTCAGTCTGTAGTCCCTCTGCCCTTCCTAAAGGTAGGGTGATAGGGCCTAAAGTTTCAGCCCCTTAAATACATAATTGACTTCCCCTCATTCTGAGGGGAGCCCCAAACCATCTTTCATCTTAGTAAAACAAAGGCTCTTCTGTCATCCAGAAAATTCCAAAGGATTAAGAGTATAGTGGGGTCATAGACCCAAGTATTAGCAAGATTCTCCAAACACCCCAATACATGAGAATTTATGGAGCTCTGTGTTAGAAAGTGGGACCAGACAGCAGACTGTATTTATTATACACTCCGTGTCTTATCTCACGGCATCCTAGGGATTCCCTTGTCTAGCTGGCACACGCAACAGTGGAGAGCACCCCTGTCAGCCTGTCACCATAGAACTCCTGTTCTCCCTTCCAGTGTCACAGAGCAAGCATCAAGACCAGACATACAGACTGTGGCAATCTGTGACTGAATGTGTGCCATGTTTCATTTCCTTTTGTGATTAAAACTTAAGTGTAATTATAGGTTCTGGTTCTGTCTTCTTGTATCCTACTTGACATCTTGCCTTTCTTGGAGTGTGTCCATGCCAGTTTGAAGGTCCTTGGACGCAGACACCTTTTTGGAGGAAGTTATTTGTAATCCAAAGATATGAATCTTAAGACTTACATCATATATCTATTCCATATATATGTGTTTTCATACATAATTTGATTGGCATATCTTTAGAAAAATGTTATCATTCTGATAATATAAGCCTTGAAAGCCTTCCCTAGCACATACCCATTATGAAAACCAGGTTATTAAACTGACTTCATTGATCAAATCTGATAAGTACTTGGGAATTATATTTCCATTCTTAATAATACTACTAGTACAGCTTTTATAGGCTAGATTCCAATTTGAAATATTCTGTTGTGAAATACTAAGGTTATTTTATGACAACTTTGATTATTTTTTCTTTAACTTCACAGAGACTGTGCAGTTGATCCAACTTGTGTTTTATGCATGGAGTGCTTTTTGGGAAGTATTCACAGAGATCATCGATACAGGGTTAGTAATGTCCAAATAATCACTGTGTGCTGTATTGAACTTTGTGCTAAACAGTTTTGCTTTCTTTGTAAAACTCAAAGATTTTACACTAAAATGAGAATGGTGGTTTGAAAAATGTATTTTTTAGGACTGAGTATGCAGCTTAGTGATGAAGTGCTTGCCTAGCATGTGACAGCCCTGAGACCTGCCCCCAGCACATGCACCCCCAAGAAAAGATTCTTTTAACACCATTAAACATATGATGGCTTTATTTACTAATCCACTCTTTTTGGAACGCATGGTTCAAGAAAGATAGCACAGATATCAACTCCTCTGCATTAGTTTTCAACTAGCTTGTTTTGTGGGATTGTTTGTTTGATATAGGGTCTCACTGAGTAGGCCAAACTGGCTTTGAACTCACTTATGTAACCCAGGCTGGCATCAGGCTCACAGTGATCTTGCTGCATGCTGGGATTACAGACATGCGCCACTCCCGGCTGTCTTGCTGTTTTAAAATGTTTGTTTAAGAGGCATGTGCGATACTGTAATCTAGTAGAGGGACCAACCCAGTACATACTATTATTGTATTTGGGGCAAATTGTTCCTGCCTATCCTAGCTCTTTTCTGGGAAAATGAAGATTCAAAGATAAGGGACAGTTGTCACTTAACCATAAAATAAAATGGTAAATAATATTTCAGTCCTCTTAATTCATCAGCCCTGCTGAGTCAAGGTTTTTTCTCCTGTTTGTTTTTATTCACTGTACACTGGCATCAATAAAGTGAACTAAAACGGCTCCAAAATTTGGCTCCCTGCCTTTTATTTTTTTGAGACAGGGTCTTACTGTGTAGTTCAGACTGCCATTAGTTGTTGTGTAGCAACAACAAGCTGGCCTCAAACTCACGGTGAGTCTCCTACCTCAGCCTCCCAAGTGCTGGGCTTACAGGAGCATACCACCACACTGAGCTCTGTATTCTTGTATGTTATCCTTATTGTCATAAATTAGTAAGAGAATCCCAGCCTGGTGTGGTGACATACACCTGTAAACCCAGCACTTGGGAGGCTATGGCAAAATTGTGTGTTTAAGGCCTGCCTTAAACCACATAGTGGGATTCTGTCTTAAAGGGGCGGGGTGGGGGAGGACAGCATCCATTTTCCTCTGAGAAAATCCTGGTTTCCTGTAAGTGGTTCTGTTGTTCAGAAGTGGAAGCACATAAGCTATTATGTAAGGTTGTCATTGTCCAATGACTGTCTGCTCCTGTTTCTTGGCATATATCTGTGCATCCTTGGGCATAACTGAACCGTAAGCAGGTCCATTAATTATATCATTATATATGACACAAGTACTATTTTAGGCACAATATAATAGTACTTATTCTAAAATTTGGTGTATCTAACACCCATTCCTAAACACCTCCTCATAATATTTTAACAAAAACAGGATTTCTAGATTAACACTTATTAGCTAAGTGGTTTTGTCTTGCCAGATTTCATGAAGCTTTGCTGTATCTTAAAGTGTGAAGAATTCTTGAACCTTTTATCATCTTGAACAGATGATAAAAAGTTTTTATGCCCAGTCTGCTTTGTATTTCCTGAGCCCCTGTTACCTGTCCTGTCAAAGAGTAGCTTTTAAGAGAATGTTAAAAAAGAAACATAAGGTACTTCTGCAGTCCCTATTGGTTACTTTCTGTCCCCTTAATAGACTGCTCTGTGGGACAGTAGCTAAAGAAGTCTTTGTAACCTGACTGTCCTAGCATCGCCACTTGCTAGCCAGGCAGCAGTGTTAGCCAATGTAGCCCAGCCTGGCAGGGGCCCTTCTGAGCCTCTGACTCTTCCTCATTAAGGGAGCCACATAAGAGACAAAGCTTCTTTTAAATGCCTGTAGTTACTCAGCACTGTCAAGTAGCTTGTTTTGAAATCACCTAGATTAACCTATGTCTTATTTAAAATAAACTTTTAAAACATTAAGAAGCCTGACATTTTTCTTAATCCTTCCAGAAAAGCTTAATACTTAGACAGTGTTGCTCCCTGAGCAGATGATGATGTTGTGTATCTGTTGTCTGACAGCCCTCAGTAAACACTGACAGAGACTTTACAATCTTTCTCCAAGATGACGACTTCAGGAGGTGGCGGCTTCTGTGACTGTGGTGATACCGAAGCTTGGAAAGAGGGTCCTTACTGTCAAAAACATGAGCTTAACACCTCTGAAATTGAAGAAGAGGAGGTAAAAGCATTTTCACAAAGTTAAAATAATGTAAAAAAAAGTTTTAAAAAGCTTTGATGATGAGTTTTAAATATTTTAAGAAATTGGAATTCGATTATGTGAGAAATAGACACACCGCCTATTATCAGTAACTAAGTACTTTGAAAGTTCTTTGCATTTGTGGCTGCTGCATCATTGTTAGTGGTGTGCATTTGAAATTCTGAAAACTTAGTTTTTTTGTTTGTTTGTTTTGTTTTTTGTCTTTTTATCGGTACCTGGGATCAAACTCATGACTGCCTGCTTGCAAGGCAGGCGCTTATGCCGCTGAGCTAAATCCCCAGCCCCCTGAAAACTTAGTTTAATTCAAAGGGTTTTCTTAGTTGGGGTTTTAAGCTTTTTTGAAGGCTTTTGTTAAGCCCTAATTTACTATTCAAATTACTGTTTTTCATTTATTAGTTTTTGTATGTTTGGGCTGTAAATAAGCATGTGTGAGCCAGGATACTTTCTTTTCTGTTATTGTACGTAATACTACCCTACTCATGTGGGGAATCAGGGCCTTGGTTTGTGGCCGGGCCAGGTACAGAGCTTCAGTGCATATTATCCTCACTCTGCCTCTAAAAGTATATTTTAAAAAATCCTTCAATTTGTGCAATTTTTTTCTAAATGATATTTATAATGAAATAATGTGCTCTCACTAAATGTTTGAATCTATGCTTTTTATGACAGTTTGATGTGTAAATCAAGATCTTTATTTCAGATTTTACTACTTTTGAGCGTCAGGGAGTTAGGTATGTTAAAGCATTCAGAAGGCCTAACATAGATTTAGAACAAGTGGGCAAAAATAGTCCTTCCTAGTACATGTACACTGTGGGTCACAAATATTTTAACACAGTGCCCAGGGCTTTTGGTATTGGGTGATGTTTTTCAGATAGATCAGGATTTGTAGAGAATTATTTTAATGCTATGGAATACAAATTTTGTCTGTGTTTTGTGCAAGTATTCTGGAATTTGCTTCAGGAAGAAATGGTCAGGGCTCCAGATTTCCCTGCCTCTCTTAGAGTAGCTCCATTTTTTTTTTTTTTTTTTCTTTTTAATCAGTACCAGGGATCGAACTCACGACCGACTGCTTGCAAGGCAGGTTCTTTTTTTTTTTTTTGTCTTTTTCCTTTTTATTGGTACCGGGGATCGAACTCATGACTGCTTGCTTGCAAGGCAGACACTTACGCCGCTGAGCTAAATCCCCAGCCCCGCAAGGCAGGTTCTTATGTCACAGAGCTAAATCCCCAGCCCCAGTAGCTCCATTTTTTAAAAAATATATTTAATTGGAATTCTACCTGTAAAAATATAAGACAAAGTAAACTTGAAAAACACATTAGAAAAAGATTAACAACTACTAATATAAAAGTTTAGAGCCCAGGGATATAACTCAGCAGCATAACACCTGCCTGGCAAGTGCAAGGTCCTGAGTTTGATTCCTAGTAAACCCCTCCCCCCCCCTCCCAAAAAAAGTAAAAGTTTAGGAAACAGAAATATTTGTATATTATTTATCTGTCTAATGGCCTAGGACCCAGGATGTACATCTTACAACTTAAAAAGACAAATACTCCCCCAGTCTAAAAATGGACATAGCACTTAAATAGTCAATGCTCAAAAAAAGATGCACAAACTGATCTACAAACACATGAAGAGAGGGTTAAACATCATTAGTTCTCAAGGAATTGCACATCCAAAACGACACTGCTAGTAGGAGAGATCCTCCAGGTAAATCCTCCAGACTCTCCCATTTAATTCCTGTTTAGGAGTTAGGGAAAAGAATAAGGAAAAGACCGTAAAAAATTAAAACATTGTGAGCATGGGCCCCACTGCAGTATTTTCAACCGCATCTTAAGCTGCGGGACCTCGGCACCACCCCTGCATAGGCACACTGTGTAGGGGTCCCCACATCTTCTCCACTGTCTGCATTTGGGACAGATACTTCCTCACTGTGGGTGAAAGATCAGCAAGATGTGACCTAGTATTGCCTGCACCCTTTTATCTGGTACTGCAAGCTGAGTGGTTTTTCTATTTTTTTAATTAAAAATAAAAGAATGAAACCAAAAAGGAATAGAAGAGAATAATAAAGGTCAGAAAACAATCCCTTATCAAACTGTCACATCATTTTTCATATAGATCAGATTAGCATTTTGATTCTTACATTTCTGTAAAAATAAAAAAGACTCAGAATAGTCTAAACAACTTTGATAAAGGAACAAAATTAGAGCTCCCAACTGTCCCCAGCCCCATGACTTATCACAGAGTTACACCAGTCATGACAAAACGGTGCTGATAGCGACATAGACATCTATTTTTAAATACTTGGGAGAAAAATCTGCAGAAGAACATTTTGTAACATGAAAATGTTTTGAAATCTAAATCTCAGTGCTCATAAATATTTATTGGAATACAAGTACGCTTAGTTTTTTTTTATATATTGTCTGTAGCTGCTTTTCTCCTACAACAGCAGAAGAAATGAGTTAATTACAACAGAGACACTGTCTAACAGAAGAAAGGCCAGCCCATGTGCACGGGCCCCTTGGGCAGGGAGAGAATGGAAGGAGGGGTGCAGTGCCTTTCCTGGTTGGGAACCACCCCCTGCATCTGCTGTTTCCCATGCTGATTTTTATAGATTCCTAGGAAATGTCTCTCCGGCCTCTGCAGTAGGAAAGGATGTGTTTTTACTGATGTAAATGGGATAACTGCTTGTGTTTCCTTTTATCAAGACATCTGCGAAAAGAACCAAATGTTTGGAAACAGGCTGTGTAGTAGCTATATGGAAATTCAGGTTACCTGTTTTATAAATGGATATTAACTTGACTACAATTTATTTTCCTGCCCTTATTTTCCTTTTGCCTACTTTATACATGTATTTTTAATGCCACCTTATTATATCAGATGTATTCCTGAGTTGCTGTAAATCCTTTTCAGAATGAGATTTAAATAAGTAATAAAATAAATGAACTTTAGTGAAGATTATATAACCTGAAATTTTCAATTATAGATGTTACTCCTATCTCAACTGAATACAGAGCCATACCTATTAATAGCTAGATAGAGTACTAAGTACTTGACTTGATCTCATTTAAGTCTCAAAACAGGCTTAGAAGACAGTGCTGGCTGACAATTTTTAGATGCAAGCGCTTGAGTTTTAGATTAAGCAAATTCCCCGAAGTGTCCCACATGGTAAGTGCTAGAGTTAGAGTTTGAATCTGAGCAGTGCAGACTCCAGTAGTGAAACTCTTTTAATATGCATTATACTGGTTTTGTTTTTTAAAAAAACATTTCTAACCAGATGCAGTAATACATAACCTATAATCCTGTGTAGTCAGGAAACTGAGGCAGAAGGATCACAAATTTGAGGTTAGCCTAGGTTACTTAGAGCTACCTTAAAACAAATTTTTTCAAAAGCTGCAGATCACAGCTCAGGGCTGAGGTAGTACAGGCCTTGCCTGTCATGCTTAAGGTCCCGGGTCAGTCTTCAGTATCAAAACAGAGTGCACCAAGGTAGCAGGTGAATTTCTGTTCCCAGTGTTGCCCCAAACTGGGTTGATGCAGCAGCAAACTCAGCAGTCAGGGATTCTCCAATGTCATGTAACACATTTTAGAGTGTGCTTTTCTATTACCATTTAGTAATGTAACTAGTTAATATTTTTAAACTGGCATACAACTCAGTAGGAACTATGTCTCCCGGATCCTGGGATTTTGTAGTTTGGACTCTGTTGGCTAGAATTCTTAAGAATTGGTGGTAATTTCTGTCCAGAACCATTAAATTTTTATAATACCTGACTTTTGTAATTCGTCAGTCCCTGCATGTTTTGTATCAAAGGATGTAAGAGTAAGAACCGAGTTACTGTCTGCTGAGGCACTGACTGTCCCTCAGCCGAGCTCCAGTTCTGTTTGCTGTTTTGGTGTAGTGTGAGGTTCACGTTATTATTAATGCCTACTCTTTTTGTTGTTGTTGTTTATCTGTACTGGTTTGCAGCGCTGGTTCTCTCTGTGCACAAGTGCTCTGTGCACTTTGTTAATGACTTCCAAAGCAATGTCACAAATAATAATGAGGCTTGCAAGTTGGGGGTGGAGGACAAAATTTGATGTGTTTCATGTCCTGGGTGAGAAGAATTACAGGTAAAATGGCTATAGGAAATTGAAAATCTGAGCAGGCCTTCTTTGAGCCGTAGCCTCATGTCTCTTAGGAATTTTTGCCCTTTTGTTCTTCCACCTTCTCCATTTGTTTATGTCAGTTTAACCAAGTTTATCTTGAGTAGTTTAAAATGCTTTGCATGTGTGCATATTTGGAAGAGTACGCTAGTTACTATCCCCATGATACTGAAACCTGCTGCTTTTCTAATTCAAGAAGTGAATATAATAGTAGTTAGCTATTAAGCTAAATTACATCTTTAGATTTAAGATAAGACATTAAGGTTAAAATCATGTGAAATGTTTTGCCAACCTTAACTGAAAGATACCATGATACATGATACACATCATGCATGTTAATAGCTTTATATTAACCTAGAAATTTGGTGACTTCCTCACTGTTAAGGCTCATGTCCAAACCCATTAACTTCTCACCATGAAGTGGACTCTATTGAGTGGTTCTTACAAAATGAAAAAGCCGTTACTTGGCTTTAATGAGGTCTCCCCTTCAGAACTCTCTGAAAGTCAGCTCTCCTTTAGACCTGTAGACCTACATGTCCTTAGTTAGTTCTGTTTTTTATTCTGCAAATTGGACATTAGGGGATGAAGCTGGAAAAATGATTCGATGTGAGGGTTCAGCAATCCTGGAAAGCTATTTCACAATGTATAAATTTATTCATTAGGCATTGGCACTCCATTGACTATTTTGACTCATATGATTGCAAATTGAGTATATTCTGAACAGAATGTTTTAGAAAGCTTAATAGGTTGAAAAGTATCCGATTAAATTCCTTGAAGAGAAGTTGAGGTAGGCCACCTGGCAGTTTCCTCTGTAGCATTTTCAGAGGCAGAGAGAAACCAGGAGAGGAGAGGATTAAAGTATGTTTAACATAGCTGCGCTTTGTCTTTGTTCTTTCATTTAGGATCCTCTTGTGCATTTATCTGAAGAAGTGATAGCAAGAACTTACAACATTTTCGCTATTATGTTTCGGTATGCAGTAGAAATCCTAACCTGGGAGAAGGAAAATGAATTGCCAGCAGATTTAGAGATGGAGTAAGTGTAGCCGGTTATTTTTGTTTAGGGGGCTGCTACATTGTAACTTTCATACAACAATGATAGGACCTAAGTTTGTTTTGTTTTGTTTTTAAAGGATTGACTTTTAGAAAAACAATAACAATGTTACAGCATTTAAACTATGTGTGATGGGCTTAACTGGTGAAAATTTTCCAGGATTTGTTGGTTAGTTATCTTGTAGCCATATTTAAACTGTGTCAAGATTCAGCTGATTTCAGAGTTTTCTGATTATATGAAAAACTGATAAGTCATTCTACCACTCTTTTTGCTTCCTTTCTATGTTAGAGTCAGCTCTTTCTGAATAGTCAAACTCAATTTTAATCATTTGGGTTCTAATTATAAAATGTTCCATACTTGGTGCATTAACATACATGTGCCACTTTTGTTTATATTTTTGAGTCATAGACTTGTTACCAGAGAGCTTGATTGTGCCATGACTTGAGCTTCTTGTTTTCCTTGTTAATGGGCTTGCCCCAAACAACCTTCTCTTTTACTAAAAAAAAAAAAAAAAATTGTTGGCATAGTATTCATGAAATTCATGAAAGAAAACTGAGTTTAAACTCTAGAGACTAGAATAGTATCTGGCTTTCTGATAACAAGTTTGTGACTTCAATAATTTAAGTAAAAATGGTAAGTATATACTAAAAGAGCACAGAAGGGAAATCTGACTGCTTTACTTATAACGTTCCTACCTCAGTCTACCTAGTAACTTGAATGCTTTGTGCTCATGTAGATACAGAGAACCCTTCAGGTTCTGCTTGTGCTGAGGTCCGTATCTGCTATACCTGGAGGCCATGGGCACTAGCCCCGTGCGGTTCATTCTCCACATGACGGCCAAAGTGAAATTTTAAGGCAAATGTGACGATATTTTCTGTTTCAAATCTTCCAAAATGTTCAGTGTCTCTCTCGAGACCAGACGGACTTGATGCCCGTCTCCTCCTCCTTCCCTGTGCTCCCGCTCCTGACATCACCTGTGCCACCTTCACACTTTGGCTTTTGCCATCCCTTACCCCAGGCTCGCTCAGTTTGGCATCTTGGCATTTGGGTGAATCATTTGTCCTGGGAACTGCTGGGGAATTGCAGAGTCCTGAGCATCATTCCCAGCCTCTACCTGCTAGGTGCCTGCAGCGCCCTTGAGCCCAGTGACGAGGGCCACAAATGTCTGCAAGTATTATGGTCTTCTGTAGTCTTCTGCAGGAGGGGCAGGGGACTTGCCACCACTGAGACTCAGTGATGCTTAATCTGACTTCAGGTCTCTTCACTGCTCCAGCCGTTCTTAGCTGAACTCCAGACCTAATTCCCTACTGTAGCAGCCTGCTGCTTTTATTAAGAGCCAGTGCTCTTTGAGTTGTTTGTTCCTATCTGTTTTCCCTACCACACTGTGATTGTGGCGTCATAGAGTGTGGAGACACGATGACTTTTTCACCCATGTGTGAAATCGCTAGCCCTTCTATAGGGCAAAGCATTCTCTTAGTAAAGAAACCTGGAGCAAGATAATTCACAGATGGATCACCCAATACGTCCTTCACGTTTTGGTCCCACAGAGAGAAGAGCGACACTTACTATTGCATGTTGTTTAATGACGAGGTTCACACCTATGAACAAGTTATTTATACTCTTCAGAAAGCTGTCAACTGCACACAAAAGGAAGCCATTGGTTTTGCAACTACAGTAGATCGGGATGTAAGTTTGTCATGTTAACATAATAAATTAAATGTTTACTACAGATAAGTTACCCCAGAAAACTGAGTTTAAGGTTTATCTGTGTAGACCAGTTGTGTGTGCATGCTGCAGTGCACTATATCATTGAAAGCTCTAAAAGATTCGTGATTACTGGAGAATTTTTTCTTAAATTTCATTTGAATATCGGCCCAATTGCGTATTTGTATAATTGTAAGCTACTGACAAAACTTTAAAAAAGAAAACAGTTACCCTCATTCTATTCAGTGATTAAAAATACTCATCTATGAAAGCGGAAATTATGGAAACCTACTAGAATAATTATTTGTCTAGTTCAAAGTGATACACTTATTGATAGCTTTAGAGTTAAGATACCAGTGAAGGAAAATTTCAATTTACTTTTCATTGATGAATAGGATTAATGTTGTAAATATTAAACACTGACTAGGGTTGTTGCGTGTTTGAGCATTTATTTACCTTTATAATGTTGAACATGATACCTTTACAAGGTAACTTTACATGTGCTTATCTACAGGGACGTAGGTCTGTTCGATACGGAGACTTCCAGTATTGTGAACAAGCAAAATCTGTGATTGTGGTAAGTAATGTTAAGACATGCTCATATTTTATTAGCTTAAGGCTAGCTCCACATTTCAGCATTTATAAATGTATGTTTTTGATTTTGTTTTTGTTTTGAGCCAGGGTCTTGCTGTGTATTCAGGCTGGCCTTGAAGTCAGCCTGGAGTCCAGGCTGGCCTGGCACTTGGTGCAGTCTTGCTGAGTCTCTAAGGGCTGGGATCACAGGAGTGCCAGGACACTCAGCTAGAACTTATATTTTTAAAAATAATGTTTCTTGAGCATTGAGTTACTTTAGCACTTTTTCTCTCATCCCGTTTCTTTGAGAAGTCTCAGAGAAGCTTTTTATTTTTTTAATTAATGTTTTTACTCTACCTTTTAGCAATTAAATTGACTTTTAGAACCAAGATTAGAGTCCAAGGAAGGGTGTTTCTTGGTACATTACACCAAGATGTACTCTTTTCTTATAGTATTTATTTTTTGTTTTATTTTGTTTTGTTTTGTGTCATAGCATTTAATGTATTGTTTTTCTAAAAGAGAACAATTTTGTTTTGGATTTATTTTTTAGAGTTTTTTAATTATGCCATCTAAGTTGCAGTTTTTCTTTTTTAAAATAATTTTACATATTATAAAATAACTTTAAATACACAAGCAAAAATAAAAATATGGGGGCTGGGGATTTAGCTCAGCAGCATAAGCGCCTGCCTTGCAAGCAGGCAGTCGTGAGTTCGATCCCTGGTACTGATAAAAAGGAAAAAGATAAAAAATAAATAAATAAATAAATAATAAAACCATGAACACTGGTGGGCCCACATTGTATCTTATTTTTTTCCTACTTATTTTCAGTAAATAAAGTACTATACAGGACCCTGTATTTTCCTTACTTCTTTCTTCCTTCCTTAGAGATAACTACTTTCAATAATTCACTTCTTCGCTCTTATGCTTGCATTTACCTTTGATATGTAAAACACACAATCTTCTTTGTGTTGACGTGGAGGCAGTAAGCGTCCTGTGAAGCCAGACATGGTGGTGCACACCTGTGCACCCTGACAGGGAGGCAGGGAGGGCACAGGTGCACCCCAGCCTAGGCTGCTTAGTGACTCACTGAGGCCCTGTCTCAAAAGCAAACAAGAAGTGAGATGTTATCTTTTGTGAATCCAATGAGTCAACCTAGAAGATTAGAACCTCAATCAAGTAAGGCAAAGTAATGTTTTTCTTACATACATACACAAAAAAACTTGGTGATGATGTGGTATAACTTTTATGCCAATAAAGTAGCCTTTTTAAGTTATTTTTTCATCTTGTCATTTCTTTTTAAGAGAAATACCAGTAGACAGACAAAGCCACTCAAAGTTCAAGTTATGCATTCATCTCTTGTTGCACATCAGAATTTTGGTTTGAAGCTTTTGACTTGGCTGGGAAGTATCATTGGATATTCAGGTACGTTTATCGCTAACTGATAAAGTGAACTTTTAGTCCTAACAAAACTGTTTCTGACAAAAATGTCAAGCAGAACAATTTCTTCCTTCAATTTCACATTTTAAAATCATCCAGAATATCTTTCTGCATAGAAAATCCTTATTTACCTAATTTTGGCCCACAGGATCTTTAAATATACACCCAAAGGATTCTCTGTTCAAACAATTCAGGGAACATTGGGTTAAATAATTATGAACAGTTTTAATATGCAATGTATAAATAACGTAATGGGAATTTTTAGCACCTGGTGTGACGGGTGCATGTCTATAATCCCAGGACTTGGGTAGCTGAGGCAGGAGGATTGCCTCAGGTTTGAGACCAGCCTGAGCTACATAGTGAGTTCAAAACTAAACCTGAAATCACAAAGCAAGACATTGTCTCAAAAAAACTAGAGAAAAAAAATTTTAAATGGTGCATCTTGTAGACCTTTTCATCAAGTATGCTAGAAAATACTATTGTAAATAAAACAGTGATAAAGAGTTGGAATGATAAAATACTAATATTGCTGTCTTTGATTCTTCTAACTTTTGGTCACTAATAATTTGCAGCTCTTGAAAATTTACATATTGGAAGATACTAATATATTTGTTTGCTTTCCCACAGTCTACAAATAAGATAATGTATAATATAACGTAATGTAATTGTGCACTCTTTTTCCAAAGCCAAAAAATACACACTTGATACATAACACTGAAGGGAAAATTAGTAATAGTGCTGAGCTTTCTTGTCATTCTATTCTTCAGGGAAGACTTTAAATAACTGATGTTCCAAAGTTATTGTACAGACCACTCCTAAAATGTTTGCAGTGAAGGCATAATAATGAGCATCGCAGTGCTGAACTGAAAGTACGAAGGTGTGAAAGTTTAGGGTAACGTGTTTGCTTGCACATCATTTTGGAGTTTTGGTTTTCTCCAGTGGATGCCTTTATTCCAACTGTTGTACTATGGTATTAAGACGTAGTGCTTTTCTGGGCCAGGGATATAGCTCAGTGGCACAGTGCCTATGTGGCAAGCACATGATCCTGAGTTCAGATTAAGAATTATATATGAGATTTTGAATTTTTCACTTTTTTGCAAAAATATTAATAAAATATTTACTACATTAACTTCTTCTGAGTAAATTTGACTTTTAAACTTACCATGCTACCAGATGAGATGGCACATGCCTGCAATGCCAGCACTTGGGAGGCTGAGGCAAGAGGGTGACAGTTTGCTCAAGGCCAGCCTGAACTACATAGTGAAACCTGTCTGAAGAAACCAAAAATCAAAAAAAGGAAGGAAAGAATAATACAGAGATGGCGCATGGCTATAATCCCAGCTACTAAGGAGGCTAAGGAAGGAGGATCCCAAGTTTATGACCAGCCTGGGCAACTTGGTTAGCAAGACTCCTTCCAAAACAAACAAAAAATTTTAAAGGGCTGGGCATATAGCGCAGTAGTAGAATTGCTTACGAAAGTCCTAGGTTTGATCCCAGCTCCAGAAGCAAACAAAACCTTTGTAAAACCCTAGGGACCCATTTGGATGTGTACCAAATGTTACTTTAAAGTTGGTATCTCATAACTATTCTTCCTCCTATTTAAAGATGGCCTTCGCCGGATTTTGTGTCAGGTTGGATTACAAGAAGGGCCAGATGGTGAAAATTCTTCTCTGGTGGACAGATTGATGCTTAGTGATTCTAAATTATGGAAAGGTAAATCTGTTAACTTCTTTTAAGGTAGAAGGTTGGGATGTGAAAGCTTTTTTCATGGAAAGATATTTAACAGATGAATTTATGCTTTTTAAAGTGAGCATTCTAGGGCTCGAGATACAGCTCAGTGATGGGGTGTATACGAACGTGTGCAAGGCCTACGTTCATTCCCTGGCATCACAGCAAACAAGAAAAGCATTGGAGTCAGCCTTTGAAAATGCAGATCTTCTTAACCTATGATCCAAATTAAACAGCCTTTACATTTTGATAGAAAATTATATTTTGAAAACCTGGCTATAAATAATCAGATTACAGATATTTTTGTGCTGGCCAGGGATCTAGTTCAGAGGCACAGGCGCCGCCTGGCAAGTGTAAGGTCATGAATTCAATTCCCGGCACCAAAAAAAAAAAATTGCGCTAAGTAAACAATGTAGTTTTACTCTTAAGTTTTTAAAATACAGTTGATCCCATTAAAATTTTGACAGTGTAATTTTTGGCATATCCTTGGTGTAACACCCTGATCTTTTTCTAAAGGTGCTAGAAGTGTATATCATCAGTTGTTCATGAGCAGCCTCCTTATGGACTTGAAATACAAAAAACTATTTGCTATCCGATTTGCAAAGGTAAGTCTTTCCTCAGTTTTAAAGTTTAGCAAAATAACCATATTCCACAGTTACAACTGGACTCCAGAAAATGAACGCCTGATAGAAACATGTCAGTGTATCAATAGAATAAAGTCATAGCAGGGAGACTTCTTGTTCCTTTCCTCCCACGGTGACATAACTGTCAATCTTCACAGTGTTTGTATTGTGAAATGGTAAGTGGTAAGCCGTTGTGGGTTATGCCATCAGTCCTGTTACAGCAATTAAGTTCTCCCTTTCAAGAGCGTATGATTAAAGGAGCTGCATTTTTAAAATTTTATTTTAATGAAGTCAGAGTTCTTAATCAAAGTAGTATATAGGAATCATTTAGCGAGCTCTTCAAATCCCAGTGTTTGTGCTTCATCCCCAGCTTTACTGAGCACTCCGGGTTCCCTCGTGCTCGCAGCAGTGTGGTGTCTGGCTTCATAAGGACAGTACAATGTGGCTCTGCCAGCCTCTTGGTGCACAGTGGCCCCCAGGTGTTCAATAGCAAGTGTTCTCCATTTGGGCTGGTGGCATGCCTTGTGCTCCAGAAGACGCAGTGCCAGCACAGAGCTGCACAGACACCACTGTGGAGCAGTGTTTACACGGGGCTGCTTTTCCTCGGTAGAAGCCTTGCCAGCCACAGTTCTGGGGTTAGCCCCTGGCCGCATTCAGGTTTGGGCTCTGTGGGTTAGAGGTGGATCTCCCTCCCCTTGTTGTCTAGAATTACCAGCAGCTGCAGAGAGATTTTATGGATGATGATCACGAGCGAGCAGTGTCGGTGACGGCTCTGTCTGTCCAACTCTTCACTGCGCCTACGCTGGTGAGTAGTGCTCGCCTTTCCTCTGTCACTCATAGCTGGCACTCCTTGCCTCTTTTTGCCTTCTTAATAGAACTATGAGCGTTTGCAGAGTGATTATGTGACAGATGACCACGACAGAGAGTTTTCAGTCGCAGACCTCTCGGTTCAGATATTCACAGTTCCTTCACTTGTAAGTACTGAAAGACTAGAAGACCTTTCTTGTTTTCTCTTGACAGAAGTAAGCCTTAAGACAATAGAGAACTAAGATCTTTGTGCTCCTAAATAAAGTAGTAACTAATAGGCAATCAGATTTCAGACACCTTCAGCCATACTAGAACATATCCTTGAACAACTAAGGAATTTGGGGGAAGAGTCATTTAAACTCATCTGTAGTTTCACATTATACTTTCTGGAACTCTGAACTGATGAGTAACATTCAATTGATCAATTCATTAGCTTTGTCCTTGATGTTAGAACCCAGCAGCTTGTTGCATTCCATCTCACAGTCTGAGACATCTAGACATCTTCCACCTCCTCAGCACACATGTAAGGAGAGAAATGGCTTCATTGAGCTCTGAAGACATCAGGATGTTTTAACATGTACAGTACCTGACAGCTACTTATTTCATTCAGCACATTCACTGAGCACCTGTTACTGATTGGGTAAACAAAATATGACCCTTGCTCTACCGAAGTGCGAATCACTTGCAGAAATATTTAAGTGAAACTGTAGTAATAGTTTTGAAGGCTAAGGTTTCCTTGAGAGAGAATCCTTTTCCTACAGTTGAGAGAGAGGGGTTCTGCAGGGCCTTTATGTGGCGCTTGGAGAGGGTCAATGAGACGCCCCAGGGAAGGGGGCCTGAGAAGTCTTCAGTTAGGTAGAGGCTCCACCCGTGTGGGAAACAGAAGGAAGCCAGTGTGTGTAAAGATCTGTGAGAATCGCACTGCACTGTGTAGGCCTAAGTGTTTCACACTTGTTTTATGAACAAGGCTTATTTTCCATTTTCGGGGTTTTGGCTTTGGTTTTGGTGTTTTGGTTGGTTTGGGGGTTGGTTTGGTTGGTTTTTGTTTTGTTTTATCTTTTTCTTGATATAGGGTCTCACTGTGTAATACAGACTGGCCTTGAACTCACTTTTGTAGCCCAGGCTGGCCTCAAACTCACAGCAATCCTCCTATTTTTCAGTTTATTAAACAATTAGTTTTGCAGAGTCAGATGTGGTGACACATGCACTCACAAAGCTGAGGCAGGATGGTGCTGTGAGTTCGAGGTCAACCTGAGCCACATAAGTGAGTTGAAGGCCGGCCTACACTGCAGAGCAAGACCCTGTCTCCAAAACAAAACAAAACACTACACTTATTTTTTTTTTTCTTTTTTTTTTTTTTTGGTCTTTTTCCTTTTTATCGGTACCAGGGATCGAACTCACGACTGCTTGCTTCCAAGGCAGGCGCTTATGCCGCTGAGCTAAATCCCCAGCCCCACTACACTACTTTTTATACCTCTATTCCCAGCATTCTAGGAGACTGATGCAGAAGAATTGTAAATTCAAGCCTAACTTGGGCAATTTATGACTGAGGTGGGCCCTGTCTCAAAACATAGGAAAAGAGCTGGGTGGATGTAGCTCAGTCCAAAGTCCCTGGGTTTAATAATCCCTAATACTGGGGCTGAGGATTTAGCTCAATGGCAAAAGCACCTGCCTTGCAAGCAGGCGGTCCTGGGTTCGATCCCCGGTACCGATTTAAAAAAAAAAAAAAATCCCTAATACTAGGAAAAGAAAAAGTCTTTTTCCCTATGTCTGTTATATGTTAAAAGACCTAATCTAATAATTTGTCCATTAATGCTCTTACTATAAACCAAATTAAGGAATTTCATTTTTATCCTAAAATTGTATCAGAGCAGTGAGAATTTCAAGTGTTACTTAAAATCAATCCATTTACTGTTTGTAATTTGGGAAAGAAATTGGAAAGAGGTAAAAGCAAGTTGGAGAACCTATTTAAAGCTAAGGCAGTGAGCTAGACAGAAGGGGATGGTAACTTAAACTGGGGGCTGGCAGTGGGTATGAGAGTTTTCACAGGAGTTCTGGGAAAGCAAAAACGACCGAACTGGCCCGTGGATTTGAAGGGAGGTTGGGTTTGATGACTGACCAGATACTCGGGTTGATGGAGAAGCATAAGGGTGGCCATGAAGTTTCCAACTTGTAACTAAATAAAATCTCTAGCTATACTGACTTGTGTGCTTTGCATTTTTCTCTGATGCACATTCTGCTACAGAGGCCTTGCTGTTGAGTCTGGGGGGCCTCTGACCCGGTTCTGTCTTCTGTGGGTGGGATCTGCATTTCCAGAATGTGTCTCCATCAGTCAGCCTGACCCCGCTGCTTCTGTTGACTTCACAGACACCTCTGACCCCGAGGGTTGCCGTATTCAGACACTGAAGTTTAGAGCCCTTATACTTAAAGAAAATGCTTTAGTAAGCAGTTAGACTCTCAAGTAGGACAAGGGATTAAGAAATAATGACCCCTTTCCAAAGAAAATACGCGACCGCCTGCTCCACACCGACCTGGGGATGTTCGGGGAATGCTTCCGTGTGAAGGGAGGCCAGAGTGTGGGCTGAGTACCAAGTAAGGTCCTGCTCACCTGCGGTGTCACAGTGCTTTCTGGGCATTTCTGCTGCTGTATTGTCCTTCACAAGATCAGTAAAATTAAGGGAACAGCAAGACAAAACACCAGTAACTCTCTGTTGTCAAAAATTGGCTTGTTTTGTTTTCAGTTTTTTTCTGAGGGATTATTTACTATTATTAAAAGATGTTAGACTGGGGATATAGCTCAGCAGCACAGCATCTGTCCAGCAAGTACAGGGTCATGAGATCAATTCCTGGTACCAAAAAAAAAAAAAAAAAAAAAACAACTGGGCATTATGACTCATGCCTGTAATCCCAGCACCCAGAAGGTTGAGGCAAGAGGATCATTACGGGTTCGAGGTCAGCCTGGACTACCAAGTGTGAACTCAAGGCCAGCCTGAACATCGTGAGACCCTGTCTCAAAAAAAAAAATTTAACAGCCTTTGCTACGCCCAGTAATTTAAATATATAATGGTTAAGATACTTATACTACTAATTTGCCTTGGATTTCTTATTAAATACATTGACGTATTTCATTATTACAAATTTTGCTTAATTCTGATTTTGATCAATTCATCATTCTAAGAATATTTCCTTTTCCCAATTTATTAAAATTGGTTTTGTGTTTTGTTTGCAAGAGGTACTGAGAATCAAACTCAGGACTTCATGTTTGCTCTGTGCCACTGAGCCAAATTCCTGGCCCCCTACAATTGGTTTTGGATTTGTAATTTTATTTTTAAGTGCATGTTTGTAATATAAAAGAGTGATGGTGGTTGTGGAGTGGATACATGCATATAGCATCGTGGATCGTTTTCGGTCCCTTTACCCACTCTCCCTTCCTCATACCTGATTCCCTTCTCTGTCTTAGACCTTCCAGTTTCCTATCATCTCTATTTTATTCATTTATTTATTTACAGTTTAATTTTCTTAAGACAAATCATAATGATTAACTTTCTGAGTCTGGCTGGTTTTGCTTAGTATGAACTCCATATATTTTGAATTCCCATGTATTTTCCTGCAAGTGACATGATTTTTTTTCTTTATGGCTAAATAATATTTCATTGTGTCTGTATCACATTTTCTTTATCCACTCATCTATTGACGAGCATCCATACTGTTCCAGAATTAAGCTATTGTGAATTGTGCTGCTATAAACTTGGGTGTGCATGTAGCATGCTTTTAATTCTTATATGATTTTTAATCAGAGTTGGATAATAATTTAGTTGATTTTCTAGTTTTGAAGGTTCCTGGCATTGTATCATAAGAGAAGGCCCCAGTATACTCTTTTATACTACTAAACCCAGTTTCCTGGTATTTTATTGAGAATTTTTACATATATATTCACGAGTAAGTAGATACAATTACCTTCCTATGTGTGTTCAGTTAGATTTTGATCAAATGAATTAGATACATATCTGTGTTTATGGTCTGAAATACATTGTGTAGCATATGGATTACTTGATTTTCATGGGTTTTTTTGTTTTTTGAGACAGGTTTCACTGTGCAGTTCAGGCTTGTCTTGAACTCATTTTGGAGGCCAGACTAGGCTGGAACTTGCAGCAATCCTCCCGCCTCAGCCTCTCAAGTGCTGAGATTATAGGCACATACCACCATGTCTGACCTTGCTTTCCTTTTTAAAGAGTAAATTAATCTAAATTTAGACTTAATCTAAATCTAGAGTGGGCTCTGAAATGCTGCTCAATTCCTTGTCGTGTATTCAGGTTTTCTCTGTGAGCCAGTTCCATAATTACATTTTCTTAGTAACACAGCCTTTCCTTCCCCTGACTAGTACCACCTGCGTACTGAGGACCCTTTCCCTTGTCTTCTCATTCTTCCCAGAGCCCAAGATTGTACAGATGGAGCCCAGGTGTGAGCACACACTTCTTGGGTTTTGTTTTTAACTTTGTGGCAATAGAGAGAAGTGAGCCATGGTAACTGTACAGTCCAGTGAATTTCCCTCTGGGGGACGGACCCAGTTACCAGTGTCCACAGTGTTTGGAATTTTCTGTACATACAGTTACCATCTGTTCTTATTTCCCAAGCACTACATTTTTTATTTTGTTTTCTCTTGTTTACTGACTAGGTTCTCCAGCACATGTTGAATACAAGCCATGAATAAAAGCAGGAAACTGCATTTCATTCCTGACCTCAGGGGAAAATCTAGTGTTTCACTGCAAAGTGCGATACTTCAGTTTTTGTTGGGTGGTTGTGGATACTCTTATCAGAGCCAAGAAACTCCTTCTTACTCCCAGTGTGCTGGAAAATGTTTTTCTTTTAAATCATGAATAGGTATTTAATTTTCATGAATTCAAGAAAAGCATTGGGTGATGTGACTGTGTAAGTTTTTTTCTTTTGTGTCTTCCATGATTTATGAGTTTGCTTAAGTGTTTGGAAGAACTCTACAGTATGCATTTGGGCTTGGAGATTTATTTATGGAAATGTTTTTAGACTAGTTAAATTTCTTTGACAGGTATAGCACTGTTCAGATGTTCTCTATCTTGTTTTTCTTTTAATAAATTTTGGTTTTTCTTAGGAATTTGCTTATTTCACCTAAATTTCCAGTTATATTGGATTTAAATTGATCTCAATATTATTTTCAATTTTAAGATTTCAATTTTATAGTTATGTAATATTTTTCTAGTCCTGTTCAAATTTAAAACCTTCTATTTTTTAGAGACGGGGTCTTGCTACATAGTCCGGGCTGGCCTTGAACTGAGCTTCCAGCCACCCGCTGCCTCAGCCTCGCAACTGCTGGGATTACAGTCATGCCATGAGCTGCCCAAATTTACAAAAGAGTCAACTTTTAGTTTTTTTCTTTTATACATTTGCTTTTGTTTTACAAATTTCTGCTGTATTTTTATTTCTACCCTACTATTTTCCTTTCTCTACTTTCTTTTTTTATAACCTCATTACACATGGGAGTTGGGACAGAACTGCAGCTCTAGGCAGCAGTTAGATTTTGGGTCATGAATACCTTCTTAGAGGAGGTGAAGTGTGGAGACCGGTCAGGAGAGGAAAGGTGTTTGGGGCTCATGATGGGGGCAGGTTGTAGGCAGGCAGCTAGGAAATAAATGTGGGTGGCTTAATAAAGTTTGTTTATGAATTCAAGTCAACTTGAGGGTAGTGATTTACCCTCTTTTGGCACTTGGGAGGACACATACATAAAAGCGGAACATACGCTCAGTTTTACTGCTTCTGCTGCTCCTCAGTTACCTTTAGCTCAAAATAATCCTTTTGTCAAAGTAGCGTGCCGTTGTTCCCCTGACAAGATAATGGGAGTGTCCTGCATCAGTCAGGGACTGTGGTTGTCCGGGTGACACTCAGGGGCCCAGACACACAGCTCTCCAGGGCTTCCAGCTGAGAGCCGTGTTGCCCCTGAATGCTGGTTCTACTTCCTTGCTGGGCGGGGCTGCCATGTTATCTCAGCTTTGTTCTCATCTCAGACCCTCTTCCCACAAAACTGCAGTGTTTCACAAGTGTCTGGAGAAGGCAGGAAGAGAGTTGGACTCAGCTCCCAGCCCCTGTTCTCACCAGGACCCTGGCCTTCCCAGCACCCTGCTCTGCTGCCCTCCGCCCTGGACAGCAGTCAGGTGGCAGGAGGCCCCTGCAGCTGGAGTCACCTCCTGCACAGCCCCTTTGCCCCGTGGTTTATCACTGGAGTCCTTGTCCTTTTCTGCAGCATCTCCTGGTTCTAAGCCCTTTTTTCCCTCCATTTTGTTCTGAGTTTTGTCATTCTTGCAGAAGTATTGGTCAGCTTGGCAGGAGCGGAAGAGTCTTCGAAGCCTTTTAGAAATGCTCCATTAGTGATTCTGACGCATGTCCCTGCTTTAACGATAACTTAACTTACCTGAGATACTAGTGAAGGCTTTTATAACCGTGGTGCCTTTGAATCTTAATTACCGTACAGTAGTTTAACCAGAAACAGTAGTTACAACTTAGGTGATCAGACTGTCACACATATTTGTTCCTATTTCCTTTTTTTTTTTTTTTTTATTCTACTTTATTGTCTTAAATATGCCCTTAGTCACCATTCTCCATGCAGGACCCTAAGCATGCAGTTGAACTAAAATGTGTGCATAGACCATCATTACTAGTCAGTGAAGTTTTTCTGCTTTACCAGAAAATTTATCCCATTTTAAAGTTGCTGTTAATGTGTAATGAGCCTTCACTGGAAATTCGAATATAAATTTTTTTGAAAAGGATAAAAACTGTAGTTATAATAATCAGTGCCATTTGTGTTATCGCATGCCTGTAAACCCAACAGGAGGCTGAGTGAGGCAGGAGGATAGCAAGTTCAAGCCCAGCCAGGTAACTAAACAACTTAGCAACATAAAGAATACTTTTTAAAGGGTGGTAGACGTAGCTTGGTGCAAACACCATGGGTTCCATTCCTCATACTAAGCGGGGGGAGAGAAGTAGTGGTACTGTTTTTTTAAAGCACAGTGGATTGAAGGGATGAAAATTGAGTAATAGATACTAAGGCTTTTAATAAAGTTGGATATTTAATACTGAAAATAATCTTGAAAGGTTAGTAACATCCTAGGGATAAAGCCAAATATTGTGGGGGAGGGGGCGATCTACTTTTCTGGTTATAACTTTGAAAAATATATTTCTTTAATTACCTTTTTAAAGGTAGAAATGCCAATGATAACTCCCGTTTTCATGGGTTACCCTAATAAATTTTTGGTATCCAGTGGAAACAGTTAGAACCCAGTCCAAAGCTATGCAGTAGGTGAGGCAGCTCGGAGCGTGGACCGGAAGCTGGAAGTGCTCATGCTGGCTTGTGGGCTGGGCTGGAGCCCAGCAAAGAGCTAGTGCTGCGGTGCTTGCCTAGGATGCCTGAGGCCCTGCATTCAGTCACACTAATGCCAACAAGTGTTGAGTTCTCTCTTCCTTTTACTACATGTTCGAAGTCTTGTGAGCTACTTGTACAGTTCGTTCTTAGCTCAGGGAACTGAATCATAAACTTCCTCAAACCAACTCGTGAAACAAACAAAGGACAAACCTTTCACTTACTTAGCATTACCGCTCACCCCTTAAACTTGACCTTAGTCTTCACTGGAAAGTTTTTTGCCATTCTGATGGGTTTATTTTCCTTTAGTAAAGTCAGACAGACTAACGCCACTTTTATTGTCACAATTTTACTCTGTTACCAAAAATCCCAATCAGTGGGAAAGATCAAGATGTTTGATGTTACATTGGAAAAAGGCCCACATTTAGGTGGATGTACAGATTGGTGAAGGCTCTTCCAGCATTCACTGGTGATAACAGAATTTGTACTGTGTATACTCAGTAATTCTACTTTTAGGAGATCAGTCTGTAAGAATCGTTGCAGCTGTACACAGTGAATATTTGTTGCAACATTTTTTGTACTGTCTTAGATCTGGAAACAAATTTCTTACCATTAAGGGCCTGGCTAAATAAAGTATGATACAAAATATACTTAGTACCCATTAAAAAGAATGAGGGATATTTATATTAAGTGACATGAGACAATCTCTAAATATATAGTTTTTAGAGTACAGTATTTCTAATGTGCTACCCTTGGGAGAAAGCGATAGATTTCATATGTATTCATACTCGTATATTTAATATACACTTAACCTGTGTATTATACACATGTATATATAAATACTACACACTATCTCTGGAAGAATGTGCAGGAAACTCCTAACAGTCTGCCTTCCAAGACTGAATTTTTGCTTGTTAATTTGTTTACATATGTTTGCTTTCTTTCCTTTTTTGGAGGGGGTGGTTTTTTGAAATTGGTTACGTTTTTGTAGTTCATGCTGGCCTTGAACTCACTGTGTAGCTCAGACTGGCCTCAAATTCATAGTAATCCTGCCTTAGCCTCTCAAGTGCTGAGATTACACATCTGGCTCTGCTTTTCAGAAATACAGAGATGTGTATCTGTGCATAAAAATAAAATAAGTTAGATTTCAACTAGGAAGATAAAGAGAAAATATAATTTCATGTAGAGTTCTAAAAAATCTGTGACATAAACCTTTGGATCCTAGAATAATCATACCATACCATTATAGGTGTCTAAATGTCTCAGTTAAGGAAAATTTGCAACCTGGTTCATATCCCCCACCCTGAATTATCTTTGAATAATGAGCCTTGGATCTGCCTTCTAACATTCTGGCATCTGATAAAATTGTTGCTCCATATACGTGGCAATTAGAGTAAGTAATTATGATTTAGAAATACCTAATGATGCATTTGTGATATATTTGTGTTGAAAAAGTTTTGACTGCAAATGCTAAACAATATTGCTGCCTCTTAGTCCACAGTTGCTGATCACCATGCACTGTGATGCACCTTGTTTCAGGCTCGGATGCTCATCACAGAGGAAAACCTGATGTCCATTATCATTAAGACCTTCATGGATCATTTGAGACATCGAGATGGGCAGGGCAGATTTCAGTTTGAACGATACACTGCTTTACAAGCCTTCAAGTTCAGGAGAGTTCAGAGCCTTATTTTAGATCTCAAGTGAGTTTTTACTCAGTTATCTAACCAGCTCCACTGGGGAGAGGTCGTTGCATATGTGTTCACTACTGCTGTTGTCTCTCTCAGGTATGTGTTAATTAGCAGACCAGCTACGTGGTCAGATGAGCTGCGGCACAAGTTCCTGGAGGGGTTTGATGCCTTTTTGGAATTACTGAAATGCATGCAGGTATGTGTAAAATGACACCTTTTTCTTTTTTCTTTCTCTTTTTTTTTTCATTTTATTTTAATTTGTTTTGTCATGGAACAGAACACTTTTCTCTAGATGCTTTCTTTTCCCCCATGGTGAGCACAAGTACTCCAAAAGATCAATTTGGATGGCTCCAGTTTGGATCAAGAATTTCCTTTTTAGTTGTAGACTCTTTGAAAAGTTTAGCCTGAATTCTTGTAAAAATTTCGGCACTAAAATTCATTTGGTGCTGATTCTTTTGGTCACCATTAATATTTCTTTAGGGGTTAAAAGATTTTTTTTTAATGTCATTAGTTATTTGAGAAACTACAGTTGCAGTTACTGTTTTGTGGTGCTAGGGAATGAATGCAGGGCAAATGCGTAATAGACATTTTACTCAACTGGGACCAACCTTGAACAAGCACCCACAGCTCAGTACGTAACACCCGCAACTAAAAGAGGAGAGATCTGGTGTGGTTCGCAGTTTCCCTCCATGGTCAGCTGGTTCCAAGGCAGAAATAGCATGGCGGAAGGACCTTGGACAGAGGCCTGCTGCTCACCCTATGACAGGCAGGAGGCAGAGAAGGAAGGGAGGAGCTGGGAGCCCTTCCTGGTGACCCTGCTAGTGGCCTTCCTGCATCCAGGTCCCACCTCCTGATGGCATAGTCAGCTCTAGAGTCAATGGATGAGTCCACTGATGAGCACAGTGCCCTCAGAATCCCATCACCTGCTGTACACGTGAGGATTGGGGGTATTTAGACCTAAACCGTAGCAGTGGGCAGGCCTTCTGCCTCAGAACTACACCCAAGACCTGGATGTTCTGTTACTTTTTTTTTAATGTTTCCATATTTTTCTCCTTGGTGTAATATTTTTATAATATAATGTGAAACTTTTCCTCTCTTTTTTAGAAACGTACCTATATACAAAACAAAATCTAGAAGTAGAAATCTACAGGTATTATTAAACAGTTCTAAGTTTAAGAATGTAAAAGACATCTCTGATAATTTGAGCAAATATAATTAGGAGCCTTTTAGTAGTCATCTGGCTTTCTTAAGAAAAGAGAAAAACAAAGTAGACCCCTTTTTCCTATGGGCCAAGATGGGGTCTCTGTGTAGTCCAGGATCACTCAAACTCTGTGATCCTCCGGCCATCCACCTCAGCCTCACCAAGTGCTAGGATTACAGGTGTGCACCTCCATACCCGACACTATCCACACAATTTAAAAAGGGATGTCTTCTCCAGTACTTAAAGATTACTGTTAAAACTTTTACCTTTTGTGTTTTATGATCATTATATATTTTTCTTCTACATATTTCTAAGGCTTTCATATAGGAAGAATTTTTACTCATAAAATTTTCACTTTGACAGCTGCTCATGGCGATGTATGCCTGTAACCCCAGCACTCAAGAAGCTGAGGCAGGAGGATCACTGAATTTGAAGCCAGCCTAAACTGGTTTTCAGAAAAGAAAAAGTCATAATGACAATAAAATTTTCACTTTCTTTTAGGGAATGGATCCGATCACACGACAAGTAGGACAACATATTGAAATGGAGCCAGAGTGGGAAGCAGCCTTCACACTACAAATGAAACTGACGCACGTCATCTCCATGGTTCAGGACTGGTGTGCTTCAGATGTGAGTTTCTTCTGGGGACAGAATACAAGGAAAACAAAAGAGAGAAGTTGCACAGAATCCCATGTACAATTCAAAGACATTTGGTGAAAGTTTTATAGCCTAGCTCAGAAAACAGTATATTTTCCACTTCCATCTATACATGTAATAAAAAACTTAAAATTTTAAAGCCTAACAAAAAGACTTGAAAAGTAGAGGAGGAAATAATCTATACTTTTGCTTCCCTATGTAACTACCTTCATTTTTCCCATCGTGAGTTTGATGCCCGGTACTCCCCCCAAAAAAGAAAATCTGTAATCTTCTCTGTACTCGGGTGAGTTTGTAAAAATGACTTAAAGTTTATCCAAAACTAAAGTTTTGGGACTGGGAATTTAGCAGCACAAGTCCCTGCCTGGCATGTGCAAGGTAGTGAGTTGATCCCTGGTACCAAAAAGAAAAATATACTGTTAAAATATATGACTAATTTACAACAAAAATATTACTTTTGAGCTGACCATGGTGGAGCACTCCTATAATCCCAGCACTCAGGAGGCTAAGGCAGGAGGATCGTTGCAAGTTCAAGACCAACCTAGGCTATAAAATAAGCTTAAGGCCAGCCTAAACAGTATAGTGAGACCCTGTCTCCAAAACACACACACAAAAAAAACCCCTACAGTTTTACTATTGGTGCCTTTACCCTGTGTCTTAAAATTACTTTCACTTTCTTTTGACAAAAGTCTAGAAAGAGCCGCTGTAGGATCTGGGAAGGCTTCCATAGATCTGAACAATATATGGAAATGTCCTGAGCAAAGAATAAGAGAACCCCTGACTCAGGATAGCTGCACTATAGCTGTAATGAAGGGCCTGCAGTTTGTCTGGGAGCAGTTAGCAGGCCCCCTGTTGGAGCAGAGGCGGGAGCAGAGGCAGGCATCCTCGGAGGCTGTGGAAGGGGTTGTGTTCCTGTGTGAGAGGGAAGTCATTAGAGACAAGGACCCAGCACAAAAACAACCTGATCTATTCCACGTGTTTCTTCTCAAAAGTCCTTTGTGTAAGGATGGATGGATGGGGCAAGAGTTGAACCAGGGAATTCAGTCTGTCATTGGTAGGCCTTGGAGTTACAGAAGAGAGAGAACAGGAGCTAGTTTTCAATCAGTTTTTAAAATCAGTTTGCAGTCTTGATAATATAGCCAGCTTTATTGATGAGAGGTGTCATTTACTAGGACAGAGACCACCGGAAGATGGACCAAGTTGAGGAGAAAGAATTGAGTTTAATTTCACCCATATTTTATGTACTTACTTGTTCCCAAATTTGATGTGCCTGTTTAATATTGTAGAAACTCAGTCTTTTGAGTAACTTATAGAAAAAACCTTCTTTTTTAGGAAAAAGTTTTAATTGAAGCTTACAAGAAATGCCTTGCTGTGTTGATGCAGTGTCATGGTGGTTTCACTGATGGTGAACAGCCAATCACACTAAGTATTTGTGGACACTCAGTGGAAACTATCAGATACTGTGTTTCCCAAGAAAAAGTCAGCATTCACCTCCCAGTTTCTCGTTTGCTTGCAGGTAAAGCATTTCCCCTAACAACCCTACAGTTGTCTTAAATCACTGTTAGTGGTGGCTAATGAATGAATACCTACTATTTTCCAGGCAGTATTCATTGAATTTAGTCCCTTAGCTTGAGAGGCTTTGATCCTAAGGTGGAAATCCTGGGGACTTCAATTTTGAGGTCAAGATCAGTGCCGAATCCAGGCATGGTTATGCATATAATCCCAGCACTGGGAGGCTGAGGCAAGATTGCCAAGTTCAAGCCCAGCCTAGCCACATGAGTGAGTCAGTGAGACTCTGTCTCAAAAAAGACCCTTGGTTCAATTTTCAGCACCGCAGGGGGTTGTCAGAATAGTGTCAGAATCCTCAGCACTGTACTCAGATGGGAACACTCTCATGGCCAGCAGAAGTCTTGCTCAGCGTAACTTGTGTCGATTGTGTTGTGCTTTATAGCTGCCCTCGCTGTGTTTGCAGAGCCAGCATTGACTTCTAAGTGTCAACATTGTACACAGGGCGTGTAATTCAGACCAGTTCTGATCATGCCTTTGTGGAGTTGGAGTTGGACAGGGAGCTGGAGTTGCATTAGGACAGCCGTTACAAAGCTTTATTTGTGAACATAGTTCATTTTATATCTTAATTTGCAACCTGATAGGCTCCCAAAAGTCACATACGGTTATGTAAATATTTAGGGTTTTTTTCTAAATTATTTTATCTTATACAAATACTTTTCTGTGTATTTGCTCTTCCATGCAGGTTTGCATGTATTACTAAGCAAAAGTGAAGTGGCATATAAATTTCCAGAGCTCCTACCTCTAGTAAGTGCTTCTGACATTTAAAAATGGATATTTATTATGTTTCTTGTATTGAAAATGAAACTGAAACTTTATTACTCTGAAGAAAAGAAAACAGTAAGGGGGTGTGTGTACATTCCCATAGGTGCACACGTGTGTGTTTAGAGAAATTTTAAGGACACAAGTTTTAACCTGTGTTTTATAACAGCTTTCATTCCTGTCAGTTGCTTACTTTAGAGAGTTGTGTTTTACATTTTCTTTCTGTTGCTATACAGAGTGAACTTAGCCCACCCATGTTGATAGAACACCCGCTTAGATGTCTTGTTTTATGTGCCCAAGTACACGCTGGAATGTGGAGGCGAAACGGGTTCTCACTAGTAAACCAGGTAGGTATTTTTAAATTTGTGAAGAGTTTTCATGCCATTTCATTGTCTTCAATGAAGGTTTTCAGTGGGCTCAGTCATTGTAAGTTTAGTATCCATGTTAAAATTGTTTGTAAAGATTAATGGTAAACCAAAACAAGTTTCTTTCATTTGAAATAATTTTTTAGAATAAAGTTGGATAGTAAATTCCAGATTGCATCTATTTAAATTAGGCTAAAAGATAAAGCTCTAAAGTTGAAGTTTTGTATTTTAAAGACTTGGCTATAGATTTTTTTTTCCCCTGCTTTTAGAGGTTCTAAACCTTCTTGAAACATCCACATTTTGTTTTGTTGAGAGACTCAGACAGTTGACTGCAAAGTGTGTGAATCAAGCATACTGTGACTCCTAGTGGAAATCTGTATGAAGATATTGTTAGCTGTTGAATCTACATCACACACACACACACACACACACACACACACGTGCTTATATAAACCCACGTGGATTTGGGGAGATGAGAGAGTTGAACCAATAAAAAACCTGTTTATGTAAATATTGAATTATCGTTTTAGATTTATTACTACCATAATGTGAAATGCAGGCGTGAGATGTTCGACAAGGATATCATGATGCTTCAGGTAACGCATTAAAAACCTTCAACTAAGGTTATGGTGAGTCCTTAGTGTGTTATCACCACTGAGCCCAGTCGCTGTGCTGCTTCCCAGATGTAGAGATCCAGCCTGGCCCTGCCTGCAAAAGCTCCAGCTCAGCCGGCAACCTGGGAAACATGTCCACCCAGAGCTTCCAGAACATTTCACATTCTTCATGTTCAAAATAACTCCTTTTACTCCTTCGTGCTACCTTGATTCCCTGAATTGGGCGTGCACTCTGCACATTCTTCACCGTCTTGTCTTCCCGGGCCCCGCTCCCTGTGTTTCCATTGACCTAGCTAATTCCGGTGTGTCTTAGAGTTTGGTCCCATCCCACTTTCTCCAGCGGTTCTTCTCTGACACATTAGGACTTGGCCAGGCATCCTTTTGTGAGGACCGGTGGCGTGGCACTCTCCCTCCCTGCCACAGGCCCCATGCTCCAGCGACTGTTTCCCTCCTTCCCCAGACTGTGACAGCTGCATCACATCTGTCCTCAGTTGTCTCCCCATTCCCTTTTCTCTAGCATAGTGCTTAGGGCACAGTACTTACTCCATATTATTGCTGAATGGATTTAGAATTCTAAAAAAGTTAAGAAATGTAAATTTCAGAAAAAATACTGATTCAGAATGAAATCCAGGTTGATTTAGAATTATCACAAGTGGAATTAAAAAAGAGTTGAAACTAATTTTTAAAAACTGCCAGTTCAGTGAGTAGAGTATTTCCCCAGAAAGAGAGATCTTAGCAGTAACTTACATGTTGTGTGCTTTAAAAGTAGTACATAGCATTCCCCTCGGAGTTCAGATGTGATCGGTAGGGAGTGAGTCTGGTACAGAACTTGAGAGCCAAATTGATAGGAATAGTTTTTCCTTCCTTTTTTCTTTTCCCTCCCTCCAACCCTTCTTTCCCTCGCATTTATGAAAGCTTTGTTTCCATTGTTAAGAATGTAGTCTTTCAAAACATTAAAAGGAAGAGTGAGAAATGTTGAATGGAAAATCCGTGGTACTCTTGTGTGGATTTGGACTTCAGAGGGCTTGTTTACTTGTTAACTTCTGTCTCACCAGCTTGCATCCTTGTCCCCACTTGTCACCTACCACGCTAGGGCCTGGGGCCAGTGAGCTTCCATCTTGTGTTTCCATTGGTAGAAAAGTAAGCCGCTTTCTCTTTGCAAACCAAAATATCTCACTAATTATTTAATGTCCCTTTTGACCGTTCTCTTTTCCTTTACCCCAAAAAACAAACAAAAAAAGACAGGTGTCTCCATGATGGATCCAAATCATTTCCTGATGATAATGCTCAGCCGCTTTGAACTTTATCAGATCTTCAGTACACCAGAGTATGGGAAAAGATTCAGTTCCGAGATCACCCAGAAGGTAGGAGTGCATTTTTCCAGGCACCTGCCTAAAGAGAGTCTTTCTTCTTTGTGGCTGTGTCACTCTCTGTGAGAATATAGTATATATGCTCTTCTCTCTGATCCCACTTGCAGGATGTTGTTCAGCAGAACAATACTCTAATAGAAGAAATGCTGTACCTCATTATAATGCTTGTTGGTAAGTTTCGATCATTTAACAGATTCACACATTAGGTTGGATTTTGGGATTGTAGTTCACAATGTATGACCTGTGTTTCTTCTGTTGAGAGACAGTTACCAGTTTTAGGGAAAGGGAACTGGAGCTTTCTCTTTTCCCACCCTGTAGACCCTGTAGTGTTGGATGCTCCTTGTCTATACCTCTTGCTTCCTGACCTCTGGTCCTTCCTCTAACGTAGCAGCCAGAGCGCTCCCTGCCAAAAGCCAGCACTTGCCTCTGCGTCTGAGATGCAGAAGTGTGGCCAGGAGCCGCTCTCTGCTGACTTGTTCGCACCCAGAGATGAAAACAGGAGCACAGGGTCGTGCTGCATGTGTTACAGGTGTGTCGCCTGAGGATTGTGGTTGTGTTAATGTGGATGTCCACCTTCTCATTTTTGCAGGTGAGAGATTTAGTCCTGGGGTTGGACAAGTAAATGCTACAGATGAAATTAAGCGGGAGATTATCCACCAGTTGAGCATCAAACCTATGGCTCATAGTGAATTGGTAAAGTCTCTGCCTGAAGATGTAAGTACCTACCTTGTATCATAGGTTAGTTGTAGTAAGGTCTCATATGTAGTTCAGGCTGGCCTTGAGCTCACTGTAGAGCCCAGGCTGACAGCAGACCCACGGTGATCTTCCTGTCTTAGCCTCTGGAGTGCTGGGATTATAGGCTTGTGTAATCATAAGTACCTTATAAAAAGAAAATTGTAGTGAGCTTTCCCCACGTGTTAGTCTAGTAGTGGAGATTTACTTCGATATACATTTCTCACAGTTGTAAAATCTGTAATTCTAAATTGTGTATAACTCTGTATGTAATATAAATAATTAGAAAAACTAGGAGGAGGAATGGAAAAGAGAATAAGGCTATAATTTTACTTATTTATTTATTTATTTAGAACCAGGGATCGAACTTGCAACGTTGAGCTTGCCAAGCAGGCATTTATGCCACTGAGCTAAATCCCTGGCCCACGGGCTATGATCTTTTACAGTAAACCTTGGAAGACAATAAAGGCTGAGGAGGGGACCTGGTCCTTACAAGTGGATTTTTATACTATTAGAGAGTTACTGTAGCATCTGGTAGTGCAGAATTAGTGTGGGAATAGAGTCTCATACGTTGAGGACGTGAGAAGTACTGACGCACGTGTGTGAGTAGACTAGACCAAGTTTTCCAGAACTGTTTTCTTCTCAGACATCCAAAAATTCACCGTAATAATGAGCCATTTTTTCAGTTTCATGAATGCAAAATACAGTCCCAGGACACTGAATGTTGAATTCTGGCTGTTTTCCACTCAGCGTCATCATTTCCTCAGCCATCTAGTTCTCAGCCATGGTGATTTTGAGACTCTGCACTCTCAGAACTGAGAATGGGCCCTGTTTTCATTAAGGCTTTTTAAATGGTTCCCCAAATTTGAAACAGGTCAAAACTTTCAGCCTTCATTCTGCGATTTCAACTTGCTGTATTTTTGTTGTGGAGTAAATGTCTTTTACACTTCATTGTGAAAAAGTTGAAGCACGTACAGATACAGGACACTCAGTGTGCCAAGTCCCTCACTGACTAGTCTTGTCTGTCTGTACCCTGATCCCTATCCCGGTGGCCCCGATTGTTTTGTATAGGATACCGCGTTTACCGTGTCATCAGTAAACAGGCCCCTTGCCCTGGGACAGTGCTCTTTGGGAGGGACAGGAGGGCAGTGTCACTACTCGGTACAAAGTAACAGTGCTCCTAGTGTCTGGTGGGCAGAGCGGAGGGCCCACAGTGCACAGGTCAGCCCTGCAACTCAGACTCCAGGGGTGGCCTCCAGGTCTGCAGAGCCGAGGTGCAGTGACTGCTGTAGAAGAGCTTAGGGCTTTGGACCAGCCTATCTGTGTGCCATTGTCATACGTAAAAACAGTAGCACTTAATGTCTTAATCACAGGTTTACTCAGAATAAAAATGACCTTCACTTTTTAATGCAGAAAATAAATCCTGGATTGTTACATGAGGGCATATAGTTTAACCTGAACTTTAGGAAAGAACGGGCTTTAAACATGCTTTAAAGGGTTGTACAGAATGATGCCAACTATATCTCCCTAAACATTTTGACCAGAGAATCCTTCATTCGTAGAATTTCTGTTAACCTCTTGGAAGTACTATTATATTGGAGATAAGCAATTAATACAACTATTTTACAAAGTACCGTAAATACTTTATTTAAATTATATAAGTGTCTTAATACACTTTGTGTTATCATTTAATTCCTTCAAAAGCTCTTACCTTGATTGCATTTGGCAGTGACATTTTTAGAAGTTTTAGTTTGGATGAATGAATGTCAGAGTGCCAGCTAAGTGTGCCCGGCTGTGTACGCTCACTGTGCTCACTGTGGAACCCTCCTTACAGCGGGATAGTAATGTTGTGAGGGTTAGTGAGGTGAAGCGCAATGTTTGGAGTTCAGCAGCTGTCGTTGTTAACATGGCACATGCTCCTTTCCTGTCCCTTTAGGAGAACAAGGAGACTGGCATGGAGAATGTCATTGAAACAGTTGCCCATTTCAGGTAGGTTTACTTCCTGTTACTTCACATTTTGTGGGGTTTGTTTGGTGTGAGTGGAGGCTTTGTTCGTGTTTCTGTGTGTGTGCGTGTGTGTGTGTGTGTGTGTGTGTGTGTGCGTGTGTGTGTGTGTTTTGTTAGTGCTATTTGGGGTTGAACCTAGGATGCACTGAGCTCTATTTCATTCCCCTTTTGATTCTGAGACAAGGTCTTACTAAGTTGCACAGGCTGTGCTCAAACTTGCAGCCTTCTCATGTCTGTGGGATTACACGTGTGTGCCACCTGGGCTGGCTTGTGGTGGTTGTGGTGGTGGCATTGTTTTTAATCTTCTTTATTAGGGTGTTTCCTTTACTGGAACTGAGAGTGAAATTATTGCTTTCAGAGTGACATTTTCAAGTTCAAGTACTGCATTCAATTTCTCACTGACATTGTATTTTCATGACCTAGGCCTGTACTTAGAGGCTAAAGCAGTACTGTGAGGGTCTCCATAGCGTTCAGACCGAGTATTCACTGTTTCAAATAATAGGAGTTAATCTGAGCGGTGACGTGAGTAAATCATTAGGGTTTCCAAACATTGCTTTCTTTGTTTTTGCTTGAATGTTCCACTAGGATTGTGACGTAGCCTGAGTGCTGCCTTGTGTGCTGTCTACTGTGATTCTAATCAATAAGCTGATTTATCTCCTAAAAGCTATCCAGGCATTTTGTTTGTTTTTTTGGTTTTTGTTTATTTTTGTTTTGTTTTGAGACAGGGTCTCACTATGTAATTGAGGCTTAACTTGAGCTCACTGTGTAGCCTAGGCTGGCCTTGAACTCATGACTGTCCTCCTGCCTCAGTCTCCCAAGTACTGAGATTACAAGTATGTGCCACCATAACCCACCCATTTTCTTAATCATGCTTTTTCCCCACCGTAATGGCAGTGTTTTGGTTTGTTTGTTTTATTGGTTTTAAAAACAATACATGCTTTTCCAGAAAATACAGAAAAGTAGGAAGAAAAAGTATCACTGTAACCATTCAGGTGACTTATGCATTTTAGATGTACAGTATTTGTTCAAAGCTTTTTTCTATACTTGCAACATTTATATCTGTATATGTAAGTGGCTAGGAAGATAAAAACGGGTCCATTCTGTATTACTGTGCTTTAATCTTTTTTAAACCATAATGGGGTATGTCTTGGTGTTCATATCTTTTTTGGTTTTTGTTTAGTTTGACCTAGTATGCCTTGTTGGTACATTTGGGCCTGTTTCATTCTTACTACGCCTTGAGGGTCACTTCCTGTGATATATTTAACCTCTTCCCTGTGCGCTCTTTTTCCCTCATCTCCCCCCCGTTCTGGGGTTTGAAGCCAGGGCCTTAGCATGTTTCACTGCCACTTGCCTACACCCCCACCTGTGTATAACTGTTAGACATCATCTGGTTGGAAAATGTTACCTTACTTTGCATTACTTCACCAGAGAGGTTGAGTGCATTTTCATGTGGTATTCACCATTTGTAATTACTCATACCTTTTTCTTTCTTTTTTTTTTTGGACTCTGGATTGAACTCATAACACCTGACGCTTACCAGGCAGGCACTTATGCTGCTGAGCTAAATCCCTGGCTAGTCATAGTTTTGTGTATGTTTCCTTGCAGTTGTCACCATCATGATGTTCCATAAACACTTCTTACATATTAGAGATAGTTACTCTTAACTATAGTAAATGCATTGCAAGTGCTTTCTATCACTTAATGTTTATCTTTATAATATCATCTCTCACAAATGTTTTAAAATCGTTTTTCTGCATTGCTGGGTGTCTAGGTTTTGTAACCTACTTAAGTTTCCTGCTGGGCATGCTGGTGCAAGCTTATAACCCCAGCACTTGGGAAACCGAGGCAGGCAGGGATCACTGTCAGTTCAAGGCCAGCCAGAACCACATAGTGAGACCCTGCCTCAAAAAGAAGATTCCTCAAATTGAAACATTGTTTCTGCTCTTTTCTGCAATAGAATTTACAACAACCATCTTGACATGTCATAGTATACTTTAACCACTTGCTGGTCCAGTTACTTAAATACATAATGACAAAAGATTGCCTAGTTTTTTGTGAATTTTATAAGATAACAAAAAACATAAAAATGACAAATTTATCAAATTTATTCAATTGAACAATCCACAGGTTGAAGTGACACCCGGGTGAGCAATGCATAGGATAGTCAGGGCACAAACACGCTGAGTGACACTCAGGGTAAACTGTTAAGTGGTTGACATCACTTTTACTGTGCTTCAATTGCTTGGAGCTATTGAAATCTAAGTAACCTGTTCTTGGTTAAACTGAAATTGCTGCAGTCACTTGTCCATCACATTCATATGTCTAGTTAGGAGGGAGAAAGTAACCATGCTGGAGAAAAACGGATGCACATACAGACCTGCAGTTAGAGTGCCAGAGTAACACACAAAAAACTGTTTGAGCTCAGCACCCCAGCAGCAGATGACAACTCTGTTTCTTCTTCTAACGTCTGAGACCCTCACGAATTTATTTTTTTGTTGTTGTTTTTCTTTTATTGTTGTTTAATTAGTATATAACTTTAGCAGTAATATACTAAGGGCCTTTATTTTTTAACTAGGAAACCTGGATTAACAGGACGAGGCATGTATGAGCTGAAACCAGAATGTGCCAAAGAGTTCAACTTGTATTTCTATCACTTCTCAAGGGCAGAGCAGTCCAAGGTAATTGGGAAAATTAAAGCTATAAAGGGAAAGGACTGGATACTTCTTTCCCCCTGGAAAACTCTCACTGCTTTTCAGACTAAAAAGGGCTTTCCCCCATTCTTGTAGAAATTTTGGAAAATATAAAAAAGGTATAAATACAGAAGAAAGTATAAGTAACTGCCTAACATTTCAGGGTTCCCCACCTAACACTTTGTGCACAGCTGTGTAAGCTCTGTGTAACTATAAATGCCTGTATGTGCATAATTGTATGTTGTTGGCTTTTGAAGAAAAAGCCCTACAGCAGACCATTTGTGGGGCATGCCATCTATTAACAGCCAGGGTTTGGGTCAATAGTCTGATAGTTTTTTCTTTACAATGCTTGTTATTCTCACAGCTGCAACATGTATTCCTTTGGTTCAGGGAGAGGAACACTGGGCTTACAGACCTAATCCACCTCTGCTCAGACCCTTAAGTTGGGTGGACAAGCACCAGAGATTTAATTCTATAGAAAACAACAATCTTATATTTACTATACTGCCAGGCCCTTATATTTTCATGCATCTACAAGAATAAGCTAAAGTAAATATTACCTGTCACTTTGTATATCCTCCCTTATGTGTAACTCCACTACGGCAAGACTCTAACCCACGTATGTCTGCTGTAAATCAGGTTTGGAAGATATGATTGTCAAAAGAATAGTTTACTTACTGACCTTGACTTTTATTCCCTAGATGATAACCTTGTTAGAGAGTTCAAACCTAACATTCCTGTCTGTATTCCAGTAGCTCGTGCCCCTCATTTCGAGGAAGGTGATTTGGGCCCTTGGCAGTCTTGCAGAGATCCATACCATTGGCGGATTATACACAAATTCAATTATTCCTTTATAGACTAGTGTCCCAGAGGTTTACTTATGGAAAAAGGTCAAGATTGGCATGAGATTTCCTTTTCAGACTCTCCTGACCATACAATAACATTTAAATAATACTAACTCTAATATTACATGGTCAGGTAGAGTCCTCAATTCTCCTATTCCTAGACTTATTATCAGTGACAGGGCTGGGCCCATCCAGCACGCTTTATGGAAGCTAGCCCTGCATTTTCATGCAGGACAGCTGCAGGCTGAACATCTGCAGTCAGTTGATGGAGGAAAAGTAAAAGCAGTGTTACAGAGTGATAGGCATTAAGAGTAAACATACGTGTTCATGATCCTTATATACTGTTGATAGGAAAGACAGAATGGCAACAAAATACATTCTCATGTACTAATTGTTATCTAACCCATTGTATCATACTTGAGTTTCTTTCTAAGGACTGCTCGATAATAATCATGGACAGACTGCCTAGAGTTTGGCTTCCAGTCAATGTACCAGAGCATTGGTATCACTCACCTACTGCCCTCTTGGCGAAAAACTTGATCAGAAGATTTAATCAAACCAAGAGGATGCTTGGGTTGATTACTGCAGAGATTACTTCCTAGTTCTCTTGCTAGTCAGTACAGATACTGGCTCTACAGCATTAGCACATTTAATACAAAGTCACAAATGCAAGTGAACATTCTAGAGACTTCAGTCCTGTGGATGGGAGATCAAATTAAAGCTTGCAGTTACAACAAGGCATAAAGTGTCACTATAAGGTGACATTTTTTTAATCACCCCATTGCCATATTATAAAATCCTACATCCTTGGGAGATTATCAAAAGGCATAAAAAAGGAGTGATTCATCAAAATGTTACTGTGGATATAGATGCTTTTCAGAGACTAGTGCTGTCCATGTCAAACAGACAGCTATACCCAAATTAAGAGTTGAGGTCAAGTTTGCTGATGCCATAGGACAATTAAATCCATTTGTACACCTCAAGGCTCATTTTTGGTTTTATATCCAAATTGGTGTGCTTATTCTATTCTTTATAATTTTTCTCATTAAAACCTGTCTTAGAGGGCTGGGGATTTAGCTCAGTGGCATAAGTACCTGCCTTGCAAGCAGGTGGTCGTGAGTTCGATCCCCGGTACCGATAAAAATGAAAAAGACAAAAAAAAAAAAGCCTGTCACAGAGGATTCACTACCCAAAGACAACTACAGGCCATACAACCACAACTAGCCCTGCTAGATCCACAAAACAAGGGAGAGGTATGGGAGACAACCCCAGTGACTCCCCTTGAATGCGAAATAATTACTGGGACTTTGATTATCTGGAACTTATTTCCTTATACCGATATGTAGGTTGCTGACTATGGTATTTCCTTCTCTTCAACTGGCTCTAAACATTACAAATAAGGTGCTGGTATATAATCTCTAGAGCCAACAGACAGTCCGGTTTCCTCGAGTAGTGTTCTTCATACCCAGATATGAGCACAGTGGAATGCTAGAGTCAGTAACTCCAGGATTGTCAACTGGGTGTGAGCTTGAAGATAAAGAGGCCATCACTCCCCAGGGCACAAGAGTTTACATATCAAAAACCAAAGCAACAGCCTCCCAAAACAATTCCATTACTACCTTAATTAGATTGTGAAAATTGATCCCTCTGTATATCTTTATCTCTGCAATTTACAAAGATGCCATTCTCCCACCTGGCCAAGCAGCTCAGGTTACATAATTCCTGCCATCCTCACTGTCACTCATCCATGCCCACCCCCCTTCTTCACAAGAGAATAAATTCTGGGAAAGGCCTAGGATCAGGGCCTTTGTCCACATTTCCTCATGGGAACTGGACTTAGGACCCCTTGGCTACCCTTAACTTGGAATGTCTTGGTGTCTTTTATCTCACCGTAGGTTGCGTTGGAGGTGGTAGATTAAAATTAACTTGCTAGGATTACAATAACATCTCAGTGGGATTGCAAATACAACTTTTTGGATTGTGAGGAAAACTAGAAAGAGGATTATAATACTTGGGTGACTAAACTCAATACTTGGGAATACAATATTTTCAACCTGTATTCTTTACAGCTAATCAGGCTATTGATCTTGTGGGCAAGCATACAGAAAAGGATTAAGTAAAGACAAATACAGTCATGGTGTTTGGGTCCAAAACGCTCTGTAGGAGCTAAGACAAAGACTTTCTGGATCACACAGAGTGGAGTTTCCATAGATTCAGGGGTACAGAGGAAAAAGGCACATCTAAGGCAGAAGCAGCAAAAATGAGCAGGCTCTCGAGAAATAGAACAAGGACAGTAAATTTTGCTAATTAGGAGAACTGTTTGATCTCTAAGGTTGACGGCTTTATTGCTTTGGAGTAGGAAGTGTGAGCAGCCAGTGTGCGTGTCCTCGTGTCCTTGCTGCCTCAGCTGTGGGGTTATCTTGTCTTCAGAGCACTGTGATAGGAACTTTTCCAACACAGCCAAAGGTCCCTTCATGGCCAGCAGTTTAACCATGACATAATCCGGTCCCCAAAAGTGTGTTAACAGTTAACCCATTTTATTTACTTTCAGTTTCGGTTTGTACATGTTTCTCTTGTATTTTAAAGAGACCTCATTTGCGCAGTCATTTAGTGGGAACAGAACTTAACTTTGATGTGCACTGAGGGTGGAGGGAGCTGCCAGAACACTAAGGATAGAACTCTCCAGAAACCTTAAGGTAGTACAGCAAAGACTGACTCACACCGCTACGTGGGGTTATAAAATTGTTTCACAGTACAGTTCCTGCCCAAATTGCTTTCTCTTTTTATTAGGCAGAAGAAGCACAAAGAAAATTGAGAAGACAAAATAGAGAAGATACAGGTATTTTAAGTCTTTCCCAAAAAATCTCATATCAGTCTCTCTCACTTGCGAATTTTGTTTTCTATGAACTGTGATGTTTTCTATTGGTGAAATATAAGGCTTAAATTTAAGCTTTCTGGGTGAGCATTCTCCTTGCCAAAAGATAATATGATAATAAAAGACAGTCTATCTTGGAGTTGATAGTTTTTTTATCTCAGAGCTTGAGATATTTCTAAGAAAGACTTTCCTTTGTTCTGTTCCTATTTATCCCGCTGTTTCTGTTGGTCTAACTGACCCTGAGAAGATAGTGTGTAGCTTTAAGATGTGCATTAGTGAATATTCTTTGAATGAAGACCGTAAAAAGTACGTAACCAAGGGACAGCTTTTTAAACATGTCCTGCAAAGGAACCGTAACGACTCTACTTTCAGCACTTCCACCTCCAGTTTTGCCTCCTTTCTGCCCTCTGTTTGCAAGTCTGGTTAACATTTTGCAGTCAGACGTCATGTTGTGCATCATGGGAACGATACTGCAGTGGGCTGTGGAACATAATGGATATGCGTGGTCAGAGTCTATGCTGCAGAGGGTAGGTCTGACAACACTTCCTATATTTTCAAAACCAAAATACTCTTGGCAATATCTACACACTAAAAAATTATCTAATTTGTAATACAATATTATCACTGTTCCTTGTGTTTCTAACAATGAAAGTGTGCGCCTAGCAGATATTTTGAAGCCTTGTGGTTGTGTTCACCTCAGCCCATCGGCGGGTCTGTCCATCACTGGCTCTGGCCTTTATGTGTGCTCTGTGCTGTTGGTGTTGTGTTAGTTTTGCTATATGTCACATTCAGTTCTCCAAAAACAAATTGGCTTCGTCAATATTCATATTTTTCCTCCTTTTTTTATGATGCTGGGGATTGAAGCCAGGGCCTTATACATACAGGAGAGAGCTCTACCACTGAGCCACATCCCCAGCCCACTGTATTCCTGTTACACAGTTGAAGAAACTGAGAGTTGGAGGTTTATTTTCCTGTATAATTAAACAGTGGCAGGTCTAGAACTTTGTTTGAATCTTACGGTTTGAATGCAAGTCATTCTTCCATTAACTTGTTGAATTCACACACACTCCATGAAAACTTTTGTTCACTATATAGCTGAGAAGGGCAGGTTTCAGTAAGTAACTTCCCATGTTACTCAATTAGGGGCAGCAGTTACTCAGAATGCCTACTCCATGCCTTGCCCCCTGCTAGATCTTTAACATACAGTATTTGTCATGCTCAAACTCCAGGGGAAAGTTGTCTGTAGGTTAAAGATCCTGATAAGCCAGGCTTGGTGGCAAATGCCTGTAGGGCCAGCACAGTAGGAAGCTAAGGCAGGAAAATCACAAGTTGGAACCCAGTCTGGGCAGTTTGGCAACTTAGCAAGACCCAGTCTCAAAATTTAAAGAATAAAAAAAGGCTGGGCATGTAGCTCCATCCAATGGCCCTGGGTTTAATCTCTGGTGTCACCAAAAAACAAAAAGACATCATCTCAGAGAGGTTGCCTGAGAAGATACAGCTGCCGTCCTTTCCCTTCTCAGTGCCTAAGGCTCCTGTGTGCTCCCACACCCGCTGTTCATAAGTATGTATTTGAAATATAAAAGCAGGGAGCCATACAGAGACCTCTGCCGGGCTTGTGTGAGCAAAGGCTGTGCAGGCAGTGATGAAGCAGGGCGGCGTGTCAGTGTCTGCCTTATGCACACCCGAGCCATGCTGCTGCGCCTGGCTCTTCCAAGTCTCTGATCTCAGCTTGCCCCCTGTGCGAGGGCGGAAGAGAGACCGCACACCCATCTCCTTCAGAAACTGGGAGCAGAGTTATTGTAGTAAAAATACAAACAGACTCAGTGTAGCTGTGTGTTTTCTTAGAAATCTGGTAAGGAACTTTTCTGTGAGATCACTATCAACATTTTAATGAATTACGGCAGTAAAGATAAAAATATGTCTCTTTTTCAGATTATTAAGATTCAGTCCTTAGGAACAAAAAAAAAGATTCAGTCCTTAAAAGGCAGTATCAGAGTGAATAATCATATGATAATACCTTAATCTGTGTGTTTCTTTGGCCAGTGATTGTTAGATTTTTTTTCAAGTCCTTAGTAGAGATACGAAAGCAGTGTGTTATAGGAATTGCTTGGTCGCACCTGCAGATAATTGTAGCTTACCCTAAGAATTCGCACTTAAAGTTTGTTTCTCAGTGAAATGGAGAATATTGTTTTCTTTGCCAAGAATCTTTACTAGAAAATTAACTTTGTTCTTTGAATTTAATAAAAATTAATACTAAATGTTTTAGTACAATCTTTAATATAGATCAATTTATCTTTGAGTACTAATTCTTTTTTTTATAAAAATATGTACTTGATTTTTTCTTTTTTTTACTAAAAGTTACAAAACATATTTTATTTGAGGTGTTACATTTAATTGGAATGGCACTGCAAGAAGAAAAGCAGCATTTAGAGAATGCCATGGAAGAGCACGTAGTGACGTTCACCTTCACTCAGAAGATTTCAAGTATGTACATACGTGTTACTAAACTAACTCAACGTATAAGGAATTTTAAATAATCACTTACAACCTCTCTGGTCTGGTCATATAAGCTCTAAGTTGGGTAAATTCAATCCAAATATTTGAGGTACATGTATTCATCTGCATAATGAAAGTCCTATTATTAGAATAACGATAGGTTATAACCACACGGAATGGGGGCGCATGCCTGTAATCCCAGCACTCAAGGAGGCAGAGGTAGGAGGGTTGAAAGTTTGAACTCAGTCTGCAAATTAGCAAGTTAGGAAGACTTTGTCTCAAAATAGAAAAAAAAAAGGTGGAAATGTAGCTGATTGTGAAGGCCTGGGGTTTCATCCCCACCCACACACTCACCGTAGGACCTGTACACAGACCTGTACACACTTAACAAGTTTTATTCCATAAGCAGCAAAAAAGTGTTCTTTTTTTGAAATTGGTGCAGCACATTTATCTCAATTGTTGCTGTTATCGTGTAAAAATATAATAAGAGATTTCAGTATTAATAAGAAAAGTAACTACTAGAAGATTGGACGCTCATATAAAGTAAGGTAACTTAATTTTTTAAGAAGGCCAGGAAGATGTTTTTCTTAGCATTTTATTTTTAAAAATTATTAACCAGTTGAGAATTGTACAGTAAATGTCCATATACTTCACACTGGGTTCAGTAGTTAGTATTGTGATACTTTAGCTTTCATATTTACCACTTTTTTGAACCGTATAATGTAGACATCATAATGTTTCACCTCGTAATGAAGTGTATCCTTGGTCTGGCTGTATGACTCATTGGTAGAGCCCTTGCCTAGTATGTGCCAAGGTCCTGGGTTCCATTCCCAGCACCATGGAAAAAATTTTTTTCCCTTTATTTCATAGTAAGCAGTTGGTTCAATAATCACCTGCAGTGGTGGCAACTTTGATTCTTTCTTTTTTATGTAGGTTTTTTTGGTTTGTTTTTGTTTTTTGTTTTGTTTTGTTTTTTGGTACAGGGGATCGAACTTGACCTTGTGCTTGCCAGACAGGTGTTTATGCCACTGAGCTATATTTCCAGCCCCTTGTGTAGGTTTTTTAAGAAAATACTGCTCATGCATTCTTTTTTACCAGCTGTTTCATAGTCAGTGTGATCATTTCCCTGCTGCTCAGACTGGAGTGCATGTGGTCAGTGGGGGAGCCACGCTGTGCGCTTCTGGGCTGCTCTTGCCTGGCCCAATTTGTGTTTAGGCACCACCTGTCATTCTGGTGCAGAAGGAGCCCAGGAGCAGCCTCCCTTCCCCTGCCCAGACCTGCAACTGGCCACCTGCTGGGGTGCTTAGGGATGACTTAGGATGCTTCGGTAGGGATTGTGAATTTCTGGTACAGGGTTATTTCTGTACCGTTCTTCAGTGCCATTTCTGAATGGATGACAAGGACTGTGAGAATGTTGTATTCTTCTGGAAAACAGAGAGGTAGTCATCCTATTTGTCACTGAATCTCTAGTTTTCTCCTTTGGCTTTTCAAGTAAAGGAGAGCAAGGGGGCAGTGGCGCTCCTACAAAGGCCATCTTGGTGGGTCCAGCTTTCCCTGCCCTCTCCACCATGGCCAGGCCATGCATGCACAGTGCACCTTCACCACCTCTGTCTCCATGCTTTCCCTGTGGGGTAACCACACACTCCTGACCTGTCCCCTCACCTCAAGGAGACGTCAGCCTCTCTCCTGTCTGTCTTAAGCAATCATCTTCTCTGGTCAATACTCTTACTTCTTTTGAAACATTATGTAAGTAAGATAAAAATATGTATTTATTTGCAGAGAAACTTCTCCCTGATCTAGAGACAAATCCCTAATACACACCCATAGACTTTTAGATCAGGAAGAATATTAAAAATGGCATGGCATGTGCCAGAGATATAGCTCAGCAGCATATGCACCTGCCCAACAAACACAAGGTCATGAGTTCAATCCCAGTACCAAAAAAAAGTAAAAATGACACAGTTTAGTCCTTCCCCTCTTAGGAAAAAAGCCCACTTGCCAGAATAGTAGCATATAACTGAAGAAAATCAACAACTGGACATTTCTGGCTACAAACTGGATTAGCTGATACTGGAGTAAATGTACTCTTGAGAATACATATTTTTTTCTTCAAAAAAGAAGCAGTGAGTTCATAAAGGAAGGAAATTTATCTTATTTTGAATCTAGCTCTTTTTTTTTTCTTTTTGTACCGAGGATCAAACTCACAACCTTGCATTTGCCAGGAAGGCACTTTTGCTGCTGAGCTGTATCCCTGGCCCTATTGAATCTAGCTTTTATTAAAGAAAAGTCCAAGTGAGCTGATACATTTATGCATATTTGCATCTCCATAATCCTAGCTGGTTTTCTTAGACATAAAACCTTGGGTAGACCAGTTTTGAGGTTTTTTTAAGCTGAGTTTTTATGTACTATTGCTAGAGGGTACATTAAAATAATCAGTAAGTATAAAGAAGTCAGTTTTTAATGCTTAAAGGATTGTTAAAATGTGCTTGTAAAGCCTGAACACATCACATTCTCAAGAACTGAGGCCTGCCAACAAGCAGAACTGTAACAACGAGCTCAGGTTCTGTGAGAAAGTGGTGCCTCACTGTGCCTTCCACTCTGCCTCAGAGCCTGGGGAAGCACCGAACAGCTCCCCGAGCATACTGGCCATGTTGGAGACGCTGCAGAACGCTCCCTACCTGGAGGTGCACCAAGACATGATTCGGTGGATACTGAAGGTAACAGTTTGGGCGCTGTGCCACTCCTTGTGAGAACCGTTAGATACTTGTCATGTATACATTGCAGTGTTTTGTAATGTGAAGCTAACTGATAGTTTCTTTTTTCTGGTAGACATTTAATGCAATTAAGAAGATAAGAATGAGTTCATCAACCAGTCCCGTGGCAGAGGCAGAAGGAACTGTAATGGAGGAGGTATAAGAAGTGTGCACTGAGTAATCCCAGCACTCCGGAGGCTGAGGCAGAAGGATCTGAAGCTCAAGCCCAGCCCAGGCAGTTTAGCGCCTTAGTGAGCCCGTCTCAAAATAAAAAAGTCTGGGGATATAGCTCAGTATGGAGGTCCTGGGTTAAACTCCTGTACCACAAAAAAAAAAAAAAAAAAAGTAAGGTGTGTGGGGCTGGGTTTGTAGTATATCAGCAGAGAACTTGCCTAACATGCTAAAGGCCCTGATTCCATTCCAAGCTTTGCAAAGATTAAAATAAGGAAACAAGGAAAGTATGCTAATACTGAAAACTATGTTAAGTTAATAACATTTGCAAACATTTAAATTCTAAGAAACGTCCCACTCTTTATTTGTTGTGGCAAGTTTTTGATTTTTGTTTTGTATTTTGGTTTGATTTGCTCTAAAGTATGGTAATTAAGAATCTTATGTTCTATATGCTTGGCTTGGTGGCATATGCCAGTAATCCCAGCCCTCTGGGAGGCTGAGGCAGGAGGATCACCATGAGTTCAAAGCCAGCCTGAACTACATAGCGAGACCCTGTCACAAAAAAAAAAAAAAAAAAAAAAAATTCTTCAAGTAAGATTATAGAATAGTTTAATTGATGTTTATAATAGATATTTTTGCTTTGAGAAAGAATATGCATTTAATGTCTAACAGTGTGAATGAATCATAATTTCAGAGTTCAAGAGACAAAGACAAAGCTGAGAGGAAGAGAAAAGCTGAAATTGCCAGACTGCGAAGAGAAAAGATCATGGCCCAGATGTCTGAGATGCAGCGGCACTTTATCGATGAGAACAAAGAGCTCTTTCAGCAAACGTTAGATCTAGAAGGCTCTTCCTCCACCGTTCTTAACAACAGGTAAAGAGAACACCCGTAAGTTCTTCACCTCTTGGTCAGTGACTCTCACCTAGGCAGTGTTATTACTGTTTTTTACTTATCAGTACATTTTTTAATCCTAAAGTAATTTAGCAGAATCAGTAAGTAAATTTTGTGACCTCCAGGTAAAGGAGCTGTCCTTAGAAAGCTCTGGCTGTAGATAAGCTTGTTAACTCAATTGAACACTTAACTGGTATTTTGGACACCGGACTTGACAATCACAAAGGCGTGAAGGCTCAACCTCTGGGTCTGAGGTGCATAGTGGATTGCTGGGTAGAGTTAAGGAGGGGCCTTTAATACAGGTGAAAGACTTCTGTGAGCCAGGTCACCAAAACCATGTTTGAAATCTGTACATTCTGGAGTCTAGCATTTGATACTTACGCAGAAGTTCCTGGGCCCGTTCGTTCATTCCTGACCTTTTTGTCGCAGCCCCGTGGTTTCAGGTATGACCCTTACAGCCCTGGGCCCAGCACAAACACAGGTCCCTGAACACAAACAGTTTGTGACCTGTATATTGTGTCAAGAGGAGCAAGAAGTTAACGTGGAAAGTAGAGCCATGGTCTTGGCGGCATTTGTCCAAAGATCAACCGTACTGTCAAAAAACAGAAGTAAATTCATTCAGGATCCAGGTAAGTCATAATTGGCCTTTGTCCTCCTCTTCATGACTGCCAACCAGTGTGACTGGTGTTAATGAAGAGATTTCGTTAATTAATGACAACTCCATAGGCACATCAGGGAGAATGACTTTGATAGGAATTGCCCACTTGATGACTACTCCAGAAGGTTAAGGGTCATCCCTGACTCATACAGCTGTTAAATACATAGGGCCAAGGAAAGACTTTGCTTTGTGATGTGACATTCATGTACGTTGTAGCTGACAGTCTTTCCTACCTGCCAGCCACTTGTGAAGTTCTCAGCATTGGCGGACCGTGGTTAACAGCCATTGCATCGTCTTGTGGGTGAGGCCAGGCTGCTCAACAGCACTGCTGCAGAGATGTATGTGAAAAATGAGTCTGGAGCCAGGTGTGGTGCTGCACACCTGCAATCCCAGCACTCAGGATGCTGAGGCAAGAGGGTCATTGTGAGTTCGAGGCCAGCCTAAATAAGGCCAGCCTGAACTGCACAGTGAGACAGTCTAGAGCCAGATTCTGATACAGATAGTGACATCATCACAGATAGGATTCCCAGGAAGCAGCCTTGACACAGATTGCTATGCAGGACATTCATGGGGAGGTTGAGGGTGAAGAGTTCCCAGGGCCTCCGGGAGCCCATTGGGACCGCACACTGGATGCCCCAACACTGAGAAGTGACTGGCTGCGGGCCACCCTCTAATGAGGTCTGACCTGAGTGCTACAGTTTTCTGAGAGGGAGAAGAGTTGAGGCCTCTTTCCCTGCAGCCAGGGGAGTTCAGTGGCTTCTCCCACCAAGGAATCTGGGCTGCACACTTTTACTCCTTGGTTTGATTGCTGCCTGCTGAAAACATGCACCTGCATATGATCACACAACACCACTAGGCTGCTTCAAGTAGAACAGTGTGCGAACTCGAGCACTCGTCAGGCAGAGCTGCTCACCACGTAGGGCGGAAGAGTGTTTGAGCGGTGTTGCTGTCCCTCTGTGAAGGCTGTCTCGATGGGACTCTGGGGTGGACTAGCTATGCAAGACTGGTCTGCTTTATCTTCAGAAATGGCTTTTTGAAGCCAGGTGGCACACACCTGTAACCCCGGCACCTGGGAGACTAAAACAGGAAGATTGCTGCTAGTTCAAGGCCAGCCTGAGCTCCACGGCAAGACTCAGTCTCAAAAACAAACCAACCAAAAAGGTTCTTTGAACTAGTGGTCTTAAAATTCAAGTCAAAGATACAATTTCCTAACTATGTGATCTCTGAAAAAGCCTTCACAATTTATATCATAATATACTTCACTGCATAACATTTGCATTGTCCAAATATATAAAGCAGATGGAACCTTGAGTCAGTCTTTCTAGAATGCTGGCCACTTCCAGTTTATACTAATTTATACAGAGAATTTTAAAAATTCCAAAAGAAGTCAGGCATCCTTATTTGTATTTATTTTTCATCTCCTTTGAGTAATATATTAGTACTAGAACACAGTACTCTCAATTACTTTTTCCTCTGGTATGGACTTAGACATTTTCTTGTTATTTTGCTTTCTAAATAATCCAGAGTCTTGCATAAATTATTGATATTTTAAATGAAAGGAATAAACTAGCATTTCATTTCAAGTTTGTAAGTCCTTATCAAAGATTTCGCAAATTTAAGGTTGCACATTTATTACAGGAAAATTAAATGCTTGGTTTTTTGTTTTGTTTTGTAATGCAGAAAAATATGATCCATTATTCATGCACCCTGATCTGTCTTGTGGAACACACACTGGTAGCTGTGGGCACGTTATGCATGCCCATTGTTGGCAAAGGTAATTTATATTCTTAATCTTAGTCAAGCAATGTTTATCAAAGATTAAAAATCAGAATTTTAATGAAATTCCATTCTAGATTAAAGGAAAGAATTAACAAAAAACTCCATATTATTGCCTAATAAATAACAAAAAAGTGATTCGCTTTGTCATAGATGTAAAAATGTTATTTAAAGCTTCAGAATATATCAGAAGTTTTTTAATGGCGCTTTACAGCATAATGTTTGTCCTTAAAAACAGGGGAGTAAATCTGTAACGAATGGCAGGCTAGAAGAAGAAAAAGGTATCTTACAATGTGATAAATCTTTGAAAAGTAGCGTTGCTTTTCTTCAGGTCCACAGTGAACAGCTCTTGATTAGTTTTTTTCCAAAAACTGTCGGGTTCCCTGTGCTAAGGCAGGCTAACCCCGGCTTGTTCAACCTCAGTGCTTTGTGTGCCTCTGCACAGCCAGCCAGGCAGCGCTGTCACTGGAGCACAGTGCTCTCAGGGCTGTTAGAGCCGCCCCGGGTGAGCAACCTTATAGGAGTCGCCAGAGAACAGTCGCAGGAAGAAATTTCTGTTAACTGATTTCCACATGCATATTTGTAAGTCAGTTTTGTTGCCTCCTTGAGACTGCTTAACCCATTTTGGTTATTAAAATAACTCGAAGTCATAATATTCAGTGTTAAAAAGTAATTTGGTTCATGGGTCGGAGATTTATCTCAGTGGTATAAGCACCTGCTTGGCAAGCGCAAGATCATGAGTTTGATCTCTGGAACCAAAAAAAAAATGCGTTTGCAGAAAAAGCAGACTTTCCGATGTGTTACAACACAGAAATCGAAGGTCTAGCCACACTCTGTTGTATGTACATTATTCTCATATTTTCTGTTAAGTAATAAAACTGATTTCTGGATATTAAAAAAAACAAGCCAGGCATGGTGGCTGTAATTCCAGCACTCAGGAAGTTGAGGCAGGAGGATCATTGAGAGTTTGAGACCAGCTTGGGCTACAAAGTGAGTTCAAGGCCTACCTGAACTGCAGGGTGAGACCCTGTCTCAAAAAAAGAAAAGAAAAAAAAATTAGTTCATTTTTGTAGATTTTGTGGAGACAGTTTAAAATGCTGAAGCTTGTGCCTTGCACTGAAATAAGTACCATTGGTTTTGATACCATGTGTTCTCTGGTTGTAAAGGTACTTTGATTCCGTTCAAGCTAAAGAGCAGAGAAGGCAACAGAGGTTACGCATACATACGAGCTACGATGTGGAGTGTGGAGAGTTCCTCTGCCCGCTGTGTGAGTGCTTGAGCAATACTGTCATTCCTCTGCTGCTTCCTCCAAGAAACATTTTCAACAGGTAAATTTGGGCCCAAAACACCTTTAGCAAAGTAAGTACATTTGCTCTGAAGTGGTGAAATAATAAACCAGAGGGCAGCAGCCTGTGCAGTTGCGTGTTTCCCAGATACTTTCCAGTCTTCCTATTTGATGATTTCTTCTAACAGCCCTGTGCAATGTGATTTTTGGTTTCTAGAGAGGAATAAGCTAAATTTAATAGTTTCTTACCCATAAATGCTGTAGAACATATAAAATCCCTGTGTATTCTCAAAAACTGTCTCCCTTGTTTTTAGGGACCATCCTTTAAATATTCCTCATGCTTTGTCAATATGCTCAGGAAACTGAGAATAGTTTTTACCATTCACTGGGCCAACAGCATCTTTAGGAACCAGGGCAAAAAAAAAATTTGAAAATCCGTCAGTCTGTTTAAAATTCTTGTCATTCCATAATGTTAGTCAGTAAGAGTACTAGGCATATGAACCCAGTGCTGCCTCCTGTTGAGATCTGAGCTCTACTTTGAGGTTTAGAATTGCACTTCCCACCTTACGCATACACATGCACATCCAAAATCCCAAATGCAGGCTCAGTGGCACAGTACTGGCAAATGCAAGATTGTGAGTTCAGTTCCCAGTATCAAAAAAACAAAACATGTGCTATGTCTTGTGTGAACTCCACATGATGACTGATCACCATGTGCTGCTAGCATGCACCAAGAAAGATTTTTTTTTTTTTAAGTTTTTATCGGTACCAGGGATCGAACTCACAACTGCCTGCTTGCGCTTATGCCACTGAGCTAAATCCCCAGCCCCCCAAGAAAGATTTTGAGCTGGGGATTTAGCTAAGTGGCACAAGCACCTTCCTGGCAAGTGCTAGTCATGAGCAAAGTTTCCCAAAATTGCAAATGCACATATGTAACACCAAAACACTTTATATTTTTATTGCATTTTGTATTTCGGGTTTTCAGACTGTGGATGCTCAACTGAAAGAGTCTGTGCAAATACTCCAAAATGAGAAAATCTCTGAAATCCAAAATACTTCTTTCTGGTCTCAAATATTTCCGTACAGGATATTCAAACTGTATCAGTTTAAGTTTTATGAATACAGATCACCTGTTTCTGTTCAATAATTGGATTCAATTCCAAGTCAGGTTTTTCTCTTTAATTTTAGGAGTTCAAATTTTGATGTCTTAATCTCTTATGCTACCACAAAGTATTGTTAAAATATTAATGAGTTTCATTGATAACTCATGCTTTTTAAAGCCATAAAGGGATATTATGGTGTTGACATCCACCTGGATTTGAACTGATAAGAAATCATTCATTGTTAGTTAAGGATTAACTACATATTAAGAAATCACCTTTTTGGATTTCACCTGTCACTTTGGTGGTTCCATTTTGGGATTTTTCCCCATGAGTGTCATAAGGCTGTTAAAAAAAAAGAATACAATTTTTGGCTTTGGGCTTTTTGAAAAAAAAAAAATCATCTTTATTATAAGAAAAATACACAGCAAAACAGAATAGGAAGGTTGTAAGGGTGAAAAACATGGATAATGTAATCATCAAACAAACAGCCCACACGTGGCTTCCTGCTGCAGAGGAGAGATGCGGCTCTTAACCTCATTTGTCTCTCCCAGCCTAGTCTTGCCCTTAGCAGGCCTGGACCCGTGGTACCATTTTCTGATCTCTCCTCTTCCTGAGTTTGGGAAAGGTTCTGTTGTTCTCAGGCTTTCATGAAACAAAAGTTGGTATGGAAAAGGGAAAAATGTGTGGCCCTTTGTTCCAGTGCCTGTGCGGTTGTCCTCAGCCCTGTCCCTCGGTATCCATTGATACCACAGAGCCGAGCCCCAATCTGTATTTGTTAACTGTCGATGACAGATGACAGCTAAAGCTGCTTCACACCGTCTGACTGTTAGAGTCCGCTTTGCTTCCACCTTGCACAGTCAGTTCTGAAGATGAAAATCAGTTCTACCTTTACGTACTCCCTTCTTTTGCAAGGGTAAAGATAAAGACACTTGGTTTTACTTTTGTCTTTCCTCAGTCCCTTCTCCATTTGTCTATGACCAGGGAGGCACCAAGGAGTGCTTGATTACCATCTACTTTATACTGGTCTCTGGAGGCTCAGGACTAGTATACTAGAATATTGTCAGAGGAACTTAGATGGGTAGTCTTCTTTTGCTTTTTTGAGACAGGGTCTCCCAGTGCACTTCAGGCTCGCCTCAAACTCAGGTGACCCCCCTGCTTTAGCCTCCCAAGTGTTGGGATCACAGACGTGGGCCACCATTCCTGGCCGTTTTTTTCAAAGCTTTCCTATGAACCTTTGCACCTGATTCCTAGAGCTCTTGCTAACCAAGCAGCTCCACACCACAAACTCACAGCATTGTAGGAAAGATGCTAAGGAACTTGCGGAAAGAGGTAAACTGGAGCCCGTGGTCCATCTGCTCCCAGTGTGTCAACAGGCAAGCCTCTCCTTGGCCAGGAGTCTCAAAGGGTGTTCCTTTCACAGTGTGTAGGAAGACGTACATTATCAAGTTGTGGGTGACAGTGGTCAGGGTGCAGACCACAGGGATGCTGAGTAGAGCCATGTGCAGCCGACCTACCGAGATTGTGTAGGCCAGCCAGATGCCCCAACTATTCATCCCTTGCCTGTCAGAGTTTACTTCACTGTGTGCCTCTCCACATTCATCCTGACAGCCTCCAGCCAGCGCAGCTAGGGGCGAGGCACATCTTCCTGCGGCTGTGGTCTCCAGGACGGCTCCGCCCAAGCACATAGTCTGTATGGAGTCAGACCCAGCTGAGCTTGCCCTGACAGAGCCCCGCTCCTTGTGGCCTTACTCAGGCGCACTGCTGTAAACCTCATTTTTCTCATCTGTAAAATGGAAGCAATAAAGACAGCCTACCTCTAGGAATTCTTTGAGAATTAAACCTAGGACCGCAATAGTGTCACCGTGAAGCACGCTTCTATGAACTTGTCATGTGATAAGCACTTGCTAAGCATAAATGATGGTGCAGATTGCTATATGTAAGAAATTTTAGTGAATTCTAGAAAAAAAAAGTGGAATTATTAACGTTATTAACGTGATTTTGAAAATGTATTTCCATCGGCCAATATCTGGTCTGACTTTTTTTTAATGCAACAAATTTTTCCTAGTCTTTATTTATTTATTTATTTATTTTTAATGCATGAAATGGGGCTGGGGTTTAGCTCAGCGGCTCAAGTGTTTGCCTGGTAAGCACGAGGTTGTGAGTTCGATCCCCAGTACCAAAAGAAAAAAATTGAAGTGTGCATAAAGTATTGCATCTATGACAGTTTAGCACATCTTTTATGTCTTAAACTAAGCAACAGCAATAGAATATTAAATATTCTCCATTATCTTTTCTAGCAGGTTAAATTTTTCAGACCAGCCAAATCTGACAAAATGGACTAGAACAGTATCCCAGCAAATAAAAACCTTACAGAGTCTTAGGAAAGAAGAAAATGCTCCTAGTAAGTTCTGGTAATCTGCTTGTTTTTTTCCCAAAACTATTTTCTGCAGAAATTGTTTAAAAGTATTTAAAAGTTACAAACTTTGATTTTAAAAATTCGGTATATCCTTTATGTGATTAACACAAAATAAAGATAATTTAAGGCCACATGAAAGATTAATAGGAAAAGGTAAATAAATGTGAAGTTGCTGTATTCTGATTTTCCTTGCTTTGATACATGAAATTTGGCTTCATTGCATCGCTTCATCCCTGGGAAGCGGCCAGGCCCTGCGAGGAAGGCGTGACTCCTCCCCTCTCCCCCCTGTGCGGAGCCTCTGGGCAGCTCCAGTCCCCAGCTGGCACATGGGACTGTCCTCGGCACCCAGGGCTCCCACGTTTCATGGACTATGCTGCGCTTCAGACCTGGAGGGAAAGCGGTGTGAGCAGATGTGTGTCATCTGCTCTCACAGAAACAGAACAGCAGTGTGTGCTGTGTATCCTGGTGGCTGTTCACAAGGAACAAGCACCGAGGGCCGGATAAAGGCTGTGGGCTTGCTCCTCCGGCAGCACCTGGGCTAGGAAGTGCTCTGGTCAGCCGGGCCCTGTGCTTTTTTGTGCTTTTTGTTGCTGTTATGCAAGTTCCTGTCACTGAGAATTTGTTCCTATTTTTAATTTTTTTACTCACATAACTGAATTATATAGGAATATTATAATTTGATGAAATTATGAACTAAAATGCCTGTTTCTGTAGATGCTGCCTCTTCAAAGAATTCAATGAACATAGATGAATTACAGCTCCCTGCAGGTTTTAGGCCGGATTTTCATCCCACGTAAGTACACTATTCTCTCTCTCTTCCTCTCCTCTCTGTTTTTATTTGTTTTGGGTTTCTTGTTGTTTTTTGAGACAGGATCTTACCATGCAGTCCAGACTGGCCTTGAACTCACCATGTAGCCAGGCATTGCTCTGAACCTCATTTGCCCCTCCTGCCTCAGCCTCCTGAGTGCTGGGATTACAGGTACATACCACCATGGCTGGCCCTTTATTCTCTTAAATTTGGCCCACTGGAAATGCAAATTAAGTCAGCAGTTCGGAAGACTATGATTTGGCAAACTGCAGAGTAAAATGTGATTATGTTCACTAAGGTACATGAAAAAGAAACTGTGTGACCCCTGTGGCTTAACTGTTCCCAGTCTTTGCTGCTGCCCCTCGCTGAGCGCCTGCTACACTCCCATGTCTGTCTCCTTGGCATCACCTCAAGACTTCTAAATCCAAACTTTTCCACTGCCTCCCCAAATCCTGTTTCCTTTTGACTCTTTATTCCTACTTTTGGTCCCACCAAACTTAGTAACCTGGCATCAAAACTAGAGTATCTTCTATCCTCTTGTGCCCCATAACCCATCATTTACAAAGTAGAGCTTAGATTTCAGAGCTGGCCTAGTTGGTTCAGTTCCTGGCACCACTGCTTTTTAGCTGTGCAACTTTGAGCAAGTTGCTTACCCTCTCTGTACCTCATCTGTAAGGTGAGGATGACTCAGCGGTCATAAGTAAGGTACAGAAGCATGTAAAACCACTGGAGGCTGAATCTGGGCTGTGCTTAGTAACCAGTCAGAACCAAAGGCTTAAATAGAGTGGCATTCATCAGTCTTCTGCCTCGCACACTCCTCCCTACCCCCAGGCCTGTCATTTTGGCTTTTCTAGTACTCTTGTTTCCTGATTCACCATTATCTTCCTGTTGACTAGTAAATTATTTCACAATTTTTGATTGAATCAGTTGTCAGTTTTTACGATACAACTATGTTCCTGGTAGCACACGCTGTAATCCCAGCACTCGGGAGGCTGAGGCAAAAGAATTCCATTCTGAGCGTTTTTTATGTGCTTTCTTAGAGCATTTTCTGCTGTTGGGTTTTCTTTGGGTTGGTCCTGCTGGTGTCTTACCATTAGCCTTAGACCAATCCTCTCATGTTCTTTTTTGTGTGTGTGTCTTTTTCTTTTTTATTGGTACCAGGGATTGAACTCATGACCACATACTTGCAAGGCAGGTGCTTATGCCACTGAGCTAAATCCCCAGCCCCATCCTCTCATGTTCTTACAAGCTGTCTCTGTTCTCCCCGAGTTCCTTTGCCCTCTTGTTTTGGTCTGTTATACCTTTGCTGTCCTTAAATGCTTTTGGTCCTTGGGCACCTAAGAAGACACTGAGAAGCTGTTTGGGTGCTGGTGGGCAGGGTGAACTTACTGCCTGGCAGCTTCACAGTAAGGAGATGAAGCTGCCCTGTCTTGCCCTTGGGTGCTCTAAAATGTCAGTGTGTGGAGAGCTTTTCGCCGAGGATTCCTCTCTGGGAGGGACCAGTGTCGGCAGCAGTCTTGCTGACATTGTTGGGCTGGGCAGAAGAGAGCAGAGGACTCCATGGTTAACTCTGGACAGGTTTACCTGTTACGGTGTTTTCTCCCTGTGCCTCAGCCCTCTAGCCCAAGAGTTACTCCTTCTAAGCCTGGACAGTCATGCTCTCTGATTACCCCTTTGCAAACAGTTGCTACCCGTAGAGGAAAGAGTCGCTCCACCTGACCTGTTTTATTGCTATGTCCACATTGTCTTGAGCTAATCCTGTATGTGTTCCCGTTAGGAACCCTTATTCTGAGAGCATTAAGGAAATGCTGACAACATTTGGAACTGCTACCTACAAGGTAGGACTAAAAGTTCACCCCAATGAAGAGGACCCCCGCGTGCCCATAATGTGTTGGGGTAGCTGTGCATACACCATCCAGAGCATAGGTAAGTGGTTTGCCGCTGCTGCTGTCACTCATACGCTCATGTGGACTGTGGGTAGAATCTTGGTTTTAAGTGATAAAGTGGACAACAGTATGAAAAAATAAAGAGCAATAATACACAGGGCCCAGGATTTAGCTTAGTGCTACAGGTGCCTGCCTGGCAGGCGTGAAGTCATGAGTTTGATCCCCCCCCCCCACAAAAAAAATCACAAAATGTAAAGTACAGAATAGGAGCTTATCAATTTATAAACTGACAGAGAGCTCGTTTTCCTGGTGTAGTCTCTTGTCAGCTGAGGGAATTTGGATTTTTTTTTTTTTTTTTTTCTTTTCGCTTTTCATCCAAAGTCAGTTCTTAAGAAATGATTTAGGGGCGGAGGATTTAGCTCAGTGGCATAAGCACCTGCCTTGCAAGCAAGTGGTCGTGAGTTCAATCCCCGGTACCAATAAAAAAATAAAAAATAAAAACTTAAAAAATAAATGATTTAAAGATTGCAAAACTAGTTCTGAAGAAAGAACTGGTTGTTTGAGGTTTTTCTAGTTCTGATAACACCTATATACATTTTCCCCTCTTGATTTTTAATCTGCAGAAAGAATCCTGAGTGATGAAGATAAACCGCTGTTTGGCCCTTTGCCCTGCAGGCTGGTAAGTTCCCAGCTTCCTCCAGTTCATGAAAGGCTGGAGTGGACATCAGACTTTCCAACCGGAGATTGATTTTTAACCTGTGATCGCTCATTTCCCATTGGGATCTAGAAGAAATAATGTTCACGATTTTTCTTTTCAGTAGATTTTTGGAAGCACCTATGCCTCTTCTTCCAGAGCTGTTAGTTAAGCACTTGAAAAGATACAGGGGGAAACCTAAAAACAAGGGAGCTGCTATCTTGAGTTTCTAACGCTCTCGAGAAATGCAGAACACAGCGCGTAGTCTCTGCATTAGACACCTTTGAGAAGGGGCACATGACTGCGTGCAAAGCCGGTGTCAGGCTGCAGGCGCTGTGCGCTGTACTAGGAGGTGGACGAGCGTGCCTCTGACCCGTCCCACTGTTCTCACTGTGTAGCCGCTGTCTGGAGGGGCCACATGCTGCCTGCTGACCAGGCTCACACCACACGCTTTCTTCTGAGACCCGTCTGCTGGGTTGGTTTCTGCGGCCCTCCTGGCTTCCTCCCTCCTTCTCCAGATGCTTCTCTTCAGGGTGCTCCTCCTCCATCATCCTGTAACTGTTACAGTCTGTAAACCCCAAGCTTCTGCCTGTGCCCCCCACCGTCTGCTGCTCCTCCCTGCGCAGCCGGGCCTGCACCTGCACCTGCACCTGCAGCCCGTGCGTCCTCTTCAGGCAGGTCTCCTCAAGGTACTGACCGCTCTTGCTGGCTTGTTTCCCATCAAGGCTCTCCTAAAAGTGTCTGCAGGTCTAGTAACCCAAGTCAGTCTTTCTGCTTCTGTATTCTGTACCTGGTCGCCGGTGTCCATCCAGGTGGCCAGACCAGAAGCCTGAAGCGCTATTGGAGAAGCTGCTTGGTTTGTGTGTTTCTTTGCATCCTCGTATCAGTCGATCAGCAGTCTATTGGCTTCTTGCCACTCCTTCTGCTTGTTTAGCTTTTCCTTCTGTGCGTGTGTGTGTGTGTGTGTGAGAGAGAGAGAGAGAGAGAGAGAGAGAGAGAGAGAGAGAGAGACTTGGAACTGAACCCAGGATCTTTGCACTAAGCTACATCCTTAGCCTTTTCTTACTTTTTTTTTTTTTTTTTTTTTTTTTTTGTCTTTTTGAGGCAGGGTCTCTCTATGCAGTTCAGGCTGGCCTTGAACTCACTTTGTAGCCCAGGCTGGTCTCAAACTCAAAAATGATCCTCCTGCTTTAGCCTCCCGAGTGCTGGGATTACAGGCGTGAGTCACCACACCTAGCTCCTTTTCTTATTTTTTATTTTGATAAAGTACCTCACTGAGTTGCAGACTAGGCTTGATCTCGTGATCCTCGTGCCTCAGTCTCCCAGGGTGTCGGGATTATAAGCATGCGCCACCATTCCTGGGTCCATATTACTTCTTACCTGAATTGTAGGAGGCAGTCCATACCCTCAGTCACACCCTTCCCTATATGTGATCGGAAGGGACCCGTCATATTCAAGCTTCGGGGAACATCTTACGTTTTAGCAACTCCTGCCAATCCCCACCCCACAGTTCAGTCGTGTGAAGTCACACAGAACCCCGAGTGCTAGTTCCCAGACCCCCGCATGTCCCCTCCTCTGCCCTGAGTGCCCTTTGGCAGCCTCCCGCTCTGTCAGGGTGCTCTTCAGCTCTACTTTGCTGAGACACTGCTGTCCCCTGCCTCCTCTCACACCAGCTCCAGGACTGTAAGCTTCGGAGCAGGAGGAGAAAGGGTGAGTTGTAGTTTGAAGGTCTTCAGAGGCGGGACCTAGATCCATAGTAGTTACTCAGACAGCGCCACTGAAGGTGGGAAACATGGGAACGAACAAGAACAGAAATCCCATCAGCTCAGTGCTCGTCTGCCCTTGTTCATGCTTGATCATAATTGATTTTCATTTGTAATTGTTTCCTGCTGTGTTTGTCACTTTAAATCAAGAGCTTTCTTCTTGCTACTTATTCTTCATAACAATTTTGTTTTTCTTTGTTTTGCTTTTTTTTTTTTTTTGGCACTGGGCATCTAACTCATCACCTCGTGCTCACCAGGCAGGCGCTTACGCCACTGAGCTAAATCCCAGGCCCCTTCATAACAATTTTTAATGGGTGAAGACACCCTGATTTCGGGATCTATCCTTTTTTATCTGGTTGCCCCAATATTGGTTAGAGTTCCCACACTGTAGAGTAGCTCTAGAATAAAGAAAAGAAGCACCTCACCAGGCTCTCTGGGCAGGTGTTACTGGCTCTTCCCTGATACATGTACAGGTGTGTAGTTCCTTTCCTAGAACCCAGCACCACGGTGACAAGGGCATAGCTGCTGTGGATCCAGCAGCTGCTCCCCACTGCATTCACAGCATTGGAGATTTGTCATTGCAGATGCCCTGGGTGCCGCTCCATGTCCTGTAAAGACTGGATTGTGTGTGAAGCCATTGTGCTTAGAACCAGCATTCCCCAGAGCAGAGAAGGCGCACTTCTTGAGTAGCTGCTGCCTCCCCACCCCCAGGCTCTTGCTGTGTAGTTCCCACTGGCCTTGAGCTCACTTTGTAGCCCAGGTCAGCCTCAAATCTCAAACTCACAGGGGTCCTCCTGCCTCAGCCTCCAGTCACGTGCCACCACGCCCAGCTTGGCTTCTTTGATAATTGTGTCATTTCTCTGTTCCAGGATGATTGTCTTAGATCGCTGACAAGATTTGCAGCAGCACATTGGACAGTGGCATCACTTCCAGTGGTACAAAGACATTTTTGTAAACTTTTTGCATGTGAGTATTAATAGGTGTACATATATGTAATGGTAATTTCTCATCTGAAATTGTTTTTAGCTCTGTAACTTCTCTTAGTTATAAATGAAATGTTTGGTAGTACTGTTATGGAACCTCTAGCTCATAAATTTATATATAGCTTGCAAAAAGGTAAATTTAAACTGTATTTTAGGCATTTTAACTTTATGTTGACACAAATGGTGCTAATGTATTTGTCTTTTCTCCATTAGCGCTGGTGCCTGATGACAGCTACGATGACGTTCCGTGCATACTGGACATCGACATGTTTCATTTGCTGGTAGGTGTCTTTGGGTTCAGCTCTCGCTGTTATACCATCTAGGGAGAATTTAGTTTTGAAGAGGCTAGAGAAGCCAGGGATGTAGCTCAGTGGTACAGCGTCTACCTGGCAAGCACAAGGTCCTGAGTTCAATTCCCAGTACCCAAAAAAACATCTTTTTTTGATCCAAAACCCATATGATTTCCATTGCTCATTCCCTGGGAAGACTCCAAGTGTTCTTCCTGCTAACGGTGAGCTCTGGGTGTGGGAGCCCCTGGATAAATGAAGCAAAGAGGGCCCACTGGGGCCACTTGATCTCCCAAGTCACTGTGTTCAGCCAGTTCTGGCAGGTGTTCTGAAGTGCACATCCTAAGAACAAAGTTGTCCTGGAGGGGCCTGAGCTTCAAAGGGCTGTGGCAGGGCAGTGGCACTGTTTCACCGTGAGAGGAAGGTGTCTGATGTCCTGTGTCTGGTGCTAGGTGAGTTTGGTGCTCGCTTTCCCCGCGCTGCAGTGTCAGGATTTTTCAGGGGTCAGCCTCAGCACCGGAGACCTCCACCTCTTCCACCTGGTCACCATGGCACACATCACACAGATCTTACTGACCTCGAGTACAGGTAACGCCCGCCTTTCCCTTGGAGTCTGCATGGAAGTCCTCACATTTTCTCACTCAAAAAGTATCAGCTAGGTTACGCACATACACCGACTCCCCGCATGGAATGTCATCAATATGTAAAGCAAACACATACTAATAAGCCCCTTAAAAAATAGAGACAAGAAGGGGGAAAATGCGTTAGGCAGGCATAACTGCAATGACTCAACTATAATCCCATCTGAGGCAGGAGACTGTGTGACTGTCTCGGAGAGGGAGAGGGAGGAGACAGATTTTAAGCATTTGAGAATATTATAATTGGGCTACTTTGTTCTGCTAAGTCTCATAAAGTTTTGTTTGTCTTTTATGAAAAGATTTTGAGAGCTGGGGATTTAGCTCAGCAGCATACGCACCTGCCTTGCAAGCAGGCGGTCGTGAGTTCAATCCCCAGTACCAATAAAAATGAAAAAGACAAAAAAAAAAAAAAAGAAAAGATTTTGAAACAAATTTCTTTCTCCTGTTAAAGTCGCCTAACAGTGTCAACGTCTTTACTCTTTGATCCTAAGTTCATTAATATTTGAGTGGTGTAGTAGTCAAGCCCCTTAGAGTCGTGTTTGGATTTACATATGTTGCTGGCCCATGTGCCCACCACTGAGACCCGTCCCTGTGGATTCCTGGGCCCTCGGGCCCCCTGTGCAAGCCGCCTTGCCCACAGCACCTGCTGGCGTGTGTTCTGATGGAGATCAGCAGGCACCACTGGGAGGACTCAAACTGGTGGGGCTCAAGGGGCTGCCTGTGTCCTGAGCAGCCCTTCTGACAGTACAGGGGAGTCACAGTGCACTGTTCATCTTTCAGAAGAACACGGCATGGATCAGGAGGACCCCACTGGTGAAGAAGAGTTAGCAGTGCTTGCTTTGTACAAAACACTTCACCAGTGTACTGGAAGGTGAGACTGCCCTCCATGACAGGCTTCCCTGGACATGAATGGGTGTCAGCGTGCGGAAGGGCTCATTTGGTACTGAAGGGAAATAGCTGTCTGCCAACATATTTAGAAAAAGAAGAGCCAGGATGGCCCCCAAGATCTTGACATACTGGCACAGTCAGAAACCTCTTAGGCAAAGGTGGTGACTGCCCTGCTTCCTGCCTGACTCCGGCACAGACACGGGGATGAATGGCCTTTGGAAAGTCCTTCCCTAACACCTCGGTTGCCTCGTGAGGAATCCTAAAATGCCAGCTGAGTTGGTGCAGTATCTGTAAGGTGACATCCAGGAGTAGCAGGGGTGTGATCACTAGAGCGTCAACATTGTTGGAGTCATGAGGATCAGGAAGAGCAGTTTCACCCGAGGTTTTGAGAGTGTATGTGAAGAACCTTTATATGTGTTTGTTCTTTGACCAAATTATCCTGTTTTTGAGAATCTGTGCTAACAAAATAACATAGAGAAAAATGTAGGCTTATAGTGATACGCATTCTGATATTTATTAGGCAGGAATTGAAAACAATCTGATTGCATATGGGAGATAATTTGGAAAGAGTTATGAATGATGTGTTCCAAAATAAACATGTTAAAAGTTACGGCATATAGTATTCTGGTATTTACAGTACTGGCTGTGTGTTACTCAGACCTGCCATCCCATGATAGTCTAGAGTCTGCCAGCCTGGTGACACACACCCTCTAAGCCTCACCTGCACATGGCAGTCGTCGTGGTTTGCATATTATCTTTAGGATGATCTTTTCCTGCTGGTTTCCTAACAGTCCTCTCCTGGCTTTTTTAGTGCCTTGAAAGAAGCACCCTCTGGCTGGCACCTGTGGCAGAGCGTCAGAGCTGGCATCACGCCTTTCCTCAAGTGCTCGGCTGTGTTTTTTCATTACCTAAACGGAGTCCCATCGCCACCTGACATCCAAGGTACCTTCTCACTGATTTCAAAATATAGGAAACAGTTGTAGTTTTTTCACCCCAGAAGTTTAGAACAAAGTTGACTTGCAAAAACGAAAACTAAAAATTAGAGCAGAGTTAATTGACTCTGGCTTATGTCCAGTTTGCATTTTAATGTGCAAATGGGTATTTTTATTTCAGTTGTTCCTTGTGCCCTTTTGACTGGTTTATGAAGCAGTGTGCAGGCCACCTTAATTGTATCTCTGCACGCTGACAGCCTGGTACAGGTGGCCCAAGCATGCCTGCGTGTAATGCTGCTCCCTAAAAACTTGACCAGCCTCTCCCTCAGTTCACTGCCCAGGCACCAAAAGGATAGTTCAAACTTCCAAAATACTTAGAGATGCTCAGAGTCCTGTGTAGGTCCATCTCTTATAAAGAAACCATCTTCTGTCAGATCTGGTGGCACATGCCTGTAATTCTAGCACTCGGGAGGCTGAAGCAAGAGGATCACACGCTCTGAGTTCAAGGCCAGCCTGGGCTACATAGTAAGTTCAAGGCCAGCCTGAACTGCGTATCGAGACACTGTCTTAAAAAAAATAAAAAAGAAGGACCCACCTTTTACCGCAGCCCTGCGGTGAAATCTCCCCGGGTGTCCATACGTTACTGTGGTCGCTTGATGCTCACAGTAACCCTGTAAGGCAGATTGTGCAGCTGCACACGGTCAGGCTGAGGCACTAGAAATTGTACCCTGTTAGGGTGGGGGTCACCTGACCCTATTCTGTCCGTGGTTGGCCACTGTGTTTCCGGAAAGTTACACCCTAGCCAATCTGAATCTTGTGGCATAGCTTTTTGTTTTATTTTAACTCCGCTATTGCTTATATCACACAGGGTGTGCTCTCGGTGTTTCCGTGTGTGACTCTTGTCTTTTCCATTTGCAGTGTCAGAAACAAGCCATTTTGAACATTTATGTAACTATCTTGCCCTACCAACCAACCTCATTTGCCTTTTTCAACAACATAGTGAGATAATGAATTCACTGATTGAAAGGTAATGATCAAGATACTGAATAGCTACGTAAAACCAATTGTAGATTTTCACATATATGGCAAAATGTTCAATCTGTTAAAATTCCAACTATAAGAATTAGGGTTCTGTAGCTAAGGATTTGGCTTTTGGATAAGATTTTTGCTGAGCTAGTAAGCAGATTTACATAAATGGAGTAGCGGTTGAAATGTTAATTGAGCTTGTTAAGGACTCTGTTCCATAGATGTTTTTTTTTTGGTACCAGAGATTGAACTCATGACCTTATGCTTGCCAGGCAGATGCTTTATTACTGAGTTAAATCCCCAGCCCCTGTTCATAGATTTTAAAAGCTGAAAGAAATCTTAAGGAGGGGGCTGGGGATTTAGCTCAGCAGCATAAGCTCCTGCCTTGCAAACAGGCAGTCATGAGTTCGATCCCTGGTACCGATAAAAAGGAAAAAAAAAAAAGAAATCGTAAGGGCTGTCTAGTCCAGTGTCTTCCCTTTCTGTGTGAGACACTGAGGTCTCAAGGAATTAGCCCTCGGTGGTGTCAGGTCAGTGGCTGGGTGAGATGCGAAGCCGTTCTGCCCACAGAAGTTAGCAGTGTCCGCACATCGTCTGGGAGGGACTGATATGCTGAGTCTGTCTGTGTTTCCTACCAGTGAGCAACCAAAACAGAGCCACTCAATTTGACAATGGGCAAAGAACGTACGTAGCCATTTCTGCAAAGAAGACAGACAAGTGGCCAGCGAACACGGGGACAGATGCTCAGTATCGAGGTCCTGGTGGAAACGCAGATACTGCTTTATGCACAGCAGGATTAGCTATGGGTTTTTTTGTTGGGTGGGGGTTGCTTTATGAAGTGTCATAAAATCTATAATTTTCCCTTTTGTTATTAGTGGCAGTTAATTGTACAGAATTCTAAGTTTCAGTGCGTATAATCTATTTTGGTCATTTCATCCACCATTAGCCTCCCCTCTTTCTTCCTCTAGTCTAGTCATCTTTTTTAGATTACACATATTAAGGAGAATATGCAGTATTTGTCTTTCTGAGTCTGGCTTATTTTATAATCTCAGATCCCTCCGTCTTCCTGCAAATAACATGCTTTCATTTGTGGCTGAACAGTAGCGCACCGTGTGCACCACTCTATCTGTCTATCTGCTGGCGGGCGCCGAGGCTGGCTCCTGTCGGGGCTGCTGTGCGCTGGCCTCAGTAAACATGGAGTGCAGGCATCCTAGAGTGTGCCGACTTTAGTTTCTTCCACATTTGGGGGTTCTTTGGGAAGGTGTTTTAAGAAAAGTACTGTTGCCGAGGGAGTGGAGGGACTGGCGCCCGCATGCATTGCTGGTGAGAGTGGAGAAGCACGCTGCCCTGGGAAGCAGCGTGGCGCTTCTTCAGAAGGCCAGGCACAGGGTGACCACCGGTGCTGGTAGTGTACAGTGCAAGAGAGAGGGAACCAACTGGAAAGAGGAACCCAGCCATGTTGATAGCGCGCTCAGCAGAGGCAGCACGTGGAAACCCCGGGTGCCCGTCCACAGATGAGTGGGGACAGAGTGTGGGGGATGCACACAGTGCAGCGTTGCTCAGCCTTAGCAAGGAGGGAATCTCTGACACAGCCACAGCATGGACAAAATTTGAGGATTTTGTGCTAAGCAAAATAAGCCAGTCCCAAGAAGATAAATACCGCATGGTCCCACTTGAATGAGGTACCTGAAGCAGTGACACTGACGAGACAGAAGCTGATTCGTGGTTGCCAGGAGCCTGGGGGCAGCATGGGCTGTTTGATGGATAGAGTTTCATTTGGGAAAGACGAAAACATCATGGAGATGGAGAGTGGTAGGTGTGCCACAGTGCCAGGTGCCACAGAAGTGGTGCCCTTAAAATGGTAGATCCTACAGTGGGTGGTACGCACCTGTCGTCCCTGCTGCTTGGGAGGCTGAGGCCGGGGATCGCAAGGTCAAGGCCAGCTTGGGCAAGTTAGCAAGGCTCTATCCAAGATAACTGTGGAAAAGGATGAGGATGTCACTTGGGGTAGTGCTTGCCTGACATGTGCGAGCCCCCCAGCCAGCCTGCAGTGGTGAAGGAGAAGAGAAGGCTTGGCAGGGTGTGGCACTAAGGCCTGAGTGCAGTCCTCGGCACCCCAGAAAAAGGCGCCTTCCGGCCGTAGATAGTGTGAGCTTGGTAATTTAGACTGGTTTGTCCAGTGCATTCAGATCCTGGTAATAAAAATAGACAGCTGCAAAATTCAGTGTTAAACACTTTTGCTTTTCAAAATTCTAAATAGTCTTCTAGTTTTAAAAGTTGGCTGAACTGCTTAGTGAGACCCTATCTCAGGAAAAAAACAAAAAAGCTGCAGGCAAAATGTATTTTTTTCCTGGTTTCATTTGGTGAGGTTAAATATATTAAGAAGGTTATTTTGCTTTTATTGGCTATAGAGGGCAAACAATTCTGACCCTTTGAAAATAAAAATGTTGTGCTTTTTCCCTCTCTGTATTGAAGTTGGTGCCGTAACAGTGAAGTTAAAAGATATCTGCAAGGTGAAAGAGATGCAATCAGGTGAGTTAGAGACGGCTGAAGGCGTGCCTGGGCCAGGTGGCAGGGAGTACTGCAGGGTGGAGGTGCAGCTGCTCACAGCTGATTTCCTAAGACTCAGTGAGTCTCGGGTGAGGCATCACGCTCTCATTCTCCTGAGTCAGAGGGTGAGGGTTTGTGAAAGTCAGCACTGAGGAGACAGCTAGGCCGCAGTCGCAGTGTTCTTGGTGAAAGAAACAGCAATCTATTATAGTTTGTAATACCTGCTTAGAACATGCAGGGTTGAGGCTGGGGATTTAGCTCAGCGGCATAAGCACCTGCCTTGCAAGCAGGCGGTCGTGAGTTCGATCCCTGGTACCAATAAAAACAAAAAAGACAAAAAAAAAAAACCATGCAGGGTCTAGGCAGGTGCAGTGGCTTGTGCCTGTAATCCCAAACACTCAGGAGGTTGAACCAGGAGGAACACAAGTTTGAGGCTACCCTTGGCACCTTAAGAAGACCCAGTCTCAAAAAAAAAAAAAAAGCCTGGCGTAGTGGCACACACCTTAATCCCAGCACTGGGGAGGTTGAGACAGGAGGTTGCTGCATGTTCAAGGCCAGCCTGGACTACATAGACCCTGTCTCAAAACATAAAGAGGGGAGAAAATATAGCTAACCAGCCCAGTACCTGCCCAGCAAGCGTGAGGTCCTGTGTTCAATTCTTGGTACAAAAAAAGTAAAGGGGCTGGGGGATGTAACTTCCCTAGCATGGGAGTCCCAGCGACCAGTCCTCAGGCACACGCACACACAGGGTAGGCCCTCTTACAGTCTTAGCTCTGTTTTGTTTTTGGTTTTGTTTTCTTTTATTAAGGAAATTCTCAAACAGCCAAGAAATACAAAGAATGTGGTGAGATGCCATGTACTTGTCATCTCCACTAGTAACTACCAAATCATGGCCAGTCGTTTTTATTTTTACTTCCTTCCCTTCTGCATTAATTCTGATTTTACAACAATGTGTGCCTCTTCAGGGGATGCCAGATATGTTCCATTCATTAATACCTCTTTGGTTCTGCTAACTATATCATCCCTAAAACCCAGAAGACTAGAAGAGGAGGCTATCTGGGCTGGTCCGATGGCAGTGGGTTATCAGAACTTATTAACATTAGTGTCACTAAAGTTGGTATACGCCCCCCCACACTGCTAAATTTGACTGGCTTTTAAAAAAAAAAAAGAAGAAAAGGTTATCTGTTCCATTTGTTTGTTTTTACATATCCAGAAAGGATTGTACCCAACTTTATTAACATGAACTGTATAAAATTTCAATTTTCATAAATCAAAAATGGTTGAAAACCACCAGACTGCCCCACCTGCAGTCATTTCGGCCCCGGGAACCTTGGACAGCACTGGGGCCACGCCGCTGAGTCTGATTCCCAGCTGCTGGCGTCCTGGCATGCATACACCCCAAACTCCCCTGGGGGATTCTTTAAGAACTGTTGTGTAAGTGGCTGTCGCTCGGGGAAGTCCTGCTTGTCCTTGCAGTCAGTGAGGCAGCAAAAGGCCACACCACGTCCCCCAGGGGCAGGCACACGAGGCGGGAAGTGAAGCGGCCCTCAGACACTGGCCGGATTTGGATCCAAGTTTTTCTGAGTCAATTCAAGTCACAGATGCAACATGACTTACTGTCTCTAATTGAAAGAAAATGCTGCTGCCTTCCGTCTTCCAGTTCGTGTCTCCTTAAGACCACTGCTGACAAGATGCCCTCTGCTTCCCTCAGGAGCTGAGAAGGCATCGCTTCTGCCCTCCCCTCCTTCCTCCACCCCCAGAGTACCATGGCTGCTGGCCTGGTCACTTAGTGCGAGCCCTGAGGCACTGTGGCCTTGTGGCTGCGTCTTTGATTTCTTCCTGCAACTCACACCGCTAGCACAGCGCAGGCCACTCATATTCGGTCTTCGCGAATTTATTTGGACTAAGCTAAGACTTACCCTGTTATTATAAGATGACCTTATTATTAACTGAGTCTTTATCTCTTTACTTCTCTTCAAGTTATCCTAGAGAATCTAACAGATTAATAGACCTCCCTGAAGATTACAGCAGCCTCATTAATCAAGCATCCAATTTCTCGTAAGTTTTGCACTGGAAACCCCTTTCAACAAAGACCGGGGGATTAGTGGTGGTTCTTTGTCCTGTTTGGGGAAGGGTGTCTTGCCATCAGCAGTTCTTGATATGACTTACTTATAAAGCATCACTGCCCTGCTGCGTGTCAGAATAAGATGTGCAGCATAAGGGGTACGAGGGCAAGCGTGGTTAAGAAGTGAGCATTCCCTGAACAGTCGAAGCGCTGGGTTTCTTGTCTCTGCTGCCACCTGCGCTGCCCCCTGCAGTGGCCCCTGTCCTAAGGGCGCATTTCTGTGTTACACAGAAATGGCCTTATATCCCGAGCAGCATATGCGATTGTCATGTGTGTTTAGACTTTCTGTGACTGGCACCGCACTCCAGCCTTGTCACACTGCCATCATTTCTGAGATGGGTCTGTGACTTTGCATGTTACTACTGTGCTGTTTCAGTCCGTGACCTAAGCACGCATGCACCTTTTTCTCCACTGAAGGTTTCCCCATGTCTTTCTGGCCCAGACCCCTGAGTGTCTCCAGGCCAGTTTCCGAGTGTGTTCTCTGCTGTGGGGTAGCTACAGGGTCTGTGCGTCTCTGGCTGTATGTGACACAGCTGCGTCATTTTCAGAGTGGCTTGTCCGCTGCCAGCTGCTCCATGGAGCAGCGATTGTGCTTTGATTTATGGTTTTGTGTTTGTTTTTGGTCTCTTGGAGGTGCCCCAAGTCAGGTGGTGACAAGAGCAGAGCTCCAACGCTGTGCCTCGTGTGCGGAACGCTGCTGTGCTCGCAGAGCTACTGCTGCCAGACGGAGCTGGAGGGGGAGGACGTGGGCGCCTGCACCGCGCACACCTACTCCTGTGGCTCGGGCGTGGGTATCTTCCTGAGGTGAGAGCTGCCTGGAGCCAGCGAGCTCCAGCCACAGCTTTAGGCCCAGCCCGGGCGACGTGGGCTTAGCAAGACTGTGTCAAAGTTAAAAGTTAAGTAGTGGTTAAAATATCAGTACCTGGGCTGAGGGTTTAGCTTGGTGGCATAAGTACCTGCCTGGCAACCGTGAGGTCATGAGTTGTTCAATCCCTGTACCAAAAAAAACCAAGTATCAGTACCTATTTTATATGTAGGACTTAACTGTCTTTATCACCCTTAACACTTTTTTTGAATTCTATTATTTGTGCACTCCATTCCATCCCAACATGTGGCTCCATGGATGTGCAGTGTGGTCATTACTAATGACAGTGTTGTCACCATAGTTACTTGGAAAAGCAGCCAGATGGGCTGGCATTTCAGCATCTGTCTGCCGTCAGGGCCATTGTCCTCTCCCTGGGTGGGGGTTGCTTACAGGACCCCTCTGTGGCTGGCTCTGGACGAGACCTTGATTGCTAACGTTCAATATGTGGTGATCTCTCTGCAGAGTCCGCGAGTGTCAGGTGCTGTTTTTAGCCGGCAAAACCAAAGGTTGTTTTTATTCTCCCCCTTACCTTGACGACTATGGGGAGACTGACCAGGGACTCAGGTATGGCCCATCCTGGGGATGTGCAGGGCTCTGTTACCCATGGCCTCTGCCTGGTTTGGCGCTGCTCCCTGCCTCAATGTCCTGGGGAGGGAGAGGCAGGGGTATGGGAGCACCTGAGTGCCCCTTCACATCCCAGCTCCAAGCAGGACAGAAATAAACGGGTTTAGCTTAGCAGTACAAGGGCCTGCCTGGCAAGTACAAAGTCATGAGCCCTATTCCCGGTACCAAAAAAAGAGAAGTGGCCCTTTCTCATACATGTGGCTCTTTCAGAGGAGCCCCGGGGCCCTCCAGGTGACAGAACAAATTTCAGTCGCTGAGAGGTGTTTGTCTCATAATTACCTAATGATCTGAGGATGCAGGGTTGTAACAGACAGATGAGATTTAACAGCAGCATTTGCACTTAGCAGCTTCTGCCATTCGCTGCCCCTCACCCTAAGCGAAGTGCTCACAAACCCAAACACCCCCCCCCCCCGCGCAGGGTTAAAGCCCCTCGGTTAGACCCCCATGTGCTCCAGGGTGGTGAGAGTTCGCCCACATTTGAAGGCTGGAGGCCCCCAGGCAGGACAAGCAGAGGAGCTGCTTCCAGCCCCTGGTGCAGGTTGTACCCAAGGCCACCTGGTGACAGTGCTGTCCCCAGCCAGCTCTGAGGAGAGTGTGCATACAGGAGAGGGTCTGCGTCCTGGCCAGAAGTCAGTGCCCTCTGGGTGGGAACGCAGGCTGCATGGGTGACACTCTGAGGCGCGAGCTCCCCCTCATCCTCCTCCTCCTCATAAGCTCGCCGTCCCCACACGGTGGACACAAGTGAGCTCAAGCTTGTCACCCAGAGCCCCGCTGCCCCCACTCAAGCAGGTGAGGCTCAGGCTCAACCTGTGTGCAGAGCGGAGCCCTGGGCTCCTGCCGGGCATAAACTGCCCAGGCCTGCTGAGCGGCCGTGCTGAACGACACTGCCTTCCTTTCAGACGGGGAAACCCTTTGCATCTGTGCAGCGAGCGATTTAAGAAGATCCAAAAGCTCTGGCACCAGCACAGCATCACGGAGGAGATCGGCCACGCGCAGGAGGCGAACCAGACCCTGTTTGGCATTGACTGGCAGCATCTGTAGTCGCTTTGCCACCAAATATGAACTTGAGTTTTGTAACCTGGTCGGCTTTTTAAGGAAGAAAGTGGGAAATAGTTCTGCTGAATTTTGAAATAAATTCTTTATTTAAGTTTTCCTTCCCAGTTTTATTTTTGTAGTTTTGGCTCCAGGAACTGATGAAAATCGTCTTCCACCGCCAGACTTTCCAGGACTGTTGCTGTGTCCCTCGCAGGTCACAGTCAGGTCTTAGGATCCACCGAGGACCTGCCTCCCTGGCCGGGAGCTCAGCCCCTGCAGGAGCACCTATGGTGCCTAGCACTGAGCGGGGGAAGCAGGAGCTGCATCTGGGACCCGCGGGGTCATACTTCCTGGCTGCGCTCTGCAACGGCCTGGGGACCGGGTGGGTGTCCCCCACTGCCCGGAGTCTACCTCTGAGAACAAAGCACCAATCTGGAAGGCCGAAGGCAGGAGCTGCTCCTGCACAGAGGGAAGCCCAGAGGCAGGCGCGCTTTCCTGGGGCGCCTTCCCAGAGCTGCTTCTGGGTTTTTTGTGTTCTTCTTTTGGGCAGGACTTTCGACTTGGAGAGAACTCACTACAAGGGCTTTTTGAAAACTTTTAAAAATCTCCTATTTTTCAGGTAGTAACACTCCTCTGTTCTCCCCAAGGCTAGATGAGAGAGAGCACATCCAGGGTCAGACGCTAGCAAAAATGAGCAGGGGAGAGCTTGGCGCTGTGTGTGCCGGCCGCCCCACCAGCCCTTCCCGGAGCGGAGGGACCGCCGCTTGGGACATGGGTGCAGTCTGTAGCCGGGCTTCCTGATCTTTTCAACTATAACTGTTCTTACTAAGAGGTGCCTTCCTAGAACGATAGCCACTTAGTAAAAGAGCTTCCAACTGACAGTTCCCGGCCTTCCCGCTTGCTGTGTGTGGCAGAGGCCTGAGCTCTGCTGCAGGGCAGTGGGGATCCTGCACCTCTGCAGGAGGCTGCCGAGTTTTAACTGACGCCAGTCACCCTCTGACTCAGATTCCATTAATCCCTTTTCCACCTTGTTTTGCACAACTCTGCCACATCCCCGGGAGCCAGAGCCCCATTTCTGCAAGGTCACGTGTGACTGAACCCGCTCCTAACAGGATGGCCTTAATCAAAGTAACCTTTTGCTTGGGACCAGCTCACAAAGCTAGGAGGAGACCCAACAGGAAGAAACGCAGGTTAGAATCCACATCTATGTCATTCTTGAATTTTTTTCTAGCCTTTTTTCCATTTCCACAATCTGAGCTGTGGAAAGAATAATTAATGTTTATTTTGATACAGTGTCTTAGCTTTTGAGTTCAGCTTCTCTGGGCTTTTCTCTATACATTTACCATGCTTAAAATCATGAGGGCAAGTTTTTCCCCTAAGTGGGTGACAAACATGGTCACCAAATCCAACTGTGCCTGCTTCAGGCCCGACCACCTGGAGGCCTGGAGGCAGCGGAAGGTGCCCCTGGAGCACACTCCCCAGGGAAGTGGAGTCCGGGAGAAGATGGGGCTGTGAGGCTCACACCAGTGATTTCCTGGGGTTAACTTGGCGGTCTCCCCTCCCTAAGGAAGCAATTCATCCTGCATGTTTTCTTCATTGTAGAAATGTTTATATAATGTGCTTTCCATATCAGGGAAAATCATGTCTGTTTAATAATTGGCTCCACCTTTAATATCTATGGACAACTTGGAAAATTTGGAATGTACCATATGTAAAAAGTTTGAAGAAATCTGAATAAATACTTCAGGTGTTGACATTACTTTGGGTTGGCCTACATTTCCCTGTTCTGTTCCACCCTTCCGTGCCCAGCAGTGCTCCCTGTGTCACCTTGCCACAAAAATGGGACACCTGTATTAGTGTGAAGCTTAAGGGGCTTATATTATTAGGGTCAGTTATGCGCACCCCCCCCCCCCGCAAGCCATGTTGACCTTCCCAGAGAAAGCTTAGTCATGATTTGAGCGGATTAAATTTCATGTTCGCTGTCCGCCACAGCCATGTCTCACATCCCCGGCACACAAGGCACCCTGAGACTGGCCACACACTTCCTGCTTTGGCCTGGTAGGAAGGAAGCCGTGTTTTATATGCTGGCCTGTGAGAGCTCTGCTGTCCTTTTCAGAATCTCCTTAGAAGGAAACCAGCTTCCTGAGACAGCACCTTGCACATGAAATGGCCTCTGTAGCTCAGGCTGACCTCACACTGGCAGCGATCCTCCCGCCTCAGCCTCCTAAGTGCTAGCATTACAGGTGTGCACCACCACATCCAGCTTCCTACCCTCGTCCCCACTTGCAGGACTCATTAAGCCCCTGACACACTCCTCGCTCCATCTTTTGTAAGCCAGGTTTATTGCACTGTATATTTAAACTAAGATTAGCCATTTGGAAGTACAGTTATACTTAAATGTATATGGTTTAACAATCGAGAAATAAAACGGTTCCATCACCCCAGATAATTCCTTTGTGTCCCCTCCCCCCCAGCTGCTCCTGCTGCCCACACCCCAGTCACCACTGCTCTGTCCCTGTGACTTCTGAGCGTCACATGGCAGCCTTTTGGGTCTGCCGCTGAGAAGGCTGCCGGCCACTGGCCCACCGTCCAGCTCTGCCATTGCCTTGGGAAGGGCATTTGGAGGCCCTGCACTCGCGTGTGGGTTTTGTGTGGACCGAACTCGATAGCTAGCTGTTCCTTGGTGCCCCGCTCTGCGGCACCCTGAGCATGTCTGCCATGTGCCGACTGCCATGCGCCCAGCCTGCTCTGAGGGACGGGATCAAATCCCACTGGCACAAAGGACAGTGTGTGCACCTGGGGACCTGAGGGGCACCCCGCCCTCCCCCAGACACTCCTGTTCTTGACGCCTGCTGTGGAGCTGTTTTAACCAGGCATGGGGGCCGGGTCCTGGCCGGCTTGTTCCACCTCTGCCCCAGCTAAGCTGCAAACCTGCTGGCCTGTTATGGCCAGTGCCCCTGTGAGGCAGGGCAGGGAGTGTGCCAAGCCTGCCACTGATCTATTAGCCATGTCAAGGTTGCTCAGGGTTTCCTTGCCATGCCAAGCAGCTCAGCCCTGGGCTTGCAGGGTGATTTAAAGGCTTTGCGTTCTAGGGCACCTGTGTAATTGCCTCTTGCTCTGTGGGGTGAGAGTCTAAAAGCAAAAGTCCTAAGACCCTGTCCCTGCCGCCTAGCACCACCCCAGAGCTAGGCCAGCAGAAGTGTACTGCCGAGGCTGCAGGGGTGGCTCGGGTAGCACTCACTTAGCACGTGAGGCCCTGGGTTCCATTCCCAGCTCAGAGAGAGAAACAGGAAGTTAAACGCAGCTCTGAATAAAACCAGGTATAGTGGTACGCACCTATAAGCCCAGCACTCGGGAGGCTGAGGCAGGAGAGGATCACTGCAAATTACAGACCAGCCTAGGCTACAAAGCGAGCTCAAGGCCGGGTTGGGACCATTTGTTCTTGCAGGCAGGAGACGTGAGCAGTGGCAAGAGGAGAGCCCCCTGGGGCTGGTGTCCACACACTGGCTGCAGTGACCCGTGCTGTGGGGTGGGCAGACAGCCAATAAGCAAGCGTTCGTGCAATATCATTTTTAATATCTTACACAGCTGTTGTGACAGCACAGTCTCGCATGTGGCCTAGAACAGCACCTCTGTGGGTTTTCAGCCCTCCGGAGACAGCGGGGTCTCTGGGGCCCTCACTGTAGATGGCCAGCGCGTGAACGGTTCCTGGGTCTCAGGGGCATCAGGCCTAAACTGCACTGGGACCAGAGCCTGGCAGGCTCTCATTCCTCTTTGTCTGGTTGTCAGTGTGGGAAAATCAGAGGCAAGAAGGTGCCCTGGGCAGTACCACATCTCAGTCTCACTGTCCCTGCCGGGAAGCTTTTAAGTCAGCAGGGAGCCCCGCCCACCGCCCAGCCCATAGTAACCTGATCCCAGCACGTGTTTACAGGAGCACAGACTTCTGTCTTCTGCCTCCCAGCTTCTGTCTCCAGCCAGGCAGGGCGGGCTGCCTTGAATGTTCCTCTAATTAACTCATGGTGCAGGCCCGTCCTGCTCCCCCTGGTGAAATGGTGCTCCTTTACCTGAACCCTGCTTCAGAAAGAAAGAGGTCGTCATCTCAATGAATCCCCTTTGAGGCCAGGCGTGGTGGCCTATGTCTGTGATCCCAGCTACTCGGGAGGCTGAGGCAGAAGGATCACAAGTTCCAGGCCAGCATGAGGGTGGGACCAGGTGCGGCCCCAAGAGGAAGGTGCGTCCTGAGCAAGCCAGGTCTCATTCAATCGCATCGGGAGTCGGTCAACCCACCCTACGTGTGCCACATGCTTCGAGGGACCCTACACTTTATATCGCACCTCCGAGAGGAGGTCGTGAGGGGCTGTTTCCAGCTGCAGCCTTAGGGAGTCAGACGTGCAGTTGGGCGAGGAGGGGCCGCATTGCCTGGAGTCCACTACTCAGTGTTTGGGAGGGGACAGGTCCCATCAGCCGGCCTCGGCGGCCTGGCCCGCGTCCGCGCCCTCCGCTTCCACCTGGTTGCCCTTGCCCAGCTTTTTCAGGCTCTCCAGGAAAGCCTTCCAGGTCTCGGGCACGCTCTGCTCCAGCAGCCAGCCCTCGCTCTCACACTCCGGGTCCTCGGGGTTGGATACGCCCTCCAGCGCCGTGTGCACGTAGCGCAGCCCGACGGTGATGGCCACCTGCAGGACAGGACGGGACCAGGAGGGAGGCAGGTGGGCAGGCAGGGACCAGGCCCGCCCCAGCCCGTGCCTCCTGGTAAGGGTTCAGGGGTGTAAACAGGAGCCGTGGAGTGTGGCCCTGCCTGTCTCAGCCTCCCCGGGCTTCGGTGAGTTCCCCCTGCCCATTCTCTCCCCACGCTGGCCCTTAACCCCTCCTGCGCCCCCTGCCTAGGACAGTTGTCTCTGTCTTTGCCCCGCTGAGCTGCCGGCCATGCCCCCGCCCTCCCCTCCTCCCATTCCCCTTCCTGGGGCTCTAATCTCGGGTTCCTTCTCCCCCGCTGCCCCGCCCCTCATTCCCAGCACGTTTTGGCTGCTGGTAACTTTGTTGAATAGGCTTTAAAAATCACCTCCTAGCCAGGGCTGGTGGTGCACACCTGTAATCTCTTCACTCCGGGAGGCTGAGGCAGAAAGATTGCAAATTCAAGCCCAGCCTGAGCAATGTAGTGAGACCCCAAAACAAAATTTTCTAAAAAGAGCTAGAAATGTAGTTCAGTGTGAAAGCTCTGGGTTCGATCCCCAGTATTGCTAAAGAAAAAAAAAAAGAAAGAAAGAAAGAAAGAAAAGTCGCCTCTTTCCTGCAGTCTCATGTGTGGGTTTTCTGTAGCTGTTATTTTATTGGCCTGCTGGGAATGGGGGGCCGTGATGGGCCACTGGATTTGTATCCTAGCATTCACTGTGAAGCAGCACCTAGGTCCTCTGGTCTGTGGTGCCTCAGTAGGCGTGGAACCCAGGGTCCCAGAGGAAGTAGCCCCTGATGTTAGTGACTGATAGAGCGCTAGGCTCTGTTTTTATCAATTGCCAGTTTAAACAGATAAAGAAGGAGCTAAGGCCAGCTCCTGCCTAACAAACACAAGGTCCTGAGTTCGATTCCCAGTACCCATAAATAAATGGATAAAGATGTGGGGTTTTTATTCAATGGTGTACTACTCTGCCTTAACGAAGGATAAACTTCTGGGGTTCCTAGCTAAATAGATGCACCTTGAGACCGTACTGTTAAGTGGCGCATGTGTGTAGCTAATGCATTGTTCCTCTGGGGCTAGAAACCAAAAGAGTAAGTAAAGATCAATTGCAAATGTAATGATGTATTTTCCACTGGAAAAAGTCTCCTCTCCCGGCACACCAAGCCCTCATGGCACCCCCTCCGGTACCCCTGCCTTCCTATTAACTCTGATTAACTCTGCCCTTCATTTTGGCTCACAAGTCTGATGTCATCTGCCACCATGTGCCTGTCACAGGTCTGCCCACTACAGCTTAGAGGAGCAGTCAGGCGTTTAGACTCCCTGTCCCTGGCAAGATGGCCCCATCTCATTCGATCACCTGTTCCGAGGTGTCAAGGTGAGAGGCAGGGATGACACTCAGCCCCAGTGCTGTTCCCCGCTCCCCGTGCTGGGTTGGGGTCCTGTTCTCCAGTCTCCTAGCAATGAGCTGCTCTCCCACCCCTCAGCCCCAGACTCTGCCGCACAGAGCACCGCCCACGGGACACAGTGTCTGCCGGGACATCAGAGAAGCTTCCAGGCACAAAACAGCCACCTCTCCTTGGGCGTGGGTGTGGCACACCCTGGGAGCGGCCAGGGCCTGGGTCCCTCCACCTTGACTCCAGGTCGCTCCCACACCCTGGTTCAGCACCTAGAACAGCGCCCGGACGCCCTGTTGCTGAATTCCCTGCCAGATCCCTGAATAATTCGGTGCATACCTGGCTAGCTAGGGCCAGGCTCCAGAGCTGCAGGAGGGAGGTGAAGCCTTACGGAGGAGATGGGGTGAACCTGAAGATGATCGAGGTTGCCATGGAAGTTCCTGAGCAACCAGTGTGCATATTGCTATGCAGAGAGTCCCCACCCAGAGCTCGGGACTGTCTTCCCCACCCCAACAGACAGTGAGACCTGCTGGGACAAAGGAGCAGAAACACAGCACCAGGGCGGGACAGGGAGGGACAGGGAGGGAGAGGTGTTCTCTGGGTTGATGGAAATGTTCAGGACTAGAGAGAGGTGGCGGTCCTGTGACTGTCCCAAGTGCCACTGAATTGCATACTTTCAAATGGTGACTGAAGAGACTGTTTTTATAAGTGGAGACCCTGGAGCCCTGCCTGGCGCTCTGTCCTATTCTCCCCGCCACACCCCAGGGGCTCCCTCTGCCCATCACCAGTGGGCCTACCTCCAGGAGCCACACGAGCAGCGTGGCGATGCCCATGGAGTTCATGAGGCTCCTGTAGTAGCCCAGCAGGGCGTCCCTGCAGCCCCGCAGCCAGAGGTTGAGCTCCTCGGTCTGGTGGTCGTAGCTGTAGTGTGCGGAGTTGTTGGTGAGCTGGTACTGGATGCAGGGCCGCGGCGAGCTGGGGTTGCAGCAGCTGAAGGGCACCCCGTCCACCAGGTACCGCCCGTCCACGTTGCTCTTGATGCGGCTGCAGGGGAACAGACAGCCTGACCCCGGCTCTGGGGCTGCTTCCTGCGGCTGGAAACCTGCACCCCACACATTCACACATTCACCCACTCTTTTGTTCATTCATTCCCTTGCTGTGCACCCACCACGTGCCACCCCAGTGCTGGGCGTGACTCTTGACCCTGCCTTCCTAGGGCTCATCTCCTACATGGCAGGCCAGAGCACCACCAGCCCCTCTGTGGCTGGTGGGAAACCAGGTGACAGCGGCACTCAGTGCTGTCAGAGTTTGGGCCCAGCCCCTCACCTATGCAGCCTCCTCCCCAGCCTCCTTCCCTTCCAGGATGGAGACACCCAGCTGCTTGGGTTACCAGTCCACAGGGAGGCTCCCGGCAGGTTTGCATTGCTCTGTGTGTGTGTGTTTTTTTGTTTTTGTGTGTGTGTGTGTGTGTGTTTTTTTTTTTGGTCTTTTTCGTTTTTATCGGTACCAGGGATCGAACTCACGACTGCCTGCTTGCAAGGCAGGCGCTTATGCCGCTGAGCTAAATCCCCAGCCTCTGTGTGTGTTTTTTAGAGCAGATTCTACATCACAAGGTTCAGAATGCAAAAGGCACTTTACACTGGCAGGTCTCCCGGGCCTGCCCACAGCCATCCTGGGTGCCTCAGGGGTAAAATCCATCTGTCCACACACCTGACGCCCACAGCTCTGTCTACTGAGAGAGCTGCCATGGAGCCCCACATTACTCAAGAGTGGCAGACTTGGCTGGGGATTTAGCTCAGTGGCATAAGTACCTGCCTTGCAAGTGTATGGTCGTGAGTTCAATCCCTGGTACCGATAAAAAAGAAAAAGACAAAACAAAACAAAACAAAAAAAAGAGTGGCAGACTTTTACCACACAGGGTAGAATGGGTGTTGGTGTTGTTGTGCAAAAGAAACTGTTTCACACTTGCAAATACAGAAATGTTTCGTGCTCCTCCCACAGATGTGAATGCTTAATGCACCTGGCTGCTTCTTCTGTGGGCCAGCGGGAATTCAGTAGGAGTATCTTGGTAGACAGGGAGCATAAATCTTTATGCACTGTAGCCAGTGTGCAATATGGTGCAGTTGTTACATGCTTGTCAATAAAACCATCAGTGTATAAAAAAGGAGAGCCAGGATTGGTGGTATGACCTATAATCCCAGCACTCGGGAGGCTGAGACAGGAGGATCACTGTGAGTTTGAGGCTAACCTAGGCTGCATGATGAATTCAAGGCCAGCATGAACTATGTAAGGAGACCCTGTCTTTAAAAAAAGAAAAAGATACATATATATATATATATATATATATATGAAAAAAATTATTTTCAGCAATATTCCTGGACATGGTAATTACACTCTTAAAAAGCTGTCGATGTTTAGCTTCTAAATATAATCACTTGTTTGTCTGTTTGAGACAGGGTCTTGCTATATAGTTCAGGCTGGCCTTGAACTCACTATGGGAAGCTGGCTTCAGACTCATGGTGATCCTCCTGCCTCATCCTGGGTGCTGGTGCATGCACCCAGCTCTATAATCGCTTCAGTGCCAAACAAGTCCCCCTCCTTGTCTCTCAGCCTCCAGGCCTGGCCCCTGGGGCCAGCTCTGCCTGTCCTTCGAGGGAGACTCAGCAAATGCTCCATACACCAGGGCGGTGCCCGGGGTGATATCCAACATTGCTTAAGGAGGCCTGTGGCCCTGACTGTGGGGTTCTGTCCCGTCTCCTTCCGGTCTCTCTCACACTCTGGTAAATACAAATCGACACAGTCCGGTGTGTGCTGGGACCGCACCTCCTCAGGTTCTAGAAGAGGCGTGACCTTCCCAGATCCCTGCCACATCTCCCCTTGGGGGCTGTCCAGTCAACCCTGAACTGGACATGCTCAGGAGAGCTGCCCCCGTGGCCACACTTCCCTGGGCCCAACTTCCAATCTTTGCCAACCTGACAGGTACAGGAGTTTCTTTAATTTTCATTTTTCTCATCGTGGGCATCTTGGCCAGTTCAAGCCACTGCAGTTCCTTTTCTGAGAACTGCCTGATGGTTTCCATCCTGGTGACTGATACTCCAGGGAGGCTGCCTGTAACAGCCTGGGTTTCAATGACCGTGTGTCTACGCACCCCGCATCCCGACTTCTACTTGTCAGGTAGAACCCACCATCTAGAGAACAGGTGGCCTTTGCTGGCACAGATGTTTAAGGTGGGAACAAGAGCCAGGCCACATGTGACCAGCTCCACCCTCTGGACAAGCTCCCTCAGGGCTCCCTGCCACAGCATCCTTGTCTAAGACATGGGAAAGGATTTGTGTTGGGTGGAGGCCACCTGGCAGCCACAGGGGCAGCAGGAGCCAGCACTCACATCAGATGGTGAGCAGGGTATCACAGGGGCACAGTCACCCCGAAGAGATTGGCTTTAGTTCCTCAAGGGCAAACTGGGGCCCAGTTCTCTGCCTGCAGCAGGCAAATGCTGGGCCCGCCCAAGGGCTGTTTGAGGTCCGGCTTTGCCCATCTGTTCAGGGAAGCATCCTGGCTCCCTGCTAGCCGGGTCCCCAGGAACAGGTAGGTAGATGACAGGAGGGGAGCACAGCCTGGGGTGGGGCTTCAGCTCGGGCTGCCACTCCCCTCTGGGCCGGCAGCCCTGGGCACAGGGAGCAGAGAGTAGATGGGGTGCTCCTCTCTCCACCCTGAGACTTTCCTAGGGCAGGCAGTCTGAGGGCTCCAGTGCCGTCCTCCCCTCATCCTTGCTAGCTTTGGGATGTCCCTTGAGTTCCCTAAAACTGATTGTGAGCCTGAATGGTGACCTCTGTGGCCCCATGTGGGGCCGCTGTGACCCTCTCTCCCCTGAGGTAACACCGGTGTGCTCCCTGCACCCCCAGAAAGTGCCAGCTCCCTCCACTTGGAGCCACAGTGACTGTGCCCCAGAGGAGGAAAGGGGACCCTGCCTGGGGCCACACAGGAAGTGGAAGGCAGCTGAAGGCCCCCTCACGTTGGCCACGTCTGGAGGGTGAGAGGTGAGTGTTCCCTCAGGTCTCCTGGCAGCCCTGGCACTCTCTGGGTGTCCTTCAGCTGAGGTGGAGCCTGCACAGCAGCCTCCCCGATGGACCTCAGCAGGAGAGTCACCCTGCTGGTCCCCACCCCATGGGGCAGGGCTGTGTCCCCTCAGACCAGGCCCCCGAGGATGTGGACGAGGATGAGCCCCTGTCTCCTCTTGTGTCTCACCTCACCACTTGCATGATTTTATGCCTAGTGGCCGCTCACTCAGGAATCCTGAAAGCACAACTGAGGGCCAGGACGCTGCCTGCCCAGCACGGGCGTGACCCTGGGCTCATCTCCAGCCCCAGGTAAAAACAAGAAAGAGAAATACCAAGCACTGGGCATCACTGCTAACACGGATGGGGCCAGCGACCTGTGTGTCCCCTCCTGCGCCTCTGCTCCTCCCCGCTGACTGCCACAAGTCCTTCCTTACTATCCTTACTACTGACAATGATTCGCTTGCTGAGTTATGTTTGCTCCCCCATGAAAGCTCAGATTTGCCACTCTGCCTGAGCACTGTGTGACTTGGGCCTGGAGACTGTCCTGAAATGGGCTTTATCTTAACTGAGATCCAAGCAGCCCTGGGGACCCCAAGCAGAGCCTAGCTGGCAGCCTGGGCACGCCGTGTGATATAAATAGCCAGCTAAGGCGCTTCCCTGTCAGCTTTGTCCTAAGAGGTCAGCAAGCCTTAATCTGAGCAGCTGTAGTAAACAAGGTGACTCTTGGGACAGGTTCACAGGCTCAAACAGCCGGCAGCACAGCATGCCTGCCATCCAGGGTTCCAGCCACCTGTGACCAGCTCTCTGTCCCAGGGCATCCTCCCCCTAGAGAATGTGAGGCTCCCCTCAGCAATTTGCTGGCATGTCCCATTTTGGGGGGGAAGGAAAATTCCTTCTAGAAAGATCTTGGTGGTGACAACCCTGCTGCCTCCCTGTGTGCTCCTGGCCTCATCTCTGCCCTCTGAATCCTGGCCCGGAAGGCTGAGGGGCTCCGTGGTAGAGCAGGGAGGGTGAACCTCTGGGTTCCACACTGGTGCCAAAAAACCCCAACAAAACAAAGAAGAATCCCAGCCTCAGGCTGCTGCAGAGCAGACCCACAAGCTGAGTGGTCCCCACTGCTCAGCCCTCCTCATCTCCAAAGATGAGCTCCTTGTGTGTTTTTCAGGGGAGGTCATCTGGGAGCCAGCTCTGCTGAGTGCAATTACTAACCCTCCTAAAGGAAGCTGTTCAGATGTGAACAGGGAGCATCTTAGATGCCCCTGTCGTGGAGGAGGAGGGAAGCACCCCAACAAGTCCTCACTTTCCTCCCAGCTGCTCAGAGCTGGCCCTGGAGCTGGCCCTGGAGCTGGCCCTGGGGCAAACACCACTCCCAGAGTCTCCAGCCTTTCCCAGGAAGCAGGCTGCCTACAGGCATGGGCACTACCCCCCACCACCAGGGCACAGGTGGAAAAGTCTGTGGGATGTGGTGGTGACGTGATTCCTGACGACCCTAGGACTCTGCAAAGGAGCAAGCTGTGTCTGCAGCTCGGCTCTGTGAAAAGTGGAAGCCAGCAGCTACATTTCTTTCCTGGAAATTTAGCCCACGGGAAATGAGAGATTGAGAGCTTTGAGAAAGGACCAGATAAAAGCAGACAACTACAGGCCCAAGTGTGGACAGCTGCGTCCTGTGCGGTGCACAATCATTAAACCTCACCTCGAACCTGACTCAAATGTTACCCGGCCAGCTGATGGCGTGCAGCTGCGCTTACACCGCGGTTCCTGTGTTAGATAAATGCCAACCAGACAGGAGTGAAACTCGGGAAAATTAAAGCCATTCACCAGTGATGGGCCAGAATCCGACCTGCATTTCATCGCCTGCTTTTACCCCTCTTAATGGTGTCCTTTGTAAAGGGTGGGTGTTAAAACACAGAAATTCTTCTCCAAGCCCATGGGGTTTGGATAATTTTACTCCGCAGGTTGGTAGGGGCATTGAGGTAAACTTGTTTAAGCTAAGTGTTTGCCTGAAAATTTGGATTCCTTGGTCATTAGGAGGCGAGTGACCTCAATCATTTCTCCCCTCTGGAACAGAAAGGGGCTGGGGGTCACAGGGTGATTTGTGCATCTCTCCAAAGACTGACAGGAAAGAATCTGACGTGACAATCAGAGATCATGACAGGGCTCGAGTCTCGCCCCCTGGAGCTTGCCCCGCTGGGGTGCGTATGTCAATGGCACCTCTTTGTCCTGTCCCTGTGGACTGCCACCCAGGAAGGGCAGTGCTTTACAATCCTCTCCTGGGCCGGGGATTTATGGGAGTAATCTCCCCCCGCAGAGCAAACGCAGTGCCCGCTGCGACCTTCACTCCCACTACCCAGCCACCCGTGGGGCGGCTAAGCCATCTGGGGCTCCGAGATGCCTGGGCTTTGTCCATGTCCTGCTGCTTGAGTGGCCTGGGCCTCAAGGTCCAATTCCTACCAACTTGCCAGACTTAGAGGGAATCAGGCACTCTAATGCCAGCCAGGAGAGGGTAGTGCTGGAGAGAAAGCAGGGTGAAGGTGACCCTGGCTGCCCTGTCCCTAGATCGACAGACCATGACCCGTGCTGAAATTCCTGCCTATGGCCTCCGCGGGATTCTATTTGCACATGTGCCAGGGACACCTTAGAAACCCTATGTCGAGTTGCACAATCATCGTGTGGGAGTAAACACCACCAGGCCCTCCATGAGCTCCTGCTACGTACCAGGCTCTAGGTGGGACAGGAGGTAAAAGCCATGGTCATCCACCCCAGTGCCTTCATTTGAGGGATGGGCGAGCCAAGGTCAGCCCCAGGTCAAAGCTACTGACCACAGCCAGCCTGAAGCCCAGAGCTGCCTGTCCTGGGCCCATGCCCCATGTGCACAGGAACAATGGAATAGGCTGGAGCCCACCCTGTCCAAGGACAGAGACCTCGAGTGCGGGGGGACACTGAGTCAAGGAGATGCAAAACCAGGGAATTAAGCAAGAAACTTAAACCTCTGGGATGGAACCCACCTCCTTTGAATGCAGCAAGCCCCAGAGGATGTCTCAGAGCTGCTTAAACAACTGGACACCTTCCCCCCGCCTCAGCTAAATGTCAGGTTGGGCCACAGGAGCTTGCCTCTCTGATGGGCCTTCATACGATCCAACCCGAGTCCCCTCCCAGACGCAGGGACGAGTTATACACCCACGATGAGGGGAGGCCCTGGATGGGCTGGGAGGCGGAGGCCGGGGCCTCTGTGTCCCCAGATAGCTCCAACCCAACCCACTCACTCTTTGACTTCTTTGGAGGAGAAGTCCAGGTAGCGGTTGCTGATCCACTGAATCTCGAACCAGTCCCGGAAGCCGCTGTCCCCGCAGCACTGAAACTCGATCTGCAGCATGTCGATGGTCTTCTTCATGAAGCAGCGGCCTGGCGTGTCCGTGTCCCGGTAGTATTTCATGCCCCTCCTGAGCCCGTGGGCCAGCGTGCTCTCCAGCGAGCCCCACGGCAGGAAGCAGCAGAGGGCCACCAGGAAGAGGACGACATTGAAGAGGACACAGACGGCCAGGTAGGGCTTCAGCCAGGGCTTCCACTTGGCGAACTTGGCGGGGTCCAGGGAGTCGTAGCAGATCTTGCCAGCCAGGGAGTTGAAGACGCAGGACAGCAGTCCCACCCCGATCAGGGAGTTGGGCACAAAGTGGCTCTCGGCGTTGTTCATCACCTCGCTCCTCTTCCGGAGCTCGATCTTCAGGAAGAGCCCCATGCTGAAGATGACGATGCCGGCCAACACAGAGAGCCAGTTCATGAGCCAGAGCCCCTGTGCCAACTTGACCCGCTTCTTCTGGTCAAACTTAACTTTGAGCAGCGCCATGCTTGCCCAGTGTGGTCCAGCAGCGTCACACAGCACGGTCCCCTCCGGACCCAGGCAACTCGGGGGGCTGAACACTCAGGGCCACCGGAAGGGCACAGACAGCCTGCACTGCAGGGGGCTCCTCTGGGGGGTGCCCATGTCGGGCGCCTGCCTGGGATCCCGTTGAACTCAGAAGCAGTGGCAGGAGCTGGTCCCTAGTGTCGATTGTGCAGCTCCCTTCCCAGCCAAGCAGGGACAGCTGAGCGCTGCAGATTAAAAGTGGGATCCTTGGGACACCTTGCTAATCTCTTTAGCCAGGTTCATCCCATTAGATAAAGCCGTGCCAGGCACATAAGAGGAGCCAAAGGAGCCTCGGCGGCATACTGCCAGGCAGAGAGCTCTGGGTTCAGCTTGGAGAGTGGGGAGCAAAATGGGGCAACTGGCCAGAGGCTGGGCTGAGCCTGGAGGGCTGGCCAGGGTCAGGGCTGCAACTTTCTGTGGGACAAAATGCATTGTGATCCAAGTTAAAAAAAGAAATGGCAGATTGTGACCAAATATTTGCAACATGCACAAAAAAAGGAGAATATGCACAGAGGTCTAAACTCCCCTAAATGCCCAATTAAAAAGCAACAGATAGAAATAAATAAATAAAATAAAAAACTTTTTTAAAGCGGGGGGCTGGGGATTTAGCTCAGCAGCATAAGCACAAAAAGCAACAGACCTCACGAGCAGCTCTGTAGGAGAAGCCCTTGTCCAGCATGGGGGAGGCCCTGGGTTCCGCCAAAGCGCGCACACACACACACAGCTGGAAAGGTGGTGCACACCTAGGAGATTGAAGCAGGAAGATCACAAGTTTGAGGCTAGGCTGCAACTTAGTGAGATCATGTCTCCAAAAATCAGAAAGAAAAAAAAAAAAAAAGAAAGAAAAGAAAAAGAAGAGATGCGGCTCAGTACCAAGGGTCTAGGTTCAAACCCCCGTGCCACTAGATAAATAAAGAGGCAAAAGTCAGAACAGGAAATGCGTAATAAGGAAATCTGGAGCATCTATTTAACAATTTAGAAAAGCAGTATATGCAGAGAAATTCAAATTAAAACCCCACTTAAAAAAATATTTTGAAGCTGGGTGTGGTGGTGCATACCTATCATCCCAGTACTGGAGATGCTGAGGCAGGAGGATCGCTGTGGGTTTGAGACCAGCCTGGGCTACAGAGTGAGTTCAAGGCCAGTCTGAACTGCATAGTGAGACCCTGTCTCAAAAAGACCAAAAAAACAAAAAAAGACAAAGATAAATCAATAAAGATATAAACAAACAAACTTGATCCGTCAAGTGTTTGATCATCTGCCAAAATTCTGTCCTAGAATATAAATTAAGACAGTGTTTGAGCCGCAGGCACACACTCTTGGTGAGGCTGACACTTTTTAATTAATGGACTATTTCTTAGACCAGTTTTAGATTTACAAAAATAAATTGGGCAGGGCATGCAGAGTTCTAGTGTATCCACCTCCCCGCACCCAGTGCCCACTCGCGGTCACACCCTGCGTTGCCGTGGAGAGTCATGTTCACAGTGCTGTGAGTTTTGTCAACTACACGCTGTGAACGCAATGTGATCGTGTCATACACAATAGTTCACGGCTCTGCCGAGCCGTGGGTTCCACTGAGCCACCCCCAACCTCCCCAGCCTCAGGCGACCACTGTCACCATGGCTTTGCCTCTTCTGGAAGGTTCCATAGTCAGATTCACAGTCGTCACAGGCTGACTTCTTGCCCTACCGTAACCCATTTCCATGTAACAGGGGATAATGTGTCGCAGTTTATCCAGTCACCACTGGAGGATATCTCGGTTGCTTCCAGCATGGGGCAGTTATAAATCAAACTGCTAGGAATATCTCTGTGAGGTTTTTGTGTGAATGTAAGTTCTCAGTTCACTTGGCTTAACATGCAGGAGGGAAATGGCTAGATCACGCAGAAACAGTGTGTTTAGCTTTCCAAAACTGTCTTACCAGTGGGTTCCCCAGCAGCGACCCTGTGGCCACCCACCTTGCCAGCTTTGAGCTGTTCAGTGTCAACCATTCCGTTGGGTGTGCAGGGGTAGCTCCTTACTGTACGTTTGTTTGTTTGGAGACAGGGCCCCACCATGTAGTTCAAGCTGCCTTTGAGTTCACTATGTAGCCCAGGCTGGTCTCAAAGTTGCATCGATCCTCCTGCCTCAGCCTCCTCAGTGCTGGGGTGACAGGCATGCAACGCCCCACTCAGCTTCGGAAGGTACATTTTCACAGCCTTGCAGAGGAGTAATTCATCCGTCTCTGTTGACGTTTAATGCTCACATTACCAATAATCCTGCAGTCCCATCTCTCACAGCAGGCTGTGTGTGAGTAGAGGGGATTTCAAAACAAGCCAGGCTTGTCCTCAGATTCTTGCCTCCTAAAACTGAAAGTTTCCTGACTAAGCAGCCCAGGAGCTCACGTGGCAGTAGATCGAGTCCTTGTTCTGGAACCTCCTTCTCTCCTACCTTGGCTCCATTAGTTCCACCACCCGCACACTCTGCTTCAAGATCCCCAATCCCTAGATTTTTTTTTCCCTAAAAAAAGCAGCGCCGCATTTCTCTAGAGACAGGGGAGCCTCAGAACAAGGCTGGGAGCCGTGAGCCTCTGACCTGTGTCGCAGTCACTGGAGAAAGCAGAGGCCCTTATTCTATGGCCAGCCTGTGTCTAGGCTCCAGTGGGCACCTGCAAAGCTGGGATAGAATTGTCAGGCCACCCGGAGTAACAGTCGTACCCAAGCTTATGGCTCCACCAACAGGAGGCCGCTCTGATCTCAAAGCCTTTCGACCCTTCAACCCCCAGCAGAGACCCTTAAAAAAAAATAAAAAATAAAAATCTGCACGCGCTTCTGGTTTCTAGAATCATTTTGCAAGTTGTAGTTTTCCAAGGGAGGATTGCAGACACCAGAGCTGGTGGAACGCCCCCTCCTGCACAGGCCTCTGCAGACAGCGGCCCGGGAGCATCGTGAGGCTGGCCCAGGGAACCTCCAGGAGGAGCATGATGGGGAAGAGAGAACAGAGGCAGAGACCGAGGAAATACTAGACGAGAGCCTCTTTCTCCTTCAAGTCCCTGTATGCGCCTGTGGGTGCCCCCTGGTGGCCAAAAAGAGAACAGCTTCGGCGGAGACCTCTGTATGGTATCTCTGAGGATGTCAAATTTCCAAGAAAGGTCAAAGAAGAAGAGCAGACACCAGAAATGTCCCTGGCTACAGTTTTCAAGTCTGAATGAAGTCGGGCCATAGTTGAAGAACTCTCAGGGACAGGTGAGCTTCTGAGTAGGATAATGACTCTTTAGTGGACTCTCCTCCTGGACCAATCCAAGTGAGCATGGATATTGTATGTCTGTTTAAAAAGATAATAGTCTGCACTTGGGAGGCTGAGGCAGGAGGATCTCGTCAAGTTCAAGGGGATACATTGTGAGTTCAGGCCCATTTGAGCTACAAAGTGAAACCTTGTCACACACACAAAAAGATAATAGACCAAGTTATGGAATTAGTGCACAGAATTAGGCTGAGTGCTTTTCTTCCTTAGAAATTCCTTTTAATGCAGCAGCTCGGCATGGTGGTGATGCCTATAATCCTAGGTACACTGGAGTCTGAGGCAGAGGATCACAAGTTAAAATCCATCCCGGGAGACTAAGATGACTTCGAGACTTTATCTAAAAATCAAAATAAAAAGGGCAAGGGATAGAACACTTGCTAGCATGCCCTGGGTGGGTTCCTCACAAATGAAAAAACTCATACATGCAGGGAAGTGAAAAGTCCACTTATAAATGTAAGCTTGTGGCCAGGGTTTAGCTCGGTGGCACAAGTGCCTGCCTGGCAAGTGCAAGGCTGCGAGTTTGATTCCCAAGTTGGATAACCCCCTTCCATGATCAATCATAATTAGAGTTTCACTAACATTCATACATATAACTGTAGTTCATTAATGTTTTTATCTTTAAGTATAATTTGACACAGAGAATATATATACATCTTTGTGACAAATAATATATATGTAACAATATATACAATTTGTTGTTATAAATCATAATAATAAACACTCATTCACCATTCAAATATACATCTCCGTTGACTTGCATCTCTGATTCATATTACGTGTTCTCCTCCGTGGACTGAACTATGTCCCCTGCCCTGCATGTTGCAGCCCTAACCCCAGTGTGGGCTGTATTGGGAGAGAAGGTCTATTGGGGGGGGGAGTTAAGTTAAAGGAGACCATGGGAGGGGCCCAGTCCCATGGATTAGTGACCTTATGAGGAGAGGAAGGGAGCAGAGCTCTCCCCAGGGCTGAGGAAAGGTGACCTGAGGACACAGCAAGAACATGACCACCTGCAAGCCAAGAACAGGCCTCCCCAGAAGCCAGCCCTGCCAGGACCTCTGCCTTGGACTTCCATGCTGCAGAACTGAGAAGAGATGAATGAAAAAATAGCCCTGGCTGTGTACTATACTTTTTCCCACTCGGCATGCTTTGAGAGCCCTGCATGCTGTTACACAGTTACGTCTCCTTGTCATGTACTGTTTACACCACACAGGTCGCATGCTCAGACCAGTGGGTGTAGGGCTGCCCTCTAGTATTGTGCTATTTATTTATGATTTATTTATTTCGGCACTGGGGATTGAAGCCTGGGCCTTTATACCAAGCTACATCCCCAGCCCTTTTTATTTTTTCTTTTTGGACAGAATCTCACTAAGTTACCCAGGCTGGTTTTGAACAGATGGGTTACCAATCTCTGTTCCAACTGGAAACGCGATTCCATCGTATTTCCTGGGATTACTGACCTGTTTGAATTTATGCCTACCAGTTTATTTCATGCTTTCTCTTTGTCCCCGTTTTTCTTTGCTTCTTTTTTTCCTCCTCCAGTTTGACGTCTTTACAGTTCACTGACACTATTTGTCCCCATTTCATTTTGCCCTTTACCCCACTCTGTGCCTGGCGAGCTGATTCACACAGTTGGGGCCAACAGCAGACTGAACCCTCACCTTGGAATTTCCATCTGGGGTCGGCCTGTGGGGAGGGTGACCTTTCTCAGATCCTCTGGCTCCTTGCAAGTGGATGTCGACTGATCACAGTGGATGGACTTTTTCCTCAGTCATCAGAGGGGCTCTGAGGAATCACCCATCCAGAAGAGATGGGGACCTCAACTTGCCTGGGGTAGGTTTGCCACCTTTCACCACAGAAAAGCATTTCAGGATGCATCGACGAGGCGCATAGCCTGGTTTTCTAAGAAGGGTTAGAAAAGTAAGAAAGGGGGGAAGGGACTTCAGCTAGCAGAGCAGAAGGGGACACAGTCATCACGGAGAGGATCAGAGTGGCCCATTCAGCAAAGAACAAGACCAGTCCTTGTGAGTTTGCTGGCGCGGGTGAAGGTCTGCTTGGTCACCATCTGGGTCCCCACTGGAAGATGCTCCTGAAGTCCTTAACACTTGAGCGGACAATCTGGTCACCATGATGTGATTGCTTCTGTGTGCTGTGGTCTCGTCTTATGAGGCACTGCTGGAATCTAAGGGAACTACAGATCTAAGGCAATCACGGGGAGACTGGGGTGCTCTTCTGCAGCTGAGTGACCCTGTGTGTCTCTGGTTGTGAAGAGGTGCAGGTGAGATCATGCACCGAAGTACTAACCGTGTATGCCAGCTTTCAAACACGTGCCCCTGAGCAGTGACCACGCCCGTGCACAGAGCTGAGCCCCCAAGGAGCTGCCCTGCCCCCAAGTTTCAAGGTCATGAAGGAGACAGATGGAAAATGAGTCATCTCTGTTCAGCTTTTAGTCACCTCCTCCTACGCATCCATGGGCCTAAGGGAGGAGCCGGAAACAGCTCCCAAGTCCCTGATGGCCTGGTGCTCTTTGTGAATAACAGGCTAGGGGCCTGGAGTCTGCCCTGGGTCCCCACAGTGGTACCAGGACTGCGTGGCTTCCACTGCAGGCTACAACTCTGGTCATGTAGCATTCTCTCCCCCTCCCCCGCCCCTACTCAGCTACCAGTCTCAGTTTTGTTCCTCAGCCAAGCGACAGTACAGGTATTGCCCACAGTTTTGTAAACAGCGCTGGAGCTGTCTTTACATGCAGGAGCAAGGCAGCTGCTCCTACAGGGCCCTGCTTGACGCACGGTGTTTGATGCCATTGCTGCCTGAGAGCTGAGCAGGCAGCACGTAAAGGCACCGTGAGCACCGTGCAGGGACCGCAGGCGAGCACACGGGGCTGTGGGGCTGTCTCAGGCCAACGAGGGCCCGAGAGAGGGGACCTCAGGAGGTTTTAGAGCACGTATGACACACTTGAGAACGAATTAGGTAGCTGCAGAATGATTTGGAAATTGGAGGTTGGAGGCGATTCCCTCCAATTACTGTCACAGGAAGTTAAATATTTTATAGCTATCAGATCGGCGAAGACTCAGAAATCTGATAGCACAGGGCCTCGATAAGGACGTGAAGAAACAGTGCTGTGGGAGGTGGCTTGCGTGCGTGTGAACTGACAACGTCTTAGAAGGCAACGCCGAGGTTAGAGAGATCTTCACCGGCCGTCCCTCCAGCGGGGACAGTCCTGAGTATTCAGCCTACAGATGCAGCTGCCCACAGGCGAACCATTTATGGAGAAGGATATTCACCAGGGCATTTTTCTAGTGGTTGAAGGTTGGACTGGTGGAGGAGCACGGCCCCGTCCGCATCCCAGAGCCCTAGGCAATGAAGAGAAACACAGTGATTCCATCTGTACTTAACACAGAAAGGTCCCCAAGAATAAAGGTCATGACAAGATGCGGTCAAATCAAGATGCGAGTAAGCACACATAGTAGTGATGGCGAACCCCTCAGTGTATTCACTGATACGAACAGCTCACCGTGCCAGGGGTGCCACAGGTTTGCCATCACTGATAGGGTGTGTGGGTTCTATTTGAATCTGGGAAAAAATGGTTATACAGTATTACATAAGAATTTGTAAATGCACAAACCCAACACTGATGGAGAGTGGGGACTGTTCTCCAAAGAGAACCAAAGGGCCTGAGACAATACAGAGATTTAGTTTTTTGCTCTAATTCTTTTGTACTTCTGTGTGGCTTACTATGAGAAGAAAAAAAAAAAACAACATTGTATTGTCTTTTTTTCTTTTTTCTTTTTTTTTTTTTTTAATTTAATTTTTTTTTTTGGTCTTTTTTCGTTTTTATTGGTACCAGGGATCGAACTCACGACTGCCTGCTTGCAAGGCAGGCACTCATGCCGCTGAGCTAAATCTCCAGCCCCTTTTTTTCTTTTTTCTTTTTTCTTTTTTTGTTGTCTTTTTGTTTTTTGAGACAGGCTGCCACTATATAATCCGAGCTGGCCTCCAACTCAGTGATCCTCCTGCCTCAGCCTCTTGAGTGCTGGCATTACACATGAACACCACACCTGGCTCATAATGTCATTTTTTTTTTTCACAATGTCGTTTTAAATCAAACCTCTACTTTTTTTCTCTTGGTACTGAGAATTAAATCCAAGGCCTTTGGGCTAAAACACATCTCCAGTCCCTCTTTATTTTTTATTTTGAGACAGGATTGCCCAGGCTGGACTCAAATCTGTAATCTTCCTGCCTCAGCCTCCCAGAGTGCTGGGCCTGCAGGTATACATCCCACACAGTCATCAAACCTCCACATTGATGTCAGTTCTGACAAACAGACTACCTATAGCTTTCTCAGTAAAATACACACAATTGAGACAGGCTCAACTATAAAGCCTTTATAGTAAAGAACATATTTAAATACTGAGCATAACATTCTGCTTAGTTGTGGGGTGAAAAAATAGCCTTGAACCTTGTTGCCTCTCTTCCAAAATTCAGTTAAATCCTGACTCCCAGGATAATGACATCAGGAGGTGGGCAATGGTGGGTCATTAGCCCACGGGGACTCTGGGATAAGTGAGCGTCCCATGCCCTTTGGGCCACAGTAGGAAGCAGCAGAGAGAGCTTCACTAAACATAGGCTCTTCCCTCAGCTCCATGTTGGCCTCTCCCACCCCGGCCTTTGAGAAACTCAATTTTGTTGTTTGTAAACTATCAGCCCACAAGGTTCTGTGATAGCAGCACAAAAGGATGTTATCTCTAAGATTCCGGTGAGGGCAGTATCAGAGTGGTGCAGGGCCACATCCTGGACCCCTGGTCATGGTTCCCAGTGTGAGCGGGATTCAGCAGCAGTGACTTTCTTCTGTGGTCCTGCTGACTCGGTGAGGAAGAGGATGGTCTTATCCCAGAGGAGTTGGAACTCCAGACTGGGGGCTGCATAGAGGGTAGGGCACACAGGGAGAGCCTGGTTCTGGGGCGGGGGAGGCTGAGAGGGAATTTGCCTCTAAAAAGGAAAATTGGCAAAGCAGAGAGGTTTTTCTAATGTTGAAAGGCACTAAAGGGGTGCTAATTATGCCTTATAATTCGTCAAGTGAGGTTGGCAGAGTTCTGGGCATAAGACTGTGATGTTTAGGAAAGCAAAGCATGGACTACTTAGTATAAAGATTTGGGTAAAAGCGGAGTGTGGTAGCCAGTAATCCCAACACTACAGAGGCTGAAGCAGCAGTGCCACGAGTTCAAGGCCAGCCTGGGCCACACAGTGAGTTTGAGGCTAGCCTAAACTAAGTACCGGGACTTTGTCTCAAAACAAAGATTAGGGAAAAACCACTCAGGGCTTGTTGAGCGACAAGGAAAGCTCAGCTGAGCTTAGCTGGCATTAGTGATAGTTTCAAATGCCCGGATTTTATGATCTCTATCTCTTACAAATTTCAGGTTTGTAAGACATCCAGGAGATTCTATTTGTGGTTTTGGGGATCAAACCCAGGGCCTTTTAAGCTCTACCACTGAGCCACACAGCCAGTCCACATCCTTCTTCAAGACTAATTGCTGAGGAAAGAAATACCTGGTTTCACTTCCCACTAAACAGATTTCTGCCCCCATTTTCACTACCCATTCTGTTCTTTTTTTTGTTACCCTGTTACTCTACCTTTTCTAGAAACCAACTTAGATCCTTCTAGAATGAGAACATTTAAATATTAACATATGAATACCTAGACTTTAAGTACATTAATATTTGAAGAACTGTTAAAGGCATGTTTGCAGTTATGAGACCAGAAGACCCCAAAATGTTCCTTTTTTTGGTGTGTTTTGAAGACAGGGTCTCCTTATGTAGCCCAGAGTGGTCTTGAACTCAAGGAAGTCCTCCTGTTTCAGCCTCCCAACTGCTCACGATTACAGGCATGCTTGGCTCATGTTTGTTTTGTTTTGTGGTGCTGGAGATGGAACCCAGGGTCAGCTGTATGCTAGGCAAGTGCTGTACCACTGAGCTATATCCCAACCCCCCTTTCCAAAAAAGCTTTTAAAAATTATCTTACAATGTTCTATTTAAGGATATTATTGGGTTTAGAGAACAGAAAATTTAATGTAGAGAGTTATACAGTAAAACTAAGGGAAAAATTAAAACTTGTCTGGATGGTCCAACTTCTTTTCATAAGAGGATACTCAGTAGCATAATTTAACCACAATTTGCCCTGTTTGACAGCTTTCTTCCCAACTCAGCAGACACTGCCAAAATGATATGCAGTAGTGATTAAGAAAGTGACTTGGGGGGCTGGGGATTTACCTCAGTGGCATAAGCACCTGCCTTGCAAGCAGGTGGTCGTGAGTTCAATCCCCCGTACCGATAAAAATGAAAAAGATGAAAAAAAAAAAAAAGAAAGTGACTTGGAGCCAGACTGCATGGTTTTAATTCCCTGCTAAACCACTGGAGCTGCAGGACTTGGAGTAAATTATTTACCTGTTTTCTCACTTAACAAATAGTGCTAACAGGAACAACCTCCAAAAATTCTGAGGACTTAATGTGAGTAAGGGGCTAAGAACAGTGTCAATGACATTTGAAGTGAACAAAAGATAGTAGGTCTAACTGTTTGGGCTTCATATTTGGAAAGACTGATAGGCCACTTGGGATCCATTCAAAACTTTCCACCCAACATTGAATTCTAGAAGCCCACACTAATGTGTAGCTAAAGATTAAAGAGGAGTTTTTGTATTGGCTTGCTGAGAAATGCTTATGTAAGTCAAAGCTTCATTGAAAAAATTTCTGTGAGTGTTATTTTTGCACAGGTTTGGTAACAGATTTCCGTATGCATCGGCTGCTTCTACAGCCCCACTGTGTTAAACCATTTATTGAAGGCCTCTTTTATCATGCGCTGTGATCATTTTAAGTACCACGCTTAAAATCAAAACGACTACCCTTTTTTCCCACTTATTGCTTCAAATTATCAGAGTCAAAGAAAAGTCAGTAGATATTCCCAAAATGGCTTAAGTGTCATGAATTTAATGGCCATCGCAAGCAGGAGACTATCACGTCTCAAGCCTGAATTGCTAAAAACATACAACTCTGCGGCTTCACTGGCTCTCGTCCTTCCCACAAGGAAAACATCTCTAGGAGAGGGGTACAGAATGACACTAGCTCAGTCCCATTCGATCTGTCGCTCTTCTTCAGGAAGAACACTCCAGTTTGGGGAAGCCACATCCCGCGCCAGCCAGTTGAAATCATCAACATCACTCCAGTTATTTTTGCTCCTGTTTAAACCAGAGCCCTGGAAGTCCTTGTCGATACCCTCGTAGCTCCAGGTATAAGGGGCAAAACAGATCCCGCTGCAGTCCTCTATGATGGCTCTACTGGTAACCTGCAGGAAGATACGGGTGTCCCTGGTGGTGTGCACGCGGAGTTGCTGGCAGGCCACAGCTAGCACGCAGTCACTGCAGTCCTCCAGGAATACAGAGGTGGACACCGGGCCGCAGAGCACCTTGCAGCCTCGGGCTTTGGCCAACCGCAGGGTGTTGGGGTTGCCGTACAGTCGGACGGTGCAGCTGCTCAGCTCGCTCAGGAGGACGTCGCGCTGCCGCAGTTCATCGGCTCTCTTTTCCAAAACCTGGGAATCGCAGTGCGAGAAGCCGCAGGCCCAGCTGAGCCCAAGGGCTTCCTGCCCCTTCGAGGACAGCGAAGGGGTGGCGATGTCTTCAGCCGCCGGGGTGCGGGCAGCCGCTCCTGCCCCGGAGGCCGAGGCAGTGTCTTTCCTCCGCGCCTTGAAGGCGAAGCGCTTCTTGGGCTGCAGATCTTGGCGCCGCTCGGCCAGAGTCGCCTGCAGCTGCGTCAGAGCCTCCTGACTCTGCCGCAGATCGTAGGCGGCCAGAAACCTCACCGCGTCGTTGAGAAGCTTCTGCAGCCCCTGCAGCCGCGCCGCCGCCTCCTCCAGCTGCTCTGCCGACGACTCGCCCTCCAGGAGCTCCTGCACCGCCGCGCGCTCCCGGGAGAAAGCGGCGGCGAAGAAGTCGCTCTGCTCCTCTTCCACCGCCTCATCCTGCCGCTTCTGCTTCCGCCTTTCCACCTCCAGCTGCCGCTCTTGCTCGCGTTTTTGAAGCCGCTCCGGCAACATGCTCAAGTCTCGTTGGGACCCCACAGATCCCACGTCTCCGTCCCCTACAGCAGCAGCAGAGCAGCCCACGACATCCATCTTGAATTCCAGCTTCCTCTCCCCACCCTTCCTTCCTTCCTCGGGGCGCGCCCTCCGTGACACCGCCCACCAACGCGCACTGTGATTGGCCGACAGTGCTGACGTCAGACACGGGGCTTATTCTCTTCGTCTATTGGTTCCTCCGTACTGGAGGGGCGTGGCAGTAGGGCAGGGCCGATTGACAAGGGGGGTGGGGAGACAAAGGTCCTTGTGGATGGGTGGGGTGGGAGGCAGGCGGGGGAAGGTTTTTTTCCTCTTAAAGGGGCAGGACTTATATCCGGGATTGTGGGGTGAGTTGCAGCAGCGGCAGCTGCACATGTGGGTTTGTTTATAAGAACAAGGTTAGAAACTCGCAGGCCTCCCCCTCCCCCCAGCTCCTCCCCACTACCCCTTTATAGGCCTGAGATCGGCTCCTGGGCGGTGGGGAGCAATGGAGTGCTTGTGCCGGGTGGGGGGACAGGCAATGGTGAAGAAGATGGAGGGGGGGCATTGCACCTCCCGGCCCGCGCCGGAGGAAGCGACAGCTGGAACAGCTGGCTGGGGAGCGACTTGCATGCCTGCGGTGCTTCCCTTCCCTTCCCCCACCGCCCGCCGCCCGGTAACCTGCCCTTCCCGCCATCCCCCATCCACGGGGCTCAGCCAGGGCTTGGGGTCCTCGCAGCGGCCGGGGCTCGGGCTCCCTGCGGTAGGAGCTAAGGGCTCCTCCCAGCACCGGGCCGCGATCGCTGAGTGTGTGGCCGGTGTCGCCGCGGGGAGGGTGGGGGTGGGGCGGCGGGACCGCGCCCTGATCTTAGGTCCCCCAAGGCCCCAACCGGACTCCATCCCCCTAGTTGGGTTCCTCGCAGAGACTCAGGCCCGGCTCCCATCCTCAGCACGGCGGCGGGAGGCGGCAAGGCCCGCGAGGCGATGGGGGGCGCTGTCGCCGGAAGTGGCCGCGCCGCCCGGGGGACAGCCAGGTCCCCGACCGCGCAGCCCGCGCCGGGTCTCCGCCGCCCGCGCCTCCGGTCTCCCCACCCCGTCCACACCCCGTTCCCAGCCTCCCTCGCTCTTGGTGGGGAAGCCGATCGGCTCAGTAGCTGTCCCTGGAAACGTCTCCGTGCACCTGCGTGTCCATGCAGGGAAAGCTGGGAGGAAATCCGATCTGTGGAGCTAAACCGGAATTTAAGACTCATCCTAATGTCCACGTCCCCCTGCCTACCCTTAAAATGCAAAAACCAAAAACACATAAATTTCCGGTTTGAGGAGATTATTCTTCTGCTGAGTCAGCACAGATCACACTGTGTGGCAAATTTTGCGCAGGGCGGGGTAGTCTCGCGTGTGTGCAGCGTGTGCGTGTGCACTGTGCGTGTGTGCACGATGTGTGTGCATGTGTGCACCGCCTGTGTGTGCACCCTGTGTGTGTGCACTGTGCGTGTGAACCCGGTGGAAACCCCGTGCTGAAACACAGGGTTTAGGCTGGCGTTTTTCATTCTTTCTGTTTCATAGGTAAGGTAGGTGAGGCTCTTGGTTTTGCTCTCCCTCCCACCCAACAAGGGCGGTGAATGAAACGTGGTAATGATCTTGTCCAGGTCATATGGAAGAAAGAAGTTGCTACTCCTAGGAAATGTAAATTTAACCAAAGCTTTTAGAGCTGGTTTATTTTGCTAGGGGTGTGTAAGGGGGTCTGACCAGCTTTCCTGAAGTTTCTCAGTAGCTGAGCCTGTCCCACTCAAATTAAGTTCATAAACAAAGAGGGCTTCTTGGGCTTAGAAGTCACAGGCAGAGTGAGGCAACAGGGAATGGATGCGTGGTTGTGAAAGTGGAACTGAATGTCATGAACCACCTCAGGGACATCCTTTTTCGCCCATCTGTAGCTTTTTGCAGTAGTCCAGTAGGCTGGCAGATTGGAATGTTTGAAGTTGACTAGTGGAAACTTCAGAGAAAGATGCAGTAGAGGACAAAAATTGGCAGGTGACCCAGGTGTCGGGGGAGGCCTGAACACAGTGGGCTGGGTCAGGCCAAGGCTGTCTTTAAGCGGGCTTGACAGTCCTGGCATCCCGTCAAAGCTGCAGGCCGAGGTAGGTGGTCCCGGAGGGAGAGGCCTGACTGTAGGAAGGCTGCAGGCCCTGCTGTTGGCAGCTTGCACTTTGGGCCTCTTTCTGACATTGGGGGACAGCGGAGCCTGAGAGCATCCCTGAGATGGATCCCAGCGCCTCCCAGGTAAGTGCCTGTCCCACTACTGCCAATAAAGAGGGGTTTGTGCTGGAAGAGCCATGTTGCTGTCAGTGTTAGACTGGTGAGTCAGGGTGGCTCTCTTATAGATGCCTTGAAAATGGAGGGCTACTAAGGTGCTATGGACGATAACATTTGTTAAGAATAATTGAGATACTTTTGACTCTATTTGTTAGTCAGATTTATTTTTTAATTTTTTGAAAATTTCCAATGCAATAAAGTGAAAGTTTATTCCTATACTCGCTACCCAGTGTCAACAGTTACCAACTGAGAGTCTTGTTTCTTCGAAATGCTGGTCCCATCCCGCCTTAGTTATTGTTGCTGTTGCTGTTGTTTTTTGAGATAGGGTCTTGCTATGTAGTTCAGGCTGGCCTCGAACTCATGGCAATCGTCCTGTCTCACCCAGCCTCCCAAACACTGGGATTACAGGTGTGTGCCACAGTGCCCAGCTTTTGTTTCATGTTTTACAATCTATAAATGTTTCATTATGTATATACAAAAGATTAGGAGTTTGTTTTAAACATAATCACATTTTCATCACGCCTCAAAAAAATGTCGTTAATCTCATCATAGTTCTAGTCCATATAAATGCCCCTCTGAATAGCCTATAATTCCCCTTTTAAAAAAGCTATTTTATCCAAGCTAGGTTTGCACCACCATGCCTGTAATCCCAAATCCTCCCGAGGCAGGAGGATCATGAGTTTCTAGGCAATTTAGCAAGACTCTGTCTCAAATTTTAAAAAAAGAAAAAAGAAGTTGATTTTTTTTTGTTGTTGTTGTTTCCTTTTATTTTTTTTGAGACAGGGTCTCATGTAGTTCAGGTTGATCTTGAATTCACTATGTAGCCCAGGCTGACCTCTAACTCACATGGATCCTCCTGCCTCAGCCCCCGTGGTGCTGGTATTATAGATGTGTGTCACCACGCCCAGCAAAGAAGTTGTTTTGTCTAAGAATTCAGATAAATTCTGTGGAATATCCTAGTTATTGTATCGCTTAAGTCCTTCTACTGTGTAGATTCCTCGCTCTGTTGATTGTTCTGTTGGACACACGTGGCCATTTGGTCACCTATCCTAAACCTGGATATTGCTGGTTGCCTTCTCTGACTGTGTTTGTTAAATTCAAGTTTGCGTTGTGTTTACTTTATCTTTGCGTGCCATAAAGTGATCTCCAGTCGGTCGTTATTTGCTGGAGGAAATAATTAGTCCAGCAGTGAATGCATTTACGCTAATGAGAGTGTCTCTGGGGGTGGCTGCACCACAAGCGCAGGAGTTAAGACCCATGGTGGTCTGTTCCGTTTAGCGGAGCCCTGGAAGGTGCAAGGTCCCACCGTGCTGAGGCAAGTGACAGAGAGGTCCAGGCTCTGGTTTCCAGGAATTCAGTGCTAAAAGGCGCATCCCTGGTCAGCCACCCCTCAGTGAGCTCTGCATACTCACCGTGTAACACACTCACTAGAGCCTCTTCATCAGTGTGTCAGGCCAGACTTCCCACCTCGGTTGCTGACTTTCCTAGTGCAAACAGTGGAAGGTGAGGGCTGAGGTTTAAAAGGCCCCGCGTTCATTGTTGAGCAGATGAGCGTCCCTCTGCTGGTGACCTGGCTGTCCTCCCCCTGCACACCCTTGGCCTCCCAGAGCCTTGTCCTCCTTGTAGCTTGGTCAGCAGGTACCAGGAGGAAGGAAGAGGGAGAAGGACACACACAGGCCCCGTGTGGGGCCGGCAGCCCACAGACTTGTACAGATCCAACAGGGACAACTGACAATGGTCACAAAGGAAAGAGGCCCCAGGGTGGAGCCAAGGCAGCTGGGTGGCAGGGGTAAGAGGAGTGCAGTGGGCATCAAGGCCTGGGCACCTCGGGCTTGGGCAAAGGGCAGCCTGTGGAGCAGGCACACCCACTGTGGCACGTGTGGCCTCACAGGACATCAGAGTCGCCTCTGTCCTCCCCTCGTCCAGGAACCTATTGCATGCGTGCTGTAGTCAGCTGTTTGTTATCACTGAAAGTTCTGAAAGGTTCGCCACCACTGGGTAAGGGTGACGGCCATAGTTGGAGATGAGGTAGCCTCTGGGGACAGGCTGGGAAAGGGACACTGTTGGAGGACAGGGACTGCAGAGCTTTGAAATTTCAGAGCAATAATGGGCTGTAGCATGGAGGGGCTCAGCAAAGCATTTTCGGGGGGTAGAAAAAGAGGAGGTGCTAGGCCTGGGTCGGAGAGAGAGGGACAGAGGGAGAGACTAAGGGACAAGATGGGTCAGAGACCCAGCTGAGGGTACTAAAGGTTCACTATCACCTAACCCTACCCTAACCCACTCTCTTGTCTGGGTTCCTGCTGCCCCCCCACCCTTTATACTGAGGATTGAAGCTAAGGCCTTTGCAGTGAACTCCATGCCAACCCCTCTTTTTTTTTATTTTTTAAATTTTGAGACAGTAGCTTGCTAGGATACTACATAGACCATACTAGGCTCCAACTCTTGATTGTCTCAGCCTCCCAAATGCTAAAGTCACAGACATAACCATCATCCCCAGCTCTGGCTGCATTTGTAGAATGGGCACTGAGCCCATGCGGGGTTCTCTGCTAGTGACTCTCGCTGCTGGTGAACACAGCTAGAGTCCGAGGAGCCTTCAGTCAAGTGAGAGCTACAGGCAGCTCAGCTTGGGTGATGGTGACCAGGTGAGGGAGAAATAGGAAGTCATTTATCCACTCATACATTTTTCTACGCTATGTATGGCACCCCCACCATGCGCCACGTCACCGGCACTGTTGTGCACATTGGGTGTGCAGCGGGGGACAAGAGAGGTGGGAAGTTCCTGGCTGGCTGGCAGCAACACAGCAGCTCTGTGCTTCCAGCAACAGAGAACAGGTCGGACTGGCAACCTGGCCCCAGGGTGCTGTTGGCACGGTACAGGGGA